CCGAAAACAAAGCATTTATCTGTGTCTAGAACGGCCCAGTAGCGGCGGAACACCTTCAATTAAGGGGGGCACTGACGACTTTTGGTCCCATTCTTTCCATGCAACGCCCATAGGGCTAATGTTAAAATGCCAAAATCAAAGGGGGGCACGGTGCCCCGGTGCCCTCCCCGTTCCGCCGCCTATGGAACGGCCGCTGACTTGTTGGACAAGATCCCCAATCTTAATTTGCTAGATGGGAATAAAATACTCGGCATATGATACATATACCCCTCGGTTTGCCCTCGCGCAAAGTCAATTCTAATCATCACTGTCGCTTTTTTATCCGAGATGATGTCGCCACTAAACGGGTTGTTTTGTTTACTTGCTTGCGTTGAATGGTCATTACGGATTATTGAAGGATTATGATATAATAGGAATGGGGCAAAGGAGGATATGCACTGCAGTGCAGGTGTTTAATTTAGATCACAAAGGCATCGTTTCCGGCATCGTTTCCGGCATAGTGCAGAGTCACTATCTTCCCCTCCTCTGCACTGCGGCATCTCTGCGCCCCACACACGGCGTCCTCACCCCACGGCCGGCCGCCGCCAACTGACCCACTCGCCGGGCGCCGCGACCTGACCCGTGTCACTGCCGCGGCCTGCGCAATAGAGTCGGGGCTGGAATCCGGGGGTTCGGCCGGCTGGCCGCCTCTGGAGCGGGAACTTTTTTAGTAGACCTACTGTACGTACTTACACGCACACATAAGTACATACTCATCTACATACAAGCACACACGTAAGCATACACGCACACGGGCGCGCGCGCGCGCGGACCCGGCGACCACCACCATCTCTCGAGCACATCACACACGCACGTATGTACGTACTTACACGCACACACGTAAGTACATACTAACCCACATACACGTACGCACACACAGGCGCGCGCGCGCACGCACGTCAGCGCTCTATACACGGGAACTCACGACCACGTGTTTGCGACTCTTGCTGTTCTCGCCCGTCTTCACGTTCGTCATCCTCGCACAGATCCCGTGTAGCTGCATTCGCAAGAACACAGATACGGCCCCATCGACGGCCTTCTGGCAGCACACATTGCTCACCAGATCCTGGTACACTGAAAAAAAAATAATGACACCTAAAAGGGGTGTTTTTTGAAGCGTACCAAAAACGCGCAGTTTTCTGGAGTCCGATTACACCCGGAATCAGACACTTTCTAGGGTATTATGACACTGGTTGAGGATGTATTTTTATACCGTACGGCGTCAAATGATTCCCGGAATCATACACCTTATGGAATAAAAATACACCCCAAATCAGAGTCATACTACTCTAGGAAGTGTCTGATTCCGGGTGTAATCTGACTCCTGGAAACTGCGCGTTTTTGGTACGCTTCAAAAAACACCCCTTTTAGGTGTCACTTCAGGGAGTAATCTGATCTTGAGGGTGTATTTTGATCCCACACGGTGTATGATTCCGGGAATCATTTGACGACATGTGGTATAAAATACACCCCAAATCAGAGTCATAATACTCTAGGAAGTGTCTGATTCCGGGTGTAATCTGACTCATGGAAACTGCGCGTTTTTGGTACGCTTCAAAAAAACACCCCTCGTAGGTGTCAACTCGACGGTGTCAAATGACTCTTGGGATGGTTTTTCTATACCGGTGCAGAGCCTGTTCCTGTTATATATATATATATATATATATATATATATATATATATATATATATATATATATATATATATATATATATATATATATATATATATATTACCCGTACTATTGGTCTCCTATATGAGAAATACCGGTAATATTCGAGTGTCCGGAACTGGTCATCCACACCATCACGCAAAATTAAAGACGTCAGTGAACGACTCGAATGTATTGTGGAACACAACTGAGCGCTTCAAACAGCGTTTGTAGCAACGTTCTTATCGTTTCCACGCAAAAGCTATGCCAAACAGTTCCCCGTGAACTTATGAAGTCAACAAACCAGCCGCCATCTTGCGACCCTTCAAAACGCTCGCTTTCACTCGCCGGCGGCGGAACGAGGCAGCACTCCCATCAGGCCCAGCGCCTTGAATGCTTTTTTGACTGCTAGAGGGGTGCTCACACTGGCCTCGAGGTACCCCAGAACATACTTCCCGAGGAAGAGGACCCCTTTGCGCGTCGCCGCAACGTATTTGTCGTAGAAAATATGGTGCCCCCACACCAGAAGAAGCAGAGCCTCCTCCAGGCTTCCAGTTTCCGCCACTTCCTTCCCCTCGACGACCACGGCGTAGAGCTGTCCTTTGGCCTTCAGGTGAGGGTAGCACACACCTTCTGTGATGTAGCAGTCAATATCATCTCCGAGCGCCATAAGGAGGTTGAAGAGCTCTTCGCCTGCAGGAGACAAGAATATAATTTACGTAAAAAGAGCAGGGGTGTCTGTGCAGGATGATCAACAGGGACATGATGGCGCAGGACCCAGGTAGCTGTCTTATAAGATCTTTCAGAAATATGCAGACCATTTTTCGATCAGGCCATCGCAGAGTTTACCACCGATTTTGACAACTGGGGCGTTCCACGACAAATCGACAAGTGCCCTGCACCCTCATATCTTATTTTTTGCTTAGAATTGGTCTAATGGGTTGTGATGGGCGGGGAAGCCAGCTGTGGCAAGGATTTTTTTTCTTCGAACAACGGTTTCCGAGATATAGCCTCGGGCAATTCTTGGAGTTCGCGCTGCAGCCCTATGTTTGGCGGCCTATAACTCAGAAACTATTGGCTTTTTACGATAAAAACTTTATATGGTTCAATTTTTGGTTTTTGGTTTTTGGTATGGTTTTCAATTTTTGAAAGTTTTGATCACGTGACCTTTTGTCCTATTTCTCGAAGAGTGACCTTGATATTTTCCCCACTGAAAGTTGCAATTTTGTCTGATGACGATTAAAGCCTTATCAATTGTCATTCATATGCGATAATAAAAAAGTGGTTATCGCCCTGCGTTGACCTCAGGTAAGGTCATTTTTATGACCTGTCCATTATTACGAGCGGGAGCGACAGCGAGATCTCGAGAATAAAGCAAGATAGTGACAAGCGGTAAACGGTAAAGGGTACACACGGATAAGGTCTATAATTTTTACTGAGGTCATTTTTAGGTCAGGTCAAAGATGACGTTACAGGAGCTAAAAGGAAGTCAAAATAGCGGCACTATACATATATATGAAGTTTTTCTCGAATAACTTTCAAGGTATCCCAGCTAGGAACAAACTAATAGCACCATCGTGATCCTCTCGTCGATCCGCATCGAAACATATGTTTGTTGACCTCGAAAGGTCGAAAGGTCAAAAGTTGACCTTAGGTCACGTGATCTAAGGTCAACTTTTGACCTTTCGACCTTTCGAGGTCAGCATACATATTTTTCGATGCGGATCGACGAGAGGATCACGATGGTGCTATTAGTTTGTTCCTAGCTGGGATACCTTGAAAGTTATTCGAGAAAAACTTCATATATATGTATAGTGCCGCATTTTGACTTCCTTTTAGCTCCTGTGACGTCATCTTTGACCTGACCTGAAAATGACCTCAGTAAAAATTATAGACCTTATCCGTGTGTACCCTTTACCGTTTACCGCTTGTCGCTATCTTGCTTTATTCTCGAGATCTCGCTGTCGCTCCCGCTCGTAATAATGGACAGGTCATAAAAATGACCTGACCTGAGGTCAACGCAGGGCGATAACCACTTTTTTTATTATCGCATATGAATGACAATCGATAAGGCTTTAATCGTCATCAGACAAAATTGCAACTTTCAGTGGGGAAAGTATCAAGGTCACTCTTCGAAAAATAGGACAAAAGGTCACGTGATCAAAATTTTCAAAAATTGAAAATCCGAGATAGCCAAAATGTTCGTTGGTTGATTGTGAGTTGAACCATATAAAGTTTTTATCATAAAAGCCAATAGTTTCTGAGTTATAGGCCGCCAAACATAGGGCTGCAGCGCGAAATCCAGGAATTGCCCGAGGCTATATCTCGGAAACCGTTGTTCGAAGAAAAAAATCCTTGCCACAGCTGGCTTCCCCGCCCATCACAACCCCTTACACCAGTTTTCAACGAAGAATAAAATATGAGGGTGCAAATTTAATTTTTTATTTGTCGATTTGTCGTGGAACGCCCCAACTGTTCACAAATCGGCACATAAGTCGGGAACCGATAGAGCAATAGCACCGCGGAAAAGCGCATTAGATAGCTCTTTCAAAGGCTTTGCTGAGATCTCAGATTTGACCTGAGGTCAACGGTTGCGGTAAAACGTTTTTTTATTATTTTTTGACAAACTTGTATTGCGTTGATTTTACAGGCATCGCGTTTCTCTTGTCGAGACGCGTTGAATGAACTAAAAGTTGACATCGAAGGTCAATTAAAAAAAAAATTGAACTCAGTCAAGGTCACCGAAAAGGTCATGCTGCAATGAATTCGTATCGGTGAGCTGAACGCATCCAGTGTTTTCAGCGCTCTAGCATATTTCCATCTGAACCCTCGCCCGTATTGGTGTTTTTCCAGCCGCGAACGTATAAGGGGGTGGGGGGGGGGGTCCGTTGGACCCCCTCTTGCCGTTTCGCCCCTGATCGAGCTAGAGCTTCGCGGAAAAAACGAGTGTGTTGCCCGTGACGAGAGGAAGCCGATGATACCTAATTTTAAGGTTCTAGGTCATTGGTTGACCTTGCAGGTCAGGTCAATGACCCAAAAGTCGGGAAAATCGGGACCTGTTAGAACGTCGTAAAGTGTGGCTGCTATGGGGTTTTTCGGGGCGCTGATCACGAATATCATGTTAGTTTTGATCACAGATGATGTCTTTATGCATTTAGTCCAGGTCAAGTCAGGTCAACCAGTAGGGGTCCTGCCGGGTATTCCTAGTAGGTGTCAACCGCCTCTGACAGCCCTATAGGGCTGCGTCGCCTCGACACAGGCTCGCAGGCTGCTCAGCACGCCGTGTCCGCACAGCGCACTGGCCGCTTGCGTCTCGGGTTGTTTGGATAGAACTGTGACACCTCGAAGTGCCTTGAACACAGCTTCACATTCTCAGACAGGTATTCTGGAGACTTCCCGATGAGGTCCTGACGCCTGCACATTTGCACCCACTTCTTTGATCTGAAAGGCAACCAAAGTTTGTGTCATTGCAGAAGTTCCCCAGCCAATAAATGTGGATATTTCTGTTGTGGACAATATAGGTAACTGGGTAGTATGATATAACACTTACAAGACACAGAAGGCCTGACTGGCCATATCACATTCTCTGATCATTACAAAACAGCACCTTAATTACCTACACCATAAATTGTAAAATTGATTAGGAGACTTATAGAGCATACATTACTGTTCTGATGTTATGCTGTTTGTCTAAAATCCTTTCATACGTAAGGAGTTTTTGTGGGAAACATTATCTCAGGGTGTAAATATTGACGTATGGATTGTGGTTTTAGGGCGGTCGACTGCCAGGGTCATATGTGAAATATTGACGTAAAATGTCATGATTCACATGTTTGCAGAAAAGTCTAAAGACATGCATGATTAAAATTCATTCAGCATCAAGCTAAGTACCTTTCTGGTTGTGGAGGAAACCTGAAGAAGCTCAGTTCAGGATGCTGAGCCTTTGACGCTTTGCAGTTTATCGCTCCGCACCATTGGCTGATGTCTCTCTTCATCTTCATGCCCTCTGAAACAAAATGGCACAATATTATTATCACTAGCATATGGCTGTTTTATGAGGTAAGACATTAACAGTTGAAGTTGTGAAAATTAATGGTCTGCCACAAGAAACTCAGGGTTACCGTACGTTGTTATGATTAGGATCAGGATGCAATCATGCACATCCACGGTGTCAAACATGTAATTACAATTTGTCTGCAATGTAAGTTTGTTGAATGCTCAAATTCATTTTTTCTGTCCTGATGAGGGAGGACCGAGTACATCCATGACCATGATATCACCCAAAATCAGAGTATATAATGATCCAAGGCCAACGAGGAAGGCCGTAAATGGGATCCAAGGTCAATGTTATTGCTAATGACAACTTTTAGTTTGTAAGCATTTTGAACTAATATAATATGCATCAAGCTGCATATATGGCTTGAAAATTGTAATTGAAAATTGCCATCAAAAGAAAATATTTAATATTAAATCATAAAAATATCGTCAAGCTAAAATGATTCTATCACGCCTGCCCAAACTGAAGCCGCCATTGCTGTCATATTTCAGGACTGAATATCGCTTCACACACAGCTTGTTCGGGTTATATTTTCATGCCAGATTAATCTTACCTGATTTTCAAGTAGCTTGAGTCACTTTTTTAGTCAGCTAACTCAGTAATAACGAAAATATAGCAATATTTCGACTAGAAACCGCGCACCTCCGATCCGTCAGCACGACGCCACGCTCGATTCTCCTACGAGAAATGCGAGAAATGTTGCCGTTGGCCGCCGCCAGAGGGATATACGGGGGTCGCTAAAATCATGGTAAAATGCTGCAGGGTTCCAATCTGTGTGTTAATCTGTGGTTAGGCCGAGACGTCTCCCAGCCTGTTACCCGACTGCCATCCGGGCCACTTTCATCCCAATTTCTACTGCTACTATTGTACGTTAAGTTACGATGCATCGTGGTACACTCGGGGGCAGATTGATGTTCCACCACTCCCTACCCATCGGGCTCCCATGGATCAGCAGTGGCTGCTGCCAGTGTTGCCTGCCCTCAGCACTGCTCAGCACTGCCTGCCAATGCCAGTGCTGCCAGTCCTGCCACTGACAGCAGCCAGTGCTGAGCCATGGGAGCCCGATGGGTAGGGAGTGGTGGAACATCAATCTGCCCCCGAGTGTACCAGTGAGAATCACTCCGCCATTTTGAGGCACACGCGGTTTGGTAGCGTGCCCTCGTGGGTTTAGTAGTGAAGCTCCTGGCCATTGATGACTTTACTAATGTATCGATAGTTAGACTCCGCTCAATCTCCGTTCTCCTCAGACTCATCCCGTTACCAAAAGCATCTGGTCAATTCAACCCCCATGTATTGCTCGTAATTTGACTCAACGTGTTGACATGCGTGTACATCACTAATATGGCGTGTAGAAACACGCCACACGCCAAACCGCAGCGATCCTCCACTGCGGTCTGGCGAGTGGTCTGCTCTTCGATAACTGCCTGCTCCAGGCGGACCACCGCACCGTGAAGTGCGGCGTTCTCCCCCTGGACTTTGGCCACCACTTTGCTCAGTGCGGCCGGTTCCTTCCGACGGTTCCTTTCGCGACGGCACCGCGACGGTTCCTTTCACCGCAGTGGCATCAGCTTCCACCTTCTTCGTGCCGTGGCCACATCGACCTCTTCATCCGTCAGCACGACTTCTTTCGCGACGGTACCGCGACGGTTCCTCTCACCGCAGTGGCATCATCTTCCACCTCTTCATCCATCGTCATGACTTCCTCTCGCGACGGCACCGCGACGGTTCCTCTCACTGCAGCGGCATCAGCTGCCATCTTGCTTCCTGCCGCGGCCACATCGATCTCTTCATCTACGGCACGACTTCTTTCGCGACGGTGCCGCGACGGTTCCTTTCGCGACGGCACCGCGACGGTCCCTCTCACCGCAGTGGCATCAGCTTCCACCTTCTTCGTGCCGTGGTCACATCGACGTCATCCATCAGCACGACTTCTTTCGCGACGGTTCCTCTCACCGCAGTGGCATCAGCTTCCACATTTCAGAGTGCATGTTTTTACAGCTACTTATGCTTTCGGGTGCTGCAGCTGGTCGGCGGCGCCGCAGCTGGGGCCTAATGCGATCGCGGAGCCTCTGGGGCGGGCGTGGCGTCGTCGGCTTGGTTGCTTGGGCGCAGGGCGTCATTTGGCGAATTTACCTTCTGAAAGGTAGCGGGAATCGAGGACAGGTCGAAGCAGCGCCTCGTGTAGCGTCTGAGGCCATCATAGGTCATGAATGCTGTCAAGTTCCTCGACTCCTCGTGAAGCATGAGTTGGTTGAATGCAGCCTTCATGTCTAAGCTCGAGATCATGACAGATCCCCTCAGCTTACGCAGGGTTTCCTCCATATCAGGAAGTGGATGCTTGCTTGGGATAATACCCTTGTTCGCTTCTTTTAAGTCCAAACACAATCTAATGTCACCTGACCTTCGACGGTTGGCCACCATGGGCGAGACCCAGGGCGAGAAGTCTACACGCTCAATGACCCCCTTCTCCTCCAGCTCCTGGAGATGCGCCTTCACCTCCTCTCTGACCGCCAGGGGAAGTGGCCTCATCTTCTGCTGGACTGGAGTGACATCACTCCTGGTGCTCACCCGGTGCACAATGCCTTTGATCGGAGGAAGTACTGCCGGCGAGAGGTTAGACACTGCACACACTACAGTACAGATCCATTCTTAACGGTCATCTGTAGCTCCAGCTGAAGATCCCTGCCCAGCAGCGGAACAGTACCAGCTCTGGTGACATACAGCCTCACCTCTGCCTCCTTACCCTCCTTGGTGGAGACCTTGACCAGGACCTTGCCCTCCACGTTCAGGGTTTGTCCGCCATAGCCACACAGCTGGACATCACACTGCTGTAGAGGAACATGAGACAACACAGCTTGGTACAGGTGCAGCGGAATGAGACTCACTGGAGACCCTAGTCAACCATCATATTCAGCCGAAAATCACCAACTTCTACTTCCACCATAGGACACGGCACACTCTCTGCCAGCTGCACAGGAGAGACCTCAACAGAAGAGATGGTCCCCTTACGAGCATTCTTGCTGACCTTTACGACCACAAGAGAAGCATTTGCTCACCTCTCACGGTTCGTCGGAAGGTCATCTCAGGCTCAAAAGAAACGGTATATACGATTCGAAAGCTGACGGTGAGCTGAATCCAAAAATGTATTTTTTATCAAAATCGATCGATGGCCTTTTTTGAAAATTGCGTTTTTGTAAAAACTTAATAATCTTTTATTCAACGGGCTGTCCCGGACATTCTTGAAAACATAAACACGTATTTTTGAGTTCCAGTGAAAGCTGAACGCCAAAAGAACAATATTTAGCGAAGCAATATTTACGAACATGCATATGCGTCTCCCACAGCCGACAATAAGGCGCAATCACACAGCTCAGTGTCACGATGGACCAAAGTCAGCCACACAGAAGCGTGAAATAACCCTTATCGACTCGCAGACCCGGCGCTCTCGGCCCGCCTGACCGACCACGGAAAGAACGTTCGGCTCTCGTTCTACTAAACAAATGTCATATTTGCCACTTTAACTGTCCACATCGCTATTAAAGATATTTAGGATACCTGTGAAGAAAATTCATTGTTCTGCTTGATTTACAACATGCTTTAATTTACATTTTTCTTATACATGTTTTGTTCCATCCAGCTGCGATCAGTGCCCGCGCAGGGGAAGTGAGCGGGGTTTCACTGTCAGAGGCTGTACTGGTGACAGCTGCTCGGCTGTGCGACCGGTCAAAGGTTACCCTGCCCCGCCGGGCGCTACCCCCACTCCACCCGAGCTGAGGCCGGTGCAACCTCTGACATTTCAGCGCGGCCAATTTTCCTTATATGGGCATGATACCAAGCTCAATTGAGCAAAGTAGACATGAACAAATGCAAATTAATGCATGATGTGAAGATGACAGAACAATAAATTTTCTTCACAGGTATCCTGAATAACTTTAATAGCGATGTGGACAGTTAAACTGACAAATATGACATTTGTTTAGTAGAACGAGAGCCGAACGTTCTTTCCGTGGCTGGTCAGGCGGGCCGAGAGCGCCGGGTCTGCGAGTCGATAAGGGTCATTTCACGCTTCTGTGTGGCTGACTTTGGTCCATCGTGACACTGAACTGTGTGATTGCGCCTTATTGTCGGCTGTGGGAGACGCATATTAATGTTTGGAAATATTGCTTCGCTAAATATTGTTCTTTTGGCGTTCAGCTTTCACTGGAACTCAAAAATACATGTTTATGTTTTCAAGAATGTCCGGGACAGCCCGTTGAATAAAAGATTATTAAGTTTTTACAAAAACGCAATTTTCAAAAAAGGCCATCGATCGATTTTGATAAAAATTACATTTTTGGATTCAGCTCACCGTCAGCTTTCGAATGGTATATATCGTTTCTTTTGAGCCTGAGATGACCTTCCGACGAACCGTGCTCTTGCTTACTTGTACCGTGGATGCGTGTCCTCTTGCCTGAAGTGTCCTCTTGAAATGAGCTGCAGCAACCTCCCTGCAGGCTCCCGGCTGAGCGTCGTGCGACTGGCTGCCACCGACCACCTGCTGTCTCTCCGCTGTCAACTCTGCGGCAAGGGCCAGTTGCTCCAAACGAGCCAGGGTCAGATCCTCCTCTGCACACAACATCTCCCTCAAACGACCCGATGAGCAGCCCTCCAAAAACTGGTCGCGAATCATGTCATCCTCAAGGACTCCAAACCCACACCTTTGGCTTCTTTCCCTTAAAGTTGCCAGGTAAGTCCTCACTGAAGTGCCGCTGTCTTGGACGCAGCGTCTAAAATCAACCCGCTCAGCAATGAAGTCAGTCTTGGGTACGAACAGCTTTTCTAACGCATCACATGTTTTCTTTATCAAAGATATGGCATGAACTTCAACTCCCTCCACGACTTCTGGCTTTGGGTCTGACTGGATCCCCTTTGGATACTCCGCTCTGAAGAGCCTATGAGCCTCCTGCCCGACACAGTGCAAGAGAAGGGCCTGCTGCCTCTGCTCACTCCAGTCACACCACCCGGCCAATAGCTAAGCCATAAATCTCTAACTCAGAGTACCATGCCCTCCAAGGCAGCTGAGGTTTCCCAGGAGTTGAAAGAAATGCAGCTGGGGGGTCTGATTCCATCCATCATGCACGTACCTACCTTGAAACTTGTTTCACGCGGAGCTCACTCTTCGTCGCCACAAAATGTAGTGTCTTCCGGCTTAGAGCACTTAACACAAGTTCCAAACCCGTACTCCAGTTGAGCAAACCAGACGCTATATTAACGGTCCCGAGCGAGGAGAAAAGTGGAGAGAGAATAACACCAAAAAAACGACAACCCCCGGCGTCACCTCGCACCACAAACAGCCACTAAATAACTGCCACAACACTACAGGCATCAGCTCCAAATCTTGAATGATAAAAGCAGAATCAGGCGCTGTGAGCCCTGCTTCTGGACTGAGACCTTGTACGGCTCCCCCGCAGGGGCTGACTGTGGTCAGAGCTGTTGCGTGCCGGGGTCTTCTGACCCTGGCCTTGCGGCGGCTGTGACTTCGGTCAGTAAGGGGTTTGACGCCCCCTCGGCCCCAGCTGGACGTGCGTTTGACCTGGACTTGATTTGATCACTGGATGGATTGTCTGCAGGATTGGCTCCGCAGGGGGTTGGCAGTTGCCTGAGTCGCTTTTGGACTGGGCTCCTTGGGCCCTCGCCCCGCGGCGGCCCTGGCCTCGGCCAGCAAGGGGAGTAGCGCCCCTCGGCCCCAGCTTGACCCGTGCTTGTTTACGACTTGTTCTGATCAGTGGATAGACAGATGATACGGCCCGACTTCTCTTGATTTCCTTGGTTTTCGTTTTCTGCTGAGCGGTCTTTGTGTGCTCTTGCTTTGTTTTCTTACCGGATGTCCGCGTTTTGTTTGGTTACTGCTTTTTCATTTCTTTTCACCTTTTTTCGTTCTCGTTGCACCCACAGGAACGCAGACGAGTTCGGCTAGTGTAAGGGACTGGCTTCCCCACGGGTACCAACAATTAGGCTAGGCGAGCCGACCCGTTACTAGGTTAGGGGAGCGTTGTGACGTCACGAGAGGTCGGTCGACTGAAACCAGCAACTCTGGTCGCTGCAGCACGCAGCACTTGGGCGTCCTCGGTGAACTGGAGCTCAGCCATCAGCGCAGGGGATAGATTGACTTACCTCCGGTTTGGGTGAGGCGTTTGTGCTGTTTCCGCCTTTCCCTTTCGCTCGTAGAGCCGATCGGCTATCGCAGCGATACGATGATCAGTACCAACAATCCTCTCCGCATCAATCACGCATTTCTCCAACCGCCAATAACATATCAATAAGTCTCCTCTGTGGCGCTGGATTGACCACGTTTACCCGCAGCAACCCCATCAGATCCAGTCCCATGATCGGTGTATTTTTTTGGCACTACATGCACTGACACATGTCTGCCGAGTTGTGACATGCATCTGTCATGCCCAGCACGTTCAGCTCTGTGTCCTGACTCAGCACACTGCGGGGCATAAGCGTGACTGGTGAGCCTGTGTCTAAGGAACTCCACGCATGTTCCAACCAGCTTTACCTCCTTGGTCAGGCCCGTGCTCTTAGGGAGCTTTGAGTTTACAGACATTATTGACACTGTCCTGACTGATATAAATAGGACCTTTACAGTTTACATGCACTGGCTAGATTATCTTTCTTGCCACACTTGGGATTTGGAGGAATCTCTCAGCCTTTCATTGATAGTTGCCTCCATCACTTGATCACGGATCATCTCATCTGCCATGTCTCGAAACGCACAATTGGCAGAGAGACTCCTGAGGTCTGCTACAAAATCTGCCGTGTTCTCTCCCTCTCTCTGGCGCCTTTGTCGGAACCTGAATCTTTCTGCAATCGGATCTGCTTGAAGTTCAAAGTGCCCTTCCAGTTTACGCATGGTGTAGTCAAGTTCTGATTCACCGTCAAGTCTTTCCTTGTCTGTGACTGGGATAGTTTGATATATCCTTTGCCCTTCTTGGCCGAGACAGTGCAGCGACACTGCTATTTGGCGTTTAGCGGGGAACTCTCTGCCTCCGATCGCCAGCAGATAGGTGTCGAAGGCGAATCGCCATTGCCTAAGCGCCACGGGAGGACGATCCTGGTGCGCCAGGAACGCCGCAGATGCTGATATACCTTCCGTGAACTGGATATGGTCGATACTCATGTAAAATTAGCACTCAAATTGTAGCAAAAACAATTCGGATACCGGATTGTGTGCTTCGTAAGTGACTCTGACATCCTCGTCGCCATGTTCTGTGGCGTCGGAGCTGAGAGCCACAGGTGTCAGGTACACGCTACAGATGTATTCCCGGAAGAAGAAGTTCTTAGAGTAGTTCAATCCTAATCTTGCTTACAGCCGCCTTGCCATGTACAGAAATACTAATTTACAAATCGAAGTGACCACTAAATTACAAACTACATAGCACGACACAGCAGTTGGTCGGGTTTGATTTTACGGACAACAACCGAAGCAGGAACTATTTAACGGGATATGATGACCTTTCGAACGCCGTTTGCCGCTAAGTGCTTCATTGCTTAGGAGCTGAGGGTACCAGACTGCTCAATGTGCATTGTGCAGTGTGAGTGATGGGGCTTTCATGGCCTAGCTTTCATATAACAATCTTGGAGATGTATGGTGCGTAGCCCTTAGACATGTCAACTTGAACTGACATGAAACTAATGTGCGGTACTTTTATCTGCTACAGATATGAGATGAGATGGGATTTGTCTTAGGGATTTATTTACAATATATTAGTACCTAGCTGTTTATAGGAGAAGTCGTGCCGGGGTCCGCGGAAGACAGAGAAATGTTGTTCAGCTGCTTTGATTGTCATGAACCAGTCCCATGTGCAATTGACATTGGTTGTTTGTGTTCGATGCGGTGTGGCTGATGCGGACTTGTCGCAAAGCCTGAAGAATTGTCCCGTAACACTTTGTCGGAATGTCGGCAGCAGGTGCGACACTTTGATCAGTTGTTCACCGTTGGGTGCTGGAGTCAGTGATTCTTTTCGCTACTGGCGTGTCAGTTTTTACAGTCACGGCCCACGGGTGCTAAAATTGTCTAGCGTTTCTTCTCGCCTAACGTTAATTGTTTGTTGTTAAACGGTATACGAAGTCAAATATATGTTATGGTGTACCGGTTTTTTATTTTGACTGCTGGCGTTCTTCAACGGTCTTTCCCCAAAACATCGATACAACATAAGGCGCGCGAAAGACGTCACCTCCGATACTAAGCATCCGCGAGCTGCAACATGCTGTACTTCATCACATACCCATCAATGAGACGTTGTGACATTTTATAACATAGGACTCGGGTCTGTGGAAGGACGGCAGCACCGTTTACCACTCCTGTGTCACCTGCCGCCGACGTCTGTAGGCTCTTGGCACAGCGAGGTGAGCATCGCTCGGACGGCGCGCTGGCGCACCGGCACCGCGGCGTGGTTCACGTCCCGGCACTGGCCGCGGCGGCCCTGCAGCTGCTCGCCAGTGCCCGGCGCCAGGCACGTGCTGTGGTAGAAGTGGAGCGTGTCCGGCAGACTGGACGTCCACATCCGGGCCGTGCCACCCGCCTGAAGACCGGGGGGGGGGGGAGGGAGGTCAGCCAGCGACACGCACACGAATCCGATAAAGTACTTTGACGTCTCGTGATTTGTGGAAACGCTGTTAGGATGTTGATGATGAGTCGATAAGCGAGGATAGCATGATCACTACAAATATCAACAGAGCTTCCCCGACCTCGTAAATCACTTCCTCGTTACGTTTGAACCGCTCATGTGAAGCATGCGTATCGGGGATGTTATGCGTGAGAGCCGGGTGCCCCTGCCTCCCGTGAGTGGTGGCCTGTTTTCCTCTCGTCACCCACCTGGCTAACGATGTCGAACATCAGTGCGTTGATGGCGGCTATGACGCCCCCAACGCGGGACCGGTAGCCGAGGCCCTCTGTCATCTCGGGCCCGTCGAGCCGGTACAGCAGTCTGGTGTGCGCCGCCAGCCGCCGTACCCGGGCCGCCAGCGGGGCGGCGTCTCTGCGCAGCTCCAGCACCCGCTCCGGCAGCGGCACGTGGTCCGCGCGCTCCATGAACGGCTTGGCGTACCACATGCCGGCCGTGAACACCACCATGTGCGGGCGGTCGGCTCCGGCGCGGCGCTCGCAGTCGTCCGCCAGCGCCGCCAGCCGCGCCTCCAGATCACCGTCCGCCAGCGGGTGCCAGTAGAACCGGGCGGCCAGCAGCTCGCTCGCGGCGGCCACGTCGCAGGCCAGGAGCAGTGTCATGTCCTCGGGCGTGACGCCGATCGTGTGACCGGCCACGCAGCGCTCCGGGGAGCCCAGCACCTCAGCGCGCAGACCGGGCAGCTGCAGCTCCACCGGGAACACCTCCGGCAGAGGGCGGCCCAGCCAGTCCAGCGACAGCTCGGCCAGCACCTGCTCAAAGTGGATCCGCGCCCGGGAGTCGCCGATGAAGACGAGCTGTGCGCGCTGACCGGTGCGCGCCGCTCGGCGCTGCAGACAGTGTGCTAGACGGGCACCGTGGAGCGCCGGCGGCGGGCAGGTGTGGAGCACGGCGTCCGCCGGTTCCCAGTGCTGGCGCCAGTCGGAGAGAGTGAACGGCCGGCTGCAGCGGCGCCGAGAAGCCTCCGCCATCGCCAGCTCGGACGGCAGCGCCACGCCTGATGGACACAGTAGTGGGAAACGATGGGATGAAACATCCTAATTTTAGTTTGACTTGACGTCGGATTTCTAAGTATCTCTAACATTGTTAGGTGCAGTGTATTCGCTCGACAAAGTGCAAGTTATTCAATGATACAAGTTTCAAGTCATAGGTATTGGCGTGAGCAAAGCAGGTAAGTAGGTAAGTACGGGCTGTTGCATGCTCGGTATGCGCCGGGTCAACCAACAAAAAAAAAAGTCAATATTAGTGGGTAGCCCGTTACACACTGAAAAAGGTGATGCAATCGGTATGCTTTCGTATCGGGCTTACCTTCGTACATCCACCATCGACTGAGAAGCAGCAAGATGAAAATGGGCATCCCGATCTTTAATAATCGGTCTCTTAGCTTAGCCCAGCGTTGATGAGCCTGCGTCATGTTGCTTGATTGTTAATGAAAGTAGAATCTGCGAACGAAGAAAAGGGGAGACGATGGTTTCGCAGCGTAATGAAGCATTTGCTGCAATGGTCAGGGTGAACGTTAGACGCCATTCGTCATTTGGTTATCTCGATCTCGATTGCGTCAGAAATCATGAAGCATGAGTGCAACGGCCGCTCAGCAGGCTGCCGCCGTGCTCGGCGCTGAGGCGGGCGCCACCGCCCACCCCGTTCATACCAACAGTAGCCCAAGTGTGGAATGGATGGCCGGCAGCAGACCAAGATGTGCCCGCCAGTGCCAGCAGCAGCAGCAGTGATCCGACCCGACGCAGCAGCGTTAATCAGTCGCGCACTGCTGCACAGCCGGCCGGCGCTGACCACTGTTGTCTCTCACCGGTCAATGCTGGCCGAGAGATGTAACGATGACCGTCTTCTGTGTCCTATTGGGAACACTCGTGTATACCGCCTTACGCTGATGTACTTTTCACAGTGTAATAACGTCTATAGACAGAATTGATTGTGTTAGACTCGAACAGAATGATCCTCGAGCATCAGCACTCACCAGCCGGACGAGGACAGTGATTTACCTGACCTGGCTGGCATTAACCGAACACCGAGCTGAGCTTGTCGCCGACAGATACCAGCTACCTGATCTGTCGCAGCCGGTCGGGTGAATTGAGCTGACCACTGAAATGCTCAGTGTCACAGACGGTCACCGTGTGCCAGCCTTACTTCTGCCGCGGTTGTGAAGACGATCCGTGACATCCGGTGACCTGAACCAACCTCTGCCGACCTGGTAACCTGAGCCGACCGCTGCCGACTGTGGTCGCAACACTACGAGTACGTCTCCTCACTCGGCAGTCTGCGCCACTCGCCACTCGCTGCAGCTACGAACGGTTCACCGGCGCGCCCACCCGTCCACTGACCTCCGTTGCAGGCGGCGGGCTGCCGAGCTGGAGGCCGGCGGACTGAGTGCACTGCACCGCACCAAAGCCGCGGGGCACAGCAGAGCCGGCCGGCCACTGCGGCCAGTGGCCAATGAACGGCGGTGTGTGGTGAGACTTGGCCTTTCTCTGCAAGGGCAAGGGCAATGACGGAAGAGCGACTGTGTGAATACTGGCGCCGATGGGATAACAAAGCCTTGAATGATCGGAATCAATGATCGTGATAATGAAATGTGTCAGTAGACCGATGAGACGGCAAACAGACAAGACCTTGAGAGAGATCAGAGCACCGGCAGCTTAGAAGCCGTGAAAGGAGCGTGTCGTTATTTCACAGTTCGATGCGAGAATTACGACGGCAAAATCAAATGCATTGATTGACGTACACACCTTACAGCGATGCATGGCGGCATTTTCGTGCAGTTTTAAAGACCGTTCTATTGGATGTAAGCAGGGTAGGAAAAGGATTGTTTGATAAAGTAGTGAGCCATGTTTTAAGCTAGAAGTAACCGCGGTTTTTAATTAGTGCACTATGATTAACATAGGCTTTTTTTAATCGGCAGCAATTCTTGGGGACTCTAAGAGCCGAGGTTCACCAGCAGCACACGAAAATTCCTTTTTAGCCTGCTGATTAAAGTACCGTCCAATGTAGGTATATGTCAATACCCGTCTCGATGCAGGACGAGACGGAAGACAAGGCTGCTGCTTTAGCCCGAGATCCCTCGCCGTCCAATGTTCCGTGCCCGGGTTGTCCCTTCCGCGGTGCCTTGGGACTGTCTCCGCCCTGCCCCTCCGCGGTGCCCGGGACGGACTCCTTCCCTGCCCCTGCCGCTTTGCTCGGGGGATGATTCCAGCCCTGCCCGGTGGCTGCGCCCGCCGCTGGGGCATTCCACGTCAAATCAAACACCGAAATCCGTCATCCCCTTCGATTTTTCTGAAAATTTGTAGGCAGACTGGGCATGGTTCAAAACTGAGTTACGTATAATATTTTCGAAATTTGATAACGTATCGCTGAGATATAGGTCATCGAATATAGCGAAAAATGCCACACATCAATTTTTTAAATGGCTATAACTCTGGTTCCTTTTCTGGTATCAAAATGATATTAACAGGGTCTTATAGGCAATTGATAAGGCTTTGATTTTTAATTATCAAATTAAATTGAAGTGACCTTGAAATGCATTTGACCTTGAATTAAAACAAAAAAATTTAAATAGCAAAAAACACGTCACCTTCGATTTGGGTAATTTTTACATATTATGTTCGTCACAATGTTCCTAACCATCTGTGAAAAAATTGGAGTGGGCCATTCATAACTTTCGCGGCAAACGCCGTTTTCCTGCATCAACATCACGCAACCGCGCGTGACCTTGAAAGACAGAGTCAAGACATGCTTGCTTGTGTGTGTACACTTTCTGAAATGAATGATTGCTGATTAGTGATATTCCAAACTCTGTGAGAATGGAAATGCATAGTCATCGTAGTGAAGCATTCACGTTCCATAGTAAAAGTGTCTCAGGCAAACGGTATTTTGCGGTGAATTTTGAGCCGTGTGGAAATGCATCATGAAGTAAATTCAACGAAAACAACATTATCACGCAACGATATCTTCACGTCTTTTGATCTTCACTATACGAAAAAACATACATTTTTTAGTATGTATGGGGAATTTCTAGTTAATCCAATAATAAATATGGCAGTTAGAGGCCTGCTAAGAGTAACATGTCGCCGGCTGAGGCGGGCTCGGCCGATGCGGGAAACGCAGCAATCACAATTTTGTGTTTACACGTTCATATTTTAATTGTTAACCAACCCATTTTCAAAATTCTTTCACCATAAGATTGCCTGTACATTTCTTAGTCTTCTCACAAAATTTGACGCGAATCGAACGTAATCAGCGGTAGGGAGCGCGATGTAAAGACGGAACCGTTCCGTTCCGTCCCGGCACAGTCTACAATTCAGGCGGCGCGTAGCGGTCGGCGCCGGCTGCCGAGTCGCCGCGTTGCAGCGGCGACAGGATGTTCACTTTACACCGCTATTACTAGAACAGTTGTGAACCGATTTTCTTATTGCTTGCACGATGAGATGTCCAATTCAATTCTTGACAGGTAGCCATAATTAATTTTGCATTAATCTTATGAGATATTGGCGAAAAACAGGAGGGGTGGGCGAAATTCGTTCTTCCCCCTCCACTGCGCGTGCTATTATACGTTTGCATATGTGCAATTTTCTTCAAAACTTATGAATGGCCCACTCTAATTTTTTCACAGGTTGTTAAGAATATGGTAGGCAATAAAATATATGAAAATCAGCCAAATCGAAGGTGACGTGTTTTTTGCTATTTCAATATTTGTGCTTAAGAACAGAGTTAAGCAAATTTCAAGGTCATATATTTAAGTAGGTGCAATTCTAAACAAATGCTTAAGAAATTACCTAAACAGTAAGGATTATTTCATTCAAATCAAACAAGTACAACCAAAGTTATGGTCGTTCAAAAATATAAAGATGCAACATTTTGCAAAAATTTGATGCCCTATATTTAGAAGACCTGTGGTCAGAATGTGCAAAAAACATCAATGTAATGTCCGGGGCCACACAGGAACTCGCTCACAAATTTATAATGAAATCGCTGATGGTAAGGTGCAAAACAGCCGATTTTTGTTCGATTTGACGTGGAATGCCCCCGGCGCTACCCTCGCAGCAGCGCCCGGGGGCTTACTCCGCCCCTGCCCCTCCGTCACTGCCCGGGGCTGTCTCCGCCCCTGCCCTCGCCGTGGTGCCGGAGGGCGCCATCTGGCGGCTCCGGCGCGATGACGTCAGCGCTGCCTATCGGCACACCGCTCGGCGTCGCGTCGGTTGGGGCACTGCTGCCGACAGTGTCTGTAGTGGTCGGCCTAGGTCCGTCTGGAACGATGGCCGCCGGGACGGTCCACCGGCCGGTGCTGGTGCTGCTGCTAGGGCTGGTGCTGGTGAGCGGTGGTGCAGAGGCGCTGGGCCACGAAGCGTACGGCTCGCTCTACCAGATGGGCAAGGAGGCCTACCTGGAGGAGGATTACCGTTCGTGTGTGAACCTGCTGCTGCAGGCGCTGCAGGGCCGGCGCGAGTTCGAGCAGCTGCTGGTCGAGTGCCGTGACCGGTGTCGGCAGCAGGCCGCCGGTGAGCCGCTGCTGATCACCGACGCCGCCGACGGAGAGCTAGCCACCTTCGAGCGGCTGACTCGTGAGACGCGCTGTCTGGTGCAGTGCCACCGGGAGCGGCTCGGCCAGCACGTGCAGCAGTTCTACGACTCGGCCTGGGCTGATGACGAGTTCAGGGAGAGGAAGCCGTACGAGTACCTCCAGCTATGCTACTACAAGGTGAGCGGGACGCCGCGGCTGGGCCGTCCTCTTCGGTGTCCTCTAAACCCTCCCCAAAGCTGCTCCTTGGACGTTCGTTCCCCTCCGGCATCCCCAGTCTTCCCTTCCCTACTCTCGCTCCCCTCCCGGTGTTTCCAGTTCGGGAATGACCACATACATCCCTACTCAGTCACGAACCCCAACATTCCCAGATTCGAGTCGACCTTCGAACCTTCCCCTCCCCTCCCAGTTCTCGAGTTCCAGAATTGTCCCTTGGACCCTCTCCAATCTCCCCTCCCCTCGAGTTTCCTAGCTCCCCAGTACCAACCCTCCCCTCCTTTGCCTCCAGCAGTCTCAGCTCCGGGTGACCCGAGTGACCAGTGACCACATGCTCCCCGCCCCCGCTCCGGTTTGCAGCCGGCGCCTCGTGGCACGTCGTGGGCGAGACGCCGCGCCAGCTGTGCCCGGTCTGTTTATATTGCGGTGCGGCGCCGAGTCGGTGGGCGGGGGAGGGGGAGATTGTGGGGCGGGAGCAGGGTGAGACGGTGGACGGGGAGGGGAGTTGTGGTAGGAGGCGTGAGCTGGCTGAGACGGTAGGTGGGGAGGGTTTGTAAAACGATGAGCAATGAGGGTAAGATAGTGGGCGAGGAGAGTTTGTTAGACGATTGACGGGAGGGTTTGTAAGGCGGTGGGCGGATAGAGTGAAACGGTGGATGGGGAGGGTAAAATGGTGAAACGGTGGACGGGAAGGGGAAGTGAGGTGAGGTGGGGAGCTGAGTGAAACGGTGGACGGAAAGTGTAAGGAAGGGTTTGTCAGACGTTGGGCGCATAGTTTGAGAAGGTGGGCGAGAGGGGAAAGACGGTGCCCGGTGGCTCACTCCGTACCTCACTGTCAATCTGTCCCGTTTCGCAGACTGGTGAGATACAGAAAGCGGCCAACGCGGCCTTCACGGTGCTGCTGCAGCAGCCCAACAATGAGGTGATGCGCGAAAACTTCAAATATTACACCACGATGGAGGAGGTCAACAACGCCGACATCGTCAGCCTGGAGCCGCAGGTGGGGACTGGAGCCGGGGCGACGCTCGCCCGCTGAGGCACTGTCGTACCATGTGTTGTGTATCGTATACGATACACACGATATCGTAAACGATATGAGGTATATCGTATCGTACCTCATATCGTACCTTTATACAACAGCCAGCACTATCCCACTTGCGTGTGTGTGCGCATGTGTCCTGTGCAGCGAGCGTCCACTCATTACACTGTAAGCGAAGTCTTTTCCCGCTGGCAGTTTCCTTGCCCCCTCTCCATACCACCATCTGATAATTTCTGCATCTACACTCTTACCAGGGTACCGGGAGCACACTGAGCTGTACGTGCGCGGTAACGCGGGAATTTCTGCATCCGCCAGGAGCACACTAAGCTGTACGTGCGCGGTAACGCGGGAATTTCTGTACCCGCCAGGAGCACACTGAGCTGTACTTGCGCGGTAACGCGGGAATTCCTGTATCCGTCAGGAGCACACTGAGCTGTACGTTCGCGGTAACGCGGGAATTTCTGTACCCGCCAGGAGCACACTGAGCTGTACTTGCGCGGTAACGCGGGAATTCCTGTATCCGTCAGGAGCACACTGAGCTGTACGTTCGCGGTAACGCGGGAATTTCTGCATCCGCCAGGAGCACACTAAGCTGTACGTGCGCGGTAACGCGGGAATTTCTGTACCCGCCAGGAGCACACTGAGCTGTACGTTCGCGGTAACGCGGGAATTTCTGTATCCGCCAGGAGCACACTGAGCTGTACGTGCGCGGTAACGCGGGAATTTCTGTATCCGCCAGGAGCACACTGAGCTGTACGTGCGCGGTAACGCCGCCTACGAGTCGGAGCGGTGGCCCCAGGTGAGCCGCCTGATGGAGGAGGCGCTGGACGGCTTCCTGGAGGCCGAGCGGCGCTGTCGTACTCTCTGCGAGCGCTTCTTCCCGCAGGGGTTCAACCCGGACTTTGTGTCCAACGTGGCCAGTGAGTTGGGCGGGCGTCCGCTAGTCACCACCCGTCTGTGCGCATACTATGATGAGATTACTGACGGCGGTACGATATATTACGTTTTAATTTATTATAATCATGAAAATGGGTTATTTTTCCTAATCATCAGTCAGCACCGATGTCGCGCTGGCTTATAGGGGATGGTGGGGTAATTTGGCCGCTTTTTTTTAGAAAACGATATAACTTAAAATTGACGACTCATTTCTGCATTTTCTCAACGCTGGCAGGTGTCGCATTCATTTTACTTTATTGGACAGTGAACTTGAAATGATAGAGTAATTACTTATATTGAAATTGTGACGTATTACAAAGGTCTGCAAGGCGGCCAAATTGCCCCACTAGCAGGGTTATTTGGCGGGGGGTGTGGGGCAATTTGGCCGGTGTTAGTTTGCGGTCGGGATTTTCTGTTATATTGCGAGTCAGCTTCAGCTTCAGCAATGACGTGTGTCCTATGACGCATTTGCCGCATTTTGGAGGTTGGCTCAGGTGTCACAGGGGTCAAAATAGCCAAATTAGCGGCTCTAGATGCGATCACAGTTTTTTTACGAATAACTTTTGAAGTAATGAAGCTGGGCCAAAACTTCGAGTACCATCGTAATTCTCTCGTCAGTCCGCATCGAAAGATATATGTGTTGACCTTGAGAAGTCAAGGTCAAAGGTTGACCTCAGGTCACGTTGCATCAGGTCGCTTGACCTCAAGGTCACGTGATTTCAAGGTCATCATGCATATCATTCGATGCGCCTTGGCGAGCTGAACAGAATGAGACCATTTGTGCGGCTGTACCATTTTTATGTAAGGATTTATTAGCAGAAAACGTTTGGTAACCTTTGATGACGTCACATGCTCTTACAGTTGACCAATCGGAAGTAAGGCATCAAAGCAGTCAAAGTTGGTCATTAATCATGTCATTTATGGTACAATTGACCATGAAAACTCGGCCGTCCCAGCGTAGTGACCATGAGCGCACCGGCCAAGTTGCCCCGCTAGTCCCGGCCAAATTACCCCATATTGCCATTCTGAAAAATTTTGTCTATAAAGTCATCACGGCTTTACGGAATTAGATAAAATTGCTCTTGGAACCGCTGAACACCCCCAAGAATGGCGCTATAATGTCTGAATTCGTTTTTAGCCCAAATACTACATGTTATACAACTTTGTAAACAGAAGTAAAAGTTACCATTTTCTAATAAAAGTAACGTTTTATTAATTTTGAATAAAACTACGAGGGGCAAAGTTTTGACATTTGTCCTCCAGTTATTTCTACCCATGACAAATGAATAGAGATTCGAGTTATTTCACTAACTTTTATTAGACATCGTACAGGTGGGGGCGGCCAATTTACACCACCGGCCAAATTACCCCACTCTCCCCTACCCCTTCGTATGGTAGTGACAACTGTTTTCAGATCATTTTGCGTACGTGTTGCGCTGCAAGCTGCGCTGTCCCGAGCAGCTGTCGACGGTGGCGGGAAACTACCTCTCCGACTACCTGGAGTCGCACTTTCACTATCTCCAGTTCGCCTACTTTAAACGTGAGAAACGACTGGGTAAACCTAACCTCAACGGCTGGGTCACTCGAATGGCCTTCCGGCAATGAATGATTTTCCAGTTTCATCGCGAATTACCCGGGTGATGATACCTTGGTCAATGTTATAATCACTACGTTTCCATGGCACAAGTTAATCCGTTTTTGCAAAATGGATGATCTCGATCATGTCATGCAGAGTACATGATATCAAACTGTAAATATAGGATTAAGTGACAGCTAAAGCCATAAATACGCTCATTTTTTGCATAAGGTGAATAGTGTCCGAGAAAAGTGCCCGCGAAATTTCATTAAATCGATTTTGTCGTGGAAACGTAGTAAATGTAACGTAAGGTCTGAATCACTGCATATATAGAATCTGAGCTCGTCGTACCGCCTGCTGCCGTACAGTCATTTTTTAATCACAGTCCTCAGATCATTTTATGGATTATTCCACCGTCTCGTCATTACAATTATAGGCATACGATTGCAACCGCAGGCTGATGCAGTCCATGTATGGTCAACTTACGTTTGTTGTTGATTTGCCATAACGGCCGTTTTGTCCTTTTGCAGAAAACATGCTTCGAGAGGCGTGCAGTAATGTGGCCAACTACCTGTTGTTCAAGCCCAACGACCAGGACATGCTGGGAAATAAACAGCTCTACTTGAAAGAAGAGGACGTTGACGAGAGTTTCTTCACCCCTAGAGCGGTAAGACGCGGGCTTCTGTGAGCCGACCGGCTGGATGTGTTTGTCGCTGGCCACTTAAATTTGACGACACCTGTAATTTGTAAACGAGTCTAAAGCTTTCACTCAAGTGGTAATGACTCTAAATAATGTATGGGGCCGTGGCTACCAGACATGTGCATGGATCCGAGAAAATGGATCTGGGATCTGATCCCACGGATCCTGATCTCGGATCCGACGGGATCATAGATCCAGCTCTGTAATTTATCGAGAGATCCGTATGGATCACAGATCCGAGTCTCATTTTTTGCTTGAGATCCAGTGAGATCATAGATCCTCACTTATCTTCTGTTAACACATGTATCCCAAAAAAGCACTTGTTTCAACTCAAAAACGTTCTGTTTTAGTGATTTTATGTGATCGCACGTCATGATCCATAGTTTTGTGTCACTTATTGGCATTAGAAACCCTTTAAAACATGGTTTCAAATGTGGTGCCTGGTGGGATCCACCCAGATCATAGATCCATGTTCTTAATATATCGTCAGATCATATGAGATCATAGATCCAAGATGTATTTTTCACGCCGGATCCGGTGGGATCATAGATCCCAACCTGTACTTTGCTTCGAGATCCACTGAGATCATAGATCCATTACTCGGATCCATGCACATATCTGGTGGCTACTGAAATTTGTTCAATCGTTCAAATGACCTCCATTTACACAGGACTGAAGTCAGCTACAGATACCGACTCAATTATTTCAATGCCATATGGTGTTTGCGTGGACCAACATCACGGCACAGGGAGAATGTAATCAGCAAATGCATTCCCTGGAAATATTAATCAGTCGCAAGTAGTCGAGCACCGCTCTCTGATTAGTTTGATGGCTTTGACAGCCATGCTACGAATACCTACATGACATAGCTTCACAGACGATCGTACTTTCAAAATCGTCCACGGAGGTTAAATTGTACGTATGTATAACGCAGTACGCATTTACTTCCGTGTTTGCTAATGTCGAACGTTCTTTGGCAGGATATTCTGGAGATTTCCCGACGAATTGAAAAGGAAAGGAAGCTGGATAACTACATATTGGAATATTTCCGCTTCAGCGACGATGATGCACGGAAGAAAGGGGTAAGTTTCCATATTCTCCTCCATGGGCTCAAAATCATCAGCGCGTCTTGCTTGTGCTAGTGGTCGTTTGCAAGTGGCTTTAAATGATGAACTTCCCTATACATGGCCTGCTTGTTGCATTGACGCTATTTTTCTCCTTGTCTTTATAACGAACGTTGGTTACGAATGTATTCTTAGCGTGCATTGTAGCAGGCGCCTTTTGGTATGTTCATCTGGGACGGGACCGAAGGGCGAGAACGGTGGGCCGTTTGAGAGGATATTGTAACTCGCCTATGCATTCAGAGGCGCGCCACCGGCCACTCCAGGCTTGCTGCTGGCTGTTGCTAGGACAGAGAGTAATCTTGGCTGGGACTGCCTGGTCAACTGTAACCCTGGGGTGCTCGGCCGCTTGGCTTGCAGGCCCCTACTAACGGGCAGCGGACGGCCGTTTCAGGACACGGCGGAAGCGTGACTAATGCGGCTCAACGTGAGGATCTCATACGGGGCGTAGTGCGCGCTACCAGCTTCCAGTCGCTGCTGCACTGCCTTTGGGACGTTCGAACGTTTGACTGGCTACTGGGACGGGCCAGTCCGCCCACCGGTGCTGCCTGACCGCCGAGACGGACGCTCACTAACAGACTCAACCGGCGGCGGTCGGCTGCAGGGCGCGGCAGGGGTGTGAGTGCGGTCGCAGCTCTCAAAACGGCCGGAACGCAGCTGTGGCTTATAACTCGGAAGTGCTTGCCAAATGTGTGAATGTTCATGGATAGCAATCGTACCAGTGTAACGTTTCTCAAGTGTCCCAAGTGACATGCGCGTTCCCGTTCGCTCATGAATTTGATTTGATGGTCACTTTACGTTACTCGTTGCAGGCTAGCCTACCATTCACTGGCAGTGCTTAGCCATATTTGTTCGTGTTGGTGATACGCATATACATTTGCTTGTGTAGACTGTTGCTGATTTGTCTTGAAACACAATATTTTGAATTCGTTAGAATTTAGAAATAAAATACTCCGTCTGTGCATTTCCAAAAGGCTGATTGTATGGCAAGATTGTATGGCGGTCATCGTGCCGTACAGGTACTGTCTATTGAATGTTTTTTGTTGTGAAAACTTATGCACGTGCTAGGTACCTAGTATGCCACTCATTTTGAATTGTCTCCTATAGTTTTTGTTGTTGTTGTACTATTGGATTGCTCGATACCCTAGTCCAGTACGCTCAACGTTTCAAAACTGAATACATATGTAAACCTCCTGTCTGTGTGTATTGAATTGTTTTTCACTATGTGTTTACTGTTTCTGGCCTATTGTCAGCCAAAAAAGTTGGTAAGTCGATAAGTCGCACAAATCCAAACAGTATTGTGCAACATCTATGCTTCTCAGCATGAAGACGGCGGGAGGGACGTGGATATCCCACCAGAAGGAAGCGCTCGAACGGGAGCGGGTACTCTCACAGCCAGCTCCGGCTCAGCCGAGGTGTGGGTCGAGGGTTGGCGGGCGGCCGGGTTCAGAACCGCAGAGGAAAGTCGGGAGGAGCAGGGGGTTTCCGACGCTCTGCTGGAGCTGCACAGCAGGCTGACGGCGGGCAGCACTGCCCCGGACGTCTCGGGGCCGCGGCTGGACAGAGTCGTCCTCACCAGCGGGGAGGCGGAGCTCGGCGGCCCGCGGAGACTCGTGGCCGACCACCTGCTGACGGCCGGCGAGTGTCAGCGGCTGTCGGATCTGCTAAAGGTCAGTGAGCAGTGACACAAGCTGTCGGATCTGCTGCAAGTCAGTGTCAGAGTCAGTCGGATATAATGGAGGTCATTGTCAGGTCAGTGTCAGCGGCTGTCTGATCTGCTGGGGGTCAGTGTTGAGGCTGTCTGATCTACTGCAGTTCAGGTCAGAGGCTCTCGAATCTACTGGAGGTCAGTGTGAGTGACTGAATTACTGCAGATCAGCATCAGAGACCGTTGGATCTACTGTGCCAGACACTGGTCTTTAGGTTAGGCTGTCGGATCCGGTAGGCACTTGAGGTCAAACCGTTTACGATTCAGTCATTGTGCGGAGTGGTTCATTGTCGTCTGTCTCCATTGAGTATCGCGCGATGGGGCGGGAGGCGGCACTGGTCGCCGGTCAGCGCTGACAGGCGAGGAGAGACCTCGACCCACACCTCGGCTGAGCCGGAGCTGGCTGTGAGAGTACCCGCTCCCGTTCGAGCGCTTCCTTCTGGTGGGATATCCACGTCCCTCCCGCCGTCTTCATGCTGAGAAGCATAGATGTTGCACAATACTGTTTGGATTTGTGCGACTTATCGACTTACCAACTTTTTTGGCTGACAATAGGCCAGAAACAGTAAACACATAGTGAAAAACAATTCAATACACACAGACAGGAGGTTTACATATGTATTCAGTTTTGAAACGTTGAGCGTACTGGACTAGGGTATCGAGCAATCCAATAGTACAACAACAACAAAAACTATAGGAGACAATTCAAAATGAGTGGCATACTAGGTACCTAGCTCTGCCGTGCAAAGGAAAAAAAGGGTATCTCAGAAAACTCAACTTTTCAGGAGAGCTAAAAAACGATTTCTGGCCGTTTATGTCTTTTCCTTCACATCTAGGTTAATGCTGAGGTTATTGTTTACCATCATTCGATCACTTACGGTTTGATGCGTACCACGGTACCTTTTTTATTTTCATGATATGTATATGGGATAAGTTATGATGGATAATGTTTATTGCCTTTGCATCTGAGAGCCATAAGACAGCCATAGTGCAAGGGAAAAAAGGGGCAAGTCGCCGACGACTGAGATGCCGCTTTTTTCCTTTGTAAAGTGACGCTGATTTTCACACATGTACAACTCTTGTAAAAGAATGAATGGCTGAATGAATGACTGGAAGATACCATTGGCCCCCGGATGACGAGAGCCTCCGGTGACCGAGACGCCGGCCCCATCCGTTCCCTGGGGAATCACGAGCCCCCCCCCCCCCCCCGGAGTCCTCGGCGGCCAAGTTTGGAGCCTGGCCAGCGCCTCTTCACTCCTCTTGGAACCCGGAGGGCCTCGTGATTCCTCAGGGAAGGGACGGGGTCGGCGTCTATTCACCGAAGGCTCCAAACCGCCGGTCTCTTGATTCCCAAGGGAAGGGACGGGGCCGGCGTCTCGTCAGCCTAAGCATCAAAGTCTACCGGGAACTCGGAGGGGCTTGTGATTCCCCAGGGAAGAGACGGGACTGGCGTATCGTCACTGGTGACTGGAGGCTCGAAACTCGGCCGGGAACCCGGAGGGGCTCGTGATTCCCTAGGGAAGGAACGGGTCCGGTGTCTCGTCAGCGAAGGCTCCGAAGCCTTCCGGGAACCCGGAGGGGATCATGATTCCCCAGAGAAGCGACGAGACCGGCGTCTCGTCTTTGAAGGCTCCAAACTGTTGTTGTTCTTGTTGTCCCTCCGCTCAGTCAAGCGTAGCCGAACGGCTCTGGAGATACCTGGTAGCGGTCGCCAGGGCCGCCACCACGTCGTCGTCCCGCAGGTCCTTTAGGTGTGGGTGTATAGACCCCAGCACTCGCTTACGGGTTCCCATCAGAGCCGCGCAGCGCGCCAGGACGTGCCTCCTCTTTGCAGATGGGGCACCGCGCCGCCGGGCACATGTGGTTGTTGCATTGTTCCGTGCGCCCGCCAGGGTTCCGTCCAATCCTGTGTAGGTATTGTGCCGACGCCGATCAGTGACTGGCTCGTAACTGATGGACGTCGGCCGCCCTCGTTCGATCCAGGACGGTCACCGGCGGAGGGGGGTTGTTCATGGGCTGGCCGGTGTTCTGCACCGGCGAGCCCATGAGGTCCCGGTACCAGCCCTTGGGCCACCTCGCCGTCACTCGCGCCCGCGCCGATCTGGTCGCGGCTCGGTGAACCGTTTGCACGTCCAGCGGTGCTCTTTGGCCAGGGTGTCCGCTCGTTCGTGTCCCACCAGCCCGCAGTGAGATGGGACCCACTGCAGATGGGCCCGGCGGCCCCGCTCCGCCAGCGTAAGCAGGCGGGCCGATAGGGCCGACTGGCTGTCGGTGCACAGCATCACCGGGCCGCCCGGGTCCTCCTCTGGGTGGTCCAGCAGCCAGCTCAGCGCCATGGCCAGGGCCACCATCTCGGCCCGGTAGCTGGAGCACAGCCGGCCCGCTGGGGCTCGCAGTTCCTGCTCTTCTCCTCCCGGACGAACCACCAGCGCGCCAGCGCCTCATTGTCCACTCCGCCCTCCGCCGAGCCGCCCGTCTTCTGTCCGCTGCCGACGCGCCCAGCGGCAGCTCGCCGACATCCAGGGCCAGCGAGACACCAGCCGTGCCCATCCACGGCGGGGGGCGGCGGGAGATCATCGGTTCGACGGGGCCCGTCACACCGGCTGCCGTCCAGACTTCCCGGCCCAGAGAGCGCTATCCCCCGGTACTCCTCAGGCGTACGGTGGGACAGGCCTCCGCTACTCTTCTAAGAGGGTACTCCCGGGGTAGAGCCAGTGCTTTGGCCAGAAATATCGCCGCTAGGGACTCTCTTCTTGCTGCGACTGGCACTAGGCCCGCTTCCGCCATCACCGCGTGGGCTGGGGTGGAGAGGGGGTACGCAGCGATGATGCGCACCACCGGCCACCGCCCTCATCTCTCTCTCTCTCTCTCTCTCTCTCTCTCTCTCTCTCTCTCTCTCTCTCTCTCTCTCTCTCTCTCTCTCTCTCTCTCTCTCTCTCTCTCTCTCGCTCTCGCTCTCGCTCTCGCTCTCTCTCTCTCTCCAACAGCTCCACGTGGGAGGGGGTGTCGCCGGGAGCCACGCTGATACCGCGTGCTCCATAACCCCACGGATGTAGCCCTGGGCCACCGCCCACCACGCGGAGCTGGCGTTCTTCTAAGCCCCAGCTGCGGCCAGACAGCTTTTTGAGTTGGCGGATCCTTGGTCGGGTTCGCACCTTCAGGCTCCAAACTCCGACGTGGACCCGGAGGGGCTCGTGATTCCCTAGAGGAGGGACGGGGCCAGCCTCTCGTCAGCGAAGGCTCCGAAGTATATCGGAAACCCTGAGGGGCTCGTGATTCCCCAGGGAAGGAACGGGGTCGGCGTCTATTCGCCGAAAACACCAAAGTCCGCCGGTGATTCGGAGGGTCTCGTGATTTCTCAGGGAGGTGGCGTCTCGTCACCGAAGGCTACGAAGTATTCAGAGAGCTTGGAGGAGCTCGCTATTCTCAAAGGAAGGGACGGGGCTGGCGTCTCGTCTCGTCAGCTTAAGCATCAAAGTCTAACGGGAACTCGGAGGGGCTTGTGATTCCCCAGGGAAGGGAGGTGGCCGGCGTCTCGTCATTGGAGGCTCGAAACTCGGCCGTGGGCCCGGAGAGTCTCGTGATTCCCCAGGGAATGGAGGGGGCCGGCGTGTCGTCAGCGATGACTCTTCAGTCTTCTGGGAACCCGAAGGGGCTAGTGATTCCCCAGAGAAGCGACGGGACCGGCGTCTCGTCACTGAAGGCTCTAAACTCGGACGGGCACCCCGGAACCCGGAGGGGCTCGTGATTCCCCAGGGAAGGGTCTCGTCACCGGAAGCTCCAAAGTCAGCCGGGAACTCGTGCGTGTATATGGGGGGGGGGGGAGGGGTACTGAGAATAGGATGCTATCGCTAACCGACGGCGATCACTATGGCGCCAAGATCATAGGGGTGGCGCACCCTTTGGATGTTGGAAATGTTTGCGTTCTTAATTTAGCGACCATTATAGTAGGCGACGCCAAACAACAAAAGCAGATGGATATATGTAAAATTAAGGTGAGTCACTTGTACCAAAAAACTGTTTAATAAAAAAAAATTGTCGGTATACTCGTACTGACCCAACGCTAAAATAAGATCCATTCAAGCACCGCCATTTATACCAATGATTTACAATACGAACGGGTCATGGAGCACCTCTCTCTTGGAGATTCATTCACTCTGGCCGAGTTGCCACTTTTTTCCCTTGCAACGCCTTGTAGATCACGATGAAAGGTCAAGGGAAAAAAGCGGCATGTGGTCAAATCGAACTTACCCCTTTTTTCCTTTGCATATCTGATGTCTTTTGGGCACTCTTTACAAAATAATAGCTTTTGCCAAAATTAAAATGCTTATATCTCAAAATTTTACATATATAACCTAACAAGATATTAGTATCAGACTATTTGTCTCGTAGAGATCTACCTAGTGATATCAATATCTTAAAATCACCAAAAATTGAGTTACCCTTTTTTTCCTTTGCACGGCAGCAGTACGCTCAACGTTTCAAAACTGAATACATATGTAAACCTCCTGTCTGTGTGTATTGAATTGTTTTTCACTATGTGTTTACTGTTTCTGGCCTATTGTCAGCCAAAAAAGTTGGTAAGTCGATAAGTCGCACAAATCCAAACAGTATTGTGCAACATCTATGCTTCTCAGCATGAAGACGGCGGGAGGGACGTGGATATCCCACCAGAAGGAAGCGCTCGAACGGGAGCGGGTACTCTCACAGCCAGCTCCGGCTCAGCCGAGGTGTGGGTCGAGGGTTGGCGGGCGGCCGGGTTCAGAACCGCAGAGGAAAGTCGGGAGGAGCAGGGGGTTTCCGACGCTCTGCTGGAGCTGCACAGCAGGCTGACGGCGGGCAGCACTGCCCCGGACGTCTCGGGGCCGCGGCTGGACAGAGTCGTCCTCACCAGCGGGGAGGCGGAGCTCGGCGGCCCGCGGAGACTCGTGGCCGACCACCTGCTGACGGCCGGCGAGTGTCAGCGGCTGTCGGATCTGCTAAAGGTCAGTGAGCAGTGACACAAGCTGTCGGATCTGCTGCAAGTCAGTGTCAGAGTCAGTCGGATATAATGGAGGTCATTGTCAGGTCAGTGTCAGCGGCTGTCTGATCTGCTGGGGGTCAGTGTTGAGGCTGTCTGATCTACTGCAGTTCAGGTCAGAGGCTCTCGAATCTACTGGAGGTCAGTGTGAGTGACTGAATTACTGCAGATCAGCATCAGAGACCGTTGGATCTACTGTGCCAGACACTGGTCTTTAGGTTAGGCTGTCGGATCCGGTAGGCACTTGAGGTCAAACCGTTTACGATTCAGTCATTGTGCGGAGTGGTTCATTGTCGTCTGTCTCCATTGAGTATCGCGCGTCCGTTCCAGACGGTCGGCGCTGTGGGTGACGGGTACCGCCGCAAGAACCCGCTCTCCAAGCAGGAGCAGCTGGTGGGCCTGTCGCTCGGGCGGCTCGTCGCGGTAAGAGGCGCGGTCGCACCGGCGCACCGGCGATAGATACCGCAGATCCATCCACATCCCGCTGGGTTGTTAGAGCATATCCGCCGTGATCGTCAACCATCCATTGATACCGAAATTCAATTTTAGGCTCTTTGAATCACTGAATTACGGTCGAAGCGAAAATGTGATAAGCAGACCCTGTTGGCCCGTTCGACCCACAGAGCGTAGACAGGGGCGCTGCGTCTCGTGAGGATCTGCAGCTTCTGATGGAAGTCTCCGACGCCGCCCGACTGTATGTGTCACGACGGTGGGGTGTGGAACCCCTCTACTCGTCCTTCACACACCTCGTATCGCGAACACCCGTCCCAGGTCAGTTTGGGTGGCTACTCTTCTATCCCCACGTCCATTAGGTTTAAGTGAACCTTACCGCACACCCGTCCCAGGTCAGTTGGGATGGCTCGTCTTATGTCAGTTGCAGTTGACAAATATTATGTCGGTTTGATATCCGGGATGACCGCAGGCTTCCTACACCGCTCGCACCCACATGCCCCACCCACTGCTGCCCCTCAGTCTTGCAGTGCGGACGTTGTCTCACGAAGCCCTGTGCCTGCAGGGCTCAACTCGAGCCGGCCGCTGGAGTTCAGTCACCCCATCCACGTGGACAACTGCCGCCTGTTCAACAACGGCACCTGCTGGCCGGGCGGCGGCGCCTTCATCCACCGGCACTTCAGCGCCATCCTCTACCTCAACAGCGACTTTGACGGCGGAGAGTTCGTATTTGCCGACATCGTCAGCCGAAAACCAACCGTGAGTAGTGTAGTAGCATCTGTTCCTACATGGGACAGTAGTGGTATCTCAGTATGTAACATTGCTCTCAGATTACGCACTTCATCCGGTGGACCTCAGACCAACCAGATCTCTCAGCGTTCTCAACGTAAGCTACAAAAAATGCCACGTGCTTTGCCCAGGATGAAATTCGCTCGACTGGTTAACAGCGCAAGGAGACCAGACAGACCAGAGGTCCTGCTGCTCTCCACCGTGGATGCAGGGACGTGCACATTTGCCGCGTCCCGTGGACCCCTCTGCGGCCGCCCGTCAGAGCTGTATGTCCGCCCCCGGTGTGACGTCCGCGGCCCCGGTGTGTCAGGTGCGGGTACAGCCGCGCTGCGGCCGGCTAGTGGCCTTTTCGGCCGGCCCGGAGAACCCGCACGGCGTGCTGGCTGTGAGGCGTGGCACGCGCCGCGCGCTGGCCATGTGGTTCACACGCACCGGCCGTCAGCGAGAGGAGGAGCGCTTACTGGCCGATATCTACCTGCGCGACAGCAGCGCGCTTGGTGAGTGAGAGCGTCCTTTGGCGGACCCCGGGGAGCGGCATCGCGCGACCGGTTAGAACAGGACTCAACGAGGCCAGCACGGGGCAGCGCTCTCGTCAGGGAATGATACGTCCAGGTCAAACGGAGGAAACCCATGCTCAACATTCATGATAGAATCGTACTTCACGTCACCCTGACTTTCCTCTGTAAATACATAACGTACTTGCACATCGCTTTATATCACTTTATTTGTACTTTTTCGTACCGTTTTCGCACTGTCCACACAATCATTTTCAGAGCCTTGAACACTAACGCACAACGTTGTCATTTTACTCCAGAAGTTCGTCGGATGGTCTCTTTACTGGAGAGGAATTTCGAGCGGGCCGACAAGCTGGTGTAGAGGTGATCTACCCGCGGAAGGCAGCAGTAGCCGCACGAGGGCGCTCCGAGCAAGGATATCGTAAAGTAACCGAGACGCCGGCAGAAAGGCGACGAGGCGTCTTCACATCCGGAGGGGCGTCAAGCGGGTGTGTTTCCGAGGCTGCTCAGCCCCGGCAGCCTACATACGGCTTCAGTGAAGCTACTGGTGTACAGGGTGTCTCAAAAGTTCGCTTACACATTTCCCATGTCAATAAAGCATATAAGAACCGGCCAAAAATCTAAGGTTTTGGTGTCCGTGTGTACACTAGACAAATATGCATGCTTTGACAACTGATTCGGAAGGTTTGAAACCAAACCCTTTGGTGTATCTCCAAAAATATTTGCCCATACCGATTTTCGTCACTCCGTCAGCTGCCGGAGGCTGATAAAAGGTTACCAGCTTTCAAGCTCTTGTTGGGGAATCCCCCGCAGTTTCTGCGTCGGATTTAGGTTTGACGAGCTCCCCGGCAACATCCGCTTCTCCCTGAAAGCCGATAGCTTGCATCGACACCATCCGTGAGTATTTTGTAGGTCTTCTCTGGCGCTAACTCCTTCATGAATGACTGGCGCCGACCTCCCAAGCACCATTTTCCTTTTCAAAACAACCCCATTCCTGAACAAATGGGAAGTGCCAGGGGCAAATTTTTCGCAGCATATCGTAGCAGAATGTGTCGGCCGTCTGTTTTTTAGACACATTTTGCAAAATTTGCAAATCCCGAACGCTCGTCATTCCCAATGCCAAGACCTTCGCTGGGTTCCGGAGTGTTTTCCTCAGGAGAGGTTCTGCTTCGTAAACGGCCAAAACCTGTCCATCGTGCGGTTTTGTCCGGATTTTGTGTGTAAAAGAAAGCTATTTGCTCCAGATCTGCCTCTTGAAACTTCGTTAGATAAAACTTTACATTAATTGACACTTTTGGAGGGTCACTTGTCCTCGGCATTGACGATTTTCGCATTATTTTCCCTCAAAATTTAGCGTTATAGATATTATAAACAATTTTAAATGATATTTTGTCTTTACTTTATGATGACCTGCAATTTTTGAAACTGGGTAACCTCTGTCTGTGAGCTTCTAGTCAGTTTTCAATAGTTAGGACTGCATTTTCAGCTGCTTTCCGGAGCACGAGTCTGCTGCGGTACAAGGGTCGTTCAAAGCGCTGTTAGTCTCGCATGGTTTTGTCCTTCAAAAATTTTAGCCACCGTTTTTATTAGATGACCATCATGTTGTACTCAACCTCGCCGACATTTTGCCATGTGTCATTTCCGACCTAACCATTCCCATTACTCGTGAAGCAGAGAGTTTCTCAGCCGACCCGAGTATGCGACCTCCATTTTCATGCCTGATCCATGGTCAGAGGTGAACCCTTTTTGTGTGCTCATGAAGGGTCGAATGCGCTTGAATACAATGAAGCTGCTTGAGGAAGGTTGTTACCAATGCCCATGCAAAATTTCGACTGTTAATTTCATGTTGATTCAGAATTATTGACAAAAAAGCATGGCTGGTACCTGTAAGCGAACTTTTGAGACACCCTGTACATATCACATATGTTCAATATACGTTGAGAGGTAAGTGGACATATGGGTTCATAATATAAATTAATACATTCGTTGCGTTCGCAAGTAGAAAAATCGCGATCACATACCAGTAATTGCATTGATAACAGACAGGCCTCCCAGAGGCCGGGCCCAGTCCCACTACTGCTCACCGGTCAGGACCGGGACCGTTTGGACGGTGGCCAGCTGAAGTCCAGGTCCAGGTCACAGAGGGCGTCATCGGCCGACTCGAACTGCGACTGACCGCCGGCGCAGACCGGCGCGGCTGTCTCGGAGGGCGCCGGTAGGGTGGTCCGGTCCGCGGCAGGCGTCCGCTCGCCGCCGCCACACGCCGCGCCGGGACCCTGGGCGGGCGGTGCGGCGGCGGGGGCGGCGCTGAACCGCGCCAGCTTGCTCAGCGTGGCGGCGGACAGGGTGCGTCGGCTCGGCTCGGCAGAGGAAGCCGTCCCGCTGCCGGCGGTACCGGAGGGCGGGGACGTCTGGTCTGGTGCGGTCCGAGTCTGAGCCGGCCGGCTGGAGCGCGCACCGCGGCCGCGAGCCACACTGACTGAACTGGGACGGCCGCCGCCTGCACCTTCTGAGCTGACTCGGCCGCCAGCATCGCCATCTGCGATCAGTCTGTCACATACACCCTCTGAAACAAGCCGAGCGCCCCCGCTCTCCGCCCCTCCCGGCGGGCCACTGGGCCGGTCCGAGAGACTAAAGTCATCCAGGTCATCTGACTCCATAGGTGCGATGCGGTTAGACGAATCAGTCGTCTTATCGCCGTGCAGCGCGGCGGCCCGATAACAAGTCTTCTTGACTGGCGAGCGGGACCCAGCGGACACAGCACGCCTCTCCGTCGACGGCCTGGCACGGACGAATTTGAACCTGTCCAGCTGGAGGGCTGGCCGCCGATCGTCCACTGGCTCTGGAGGTGTGCGATCGGTGGCAGGACGTAGCCGAGTCAGCGAGTCGGCGGGTTCAGTAGCGCGATTTTGAGAGTCTGCGGGTTCAGTCCGACGAGGCTGAGAGTCAGCGGGTTCCGCAGGACGGATCCGTCTCACAGAGTCCGTGGGCTCAGCGTTCGCGGGTGCGGAGTCGGGGTTTGTCACGCATGCTGCCGCGCGTGCCTTCAGACTGGCGAATCGACTCCGGGAGTTGGTAACCCCAGCCGCGTCGGCCCGTGGAGTCGTATCAGCCGCTGGTTCCTGGCCCAATCGCCGGGACTGCGATCGGTCGGGGGACGACCTGCCCTCAGGGCACCGAATTTCACCGTTCTGCGGAGCACCCTGCCGCGTTTGCTGCTGTTGTTGATGCCGCTGCCTCTGATGCTGCTGTTGTTGGCCGCCCGGCTCGTCCGCCGGGACTTCCTCGGCCGCGTCCGACCAGCGCTTCTCGTCCAGCGCCGCCAGCTCAGCCGACAGCAGCTCGTCCAGGCCGAGCCGACCCAGAATCAGCTCACCTGACGGACACGGCGACAGTCAGACAGATCGGTAAGCCACCACAGACAGATGGATACAGCATAGCTAGATGGGTGCGGCACGGACGGCTAGATACATCGCGAAAGGACGAAAGACCGACCGACAGACACAATAGTAGGAATTTGTGCTGGTAGATGGGCACCGCGCATACACAACTAAGAGACGGACATAGGCAGACGGACAGCTCTAAAACGGAGCCAACAGGAAAACAATCTCATAAGAGAGATGCTCTGGGTTACCTGGCTATTGTCCCCCGCACCGTATCGCCCTGTCAGCCGGGGTTGATCGTGTTCACGTCTAGTGTTACTCCGACTCGACAGTCGTACTCACACTGCGCGCGGTACTCGTCGGCCGGACTGTCCGGGAAGCCGGTGTGTAGGATCGAGCCCACGCCGTCGGCTCCGAGCAGTCCGCCGCCCAGACCGCCCAGTGACGCCTCCATCAGCGTGACGGCCACCACGGCATCACAGAGCCGCGCTCCGTCCGTCGAGCAGCGGAGCCGCGCGTGCGCCTGTGTCAGCCGCAGCAGCGACTCCAGCAGCCGGACCGTGGTGCGGGAGCGGCCCACCGCCTGCTGACTGCGCAGTCGCTGGTGGCGGGACGAGAATAAGAGTCACTGGGAGAGATCGGTCACTGGCCGGTGAGGGGGGGGGGGAGGAGAAGACAGCAGTCACTGGAAGGGACACCGCTCACTGAGAGCGGGACACAGGTCACTGGGAGAACAAGCAGTGATCACTGCGATGAACAACGGTCGACAAAAGAACACACAGTGGTAAGTGGGACCACGCACGCACTGCGTACCAACTACGAAGACCGAACGCCGTGATATGTATGAAGGGCGACAGGCTGCGGGTCTGTATGAGGGCCAAACCCGGCAGTAGGTCTGTATGAGGGTCACACGTAAAAGGTTTGTATGGACTGGCCGTGTCCGTACCTGGTAGTAGGTCTGCAGCACGGTGACGGCGTCGCTGTCCGGCTGCGGCTGCAGGGTTCTCACGTGGGCCAGGTACGCCTGCAGCGTCTCCAGACTCCAGTCGGCCGTCTCTGAGCTCGGATCGCCGGTGTCCGCGGCGCCGCCGCTCAGCGGATCCAGGCCGGATAGGATGTATCCGGATACCAGCCTGTCGGGATCGGGAGCAAGTATACGGTTAGATGCAGGACAAGAAGGACACCGATACCAGCCTGGGGCTCCTGGACGTCGTCGATAGTAGGACACCGCTTCGCTTTATACTGGCCGGTCTGGCCTGCCGCCGTTCGGCGATTTCGGCCGAGAGGACACCGAAATAATAGAATATGGTGAGGTTAGCAAGCGCAGTAACTTTATTGATACTTTTTAATAATTCTGTTAGCTGGTTTAGGACAATCACTGGTCAGCGGCTGCCGTCTTTGCAACTGATGAGGCGACTTTCAGACGGAGAGCAGCATACGCGGCTAAGCAGCCCGTCAAATGAGAGCAGCGGCAGCGCCAGCGCCCGACGTCAACTTACTTGTCCCAGCCGGGGCTGCGCCCGTCCTTGAGCACCAGGATCAGGTCGAACCGGGAGAGAAGTGGCGAGCCGAGCCCCAGTCGCGAGAGCACGTCTCCGTCCGCCCCCCAATCGACCGGCTGGCGCGGGTTGGCCGCCGCCACAATGGAACAGCGCGTATTGAGCTTACACACCATCCCCGCCTGACGGAGGAAGGGACCGGAACGTCAATATCACGGCAGGACTGTCATGAGAATGTGAATCATTCACGACAGAAACATCACGAGAACATAGAGTCGGCAAAACAGCGCCAGATGAGCAAGACAGGATTGGAAAGTGAGCATCGAGCAACCAGTGAACTGTATCACAAACACGACAAGCCGAGCGCCGGCTAGGTACAGATTTAACTCAGCCATCCGACTGCACAACGGCGCACAGTGGCCGGTCGCCCGTCCGCCGACGCGCGCTCACCTTGGCCACACTGATAGTCTGCTGCTCCATGGCCTCGTGGATGCTAGTCTTGTCGGCCTCGCGGACCGAGTTGAACTCGTCTATACAGCAGACGCCGCCGTCGGCCAGCACCAGCGCGCCGGCCTCCAGCTGCCACTCGGGACCCTCCTGGGCGGACACACGGTGGACAGTCAGAATAAAAGACCATTACATCACCTGCTGGACAGGACAAACACATGGGTGCAAACTGAGAACTAAGTTAGTTACATACTGACCCTGAAAATGCTACATACCGAGGGGATCCTGCCTAGGACGGAAATACAGACCGCTGACCTGACGTATAGTGTTCGACTACTCCAGTAGAAAGAGGCATGAAAGGCTGAAGAAGGCGACTTAAGAACCTGGCGGCGATCACACTTATGTACTAACTTTGACGGCGGCGCAGGTGGGGGACTATATCAAACCTTGACGGCGGCGCAGGTTGGGACTCTCTAACCTTGACGGCGGCGCAGGTCAGTCCGGCCGAGGTGGAGCCGATGCCGGTGGTCAGCACGGAGCGCGGCACCAGTCGGGCGGCGTACTGCAGCAGCTGAGACTTACCAGTTCCTGACGGCGGACGACAGGGAAGGGGGCCGTCGGCGGGTCTGGTGGCAGCTGGTGTGACAGCCAGAGGCAGGAATGACGGCCAACGGGGCAGGAACAGCGGCTAACGGGGATTGGGAACGGCCAATAGGGCGGGAGCAATAGCCGAATATCGGCGCCACGCGGCCGGGACACGGAGACCGAATATGCGTGAGCCAATCATTAAAAAGCAAATCATACGAGTTGTTTTCAGATGGCCATAAAACCTATGCTATTTTAATTAATTTTTTTATGAAAACTAGAAAAAACGGCATAAGGAATCTACGATAAAAGAAACAACTAACAAGGGAGTAGGGACCATAGACGGTAGATCAGTCAATAAAACGACAAATTACGACATTTCACAATGGTAACAAGTGAGCCCCTAACGTAATCCTTCCACAGAGCTCGCCGTGCGCTGACTTGGGCCCGGCGTGTGTCCTGCCCTGACCTGGGTCACCCACGAGCAGCAGGTGCGGCTCGCCGCGCGTGGCCGTGGTGCCGTCACCGCGCCGCACGCCTCCCACCAGCGTCAGCGCCACCGCCAGCTTCACCACGTACATGCCGTATATCTGCGGAGGGACCGGAGACGCCGGTTAGACTGCACCCGTAACAATATCAGTACCTATGGGCATGGATTACTATGGATTACTAGCAGTGAAACATCTCACGGAACAAATCTTCCAAGCTAAAAAAAAAAAAAAAAAAAAATGAGAAACAGGCCACTTTTCTGACACTAATGGGCATTGACCTCTCAGACAGACCACGTGATCAGCAGAGTTTGACCGCTTGGTCACGCTACGTCGGACTGCTATGTCGGAACATTTCCCAGCCACCCGACCACCGACAACTCTAACCGCGCCACACCAGGATGCTTCACGGATACGGGACTGTTGGAGCCCGCGGCTCACCTGCGAGCAGAAGCGCTGCAGGATGCGGTTTCTCCCGGCCAGCGGGTCGTGCCGGTGCCGCCGCCAGAACTCGTCGAACTGAAGACGCCGCTGGTCGGTGAGCAGCAGGCTGCCGCGCTGCTCGCTGTTGACGAACACGCGGTTGGCGTGCAGCGTGAGCTCGATGTCGGGCGGCGCGCCGCGCACCACTGAACGCCACCGCTGGCGCACTGTGCCCCTGTGGAGGCCGCCGGTCAGAGGATGGAGCGGGGAGGGGACGGAGGTCTGGTGTGGGTGGCGGGACGATAGAGGCTCCGGACAGCGGCCCAATTAGACTAAAACGTAAGCATGCATTAATATTGATAAAGAGATAACTACTTACAAACTTCAATCAATAACAAAACAATGTGCATAAGTGAACGCACGACGACTACAGTTTAGTTAAGTCAAGTTTCGTTTGTCTGTAGTTAGTTTCGGATTAACGGTAGCTCGTGAATTAACGACACATATATGCATCCGCTAGTAAGCAGAAAACGAAGAGCCAGACGACAGACCTCAGTAACCAACACCCAGCAGCTCTATCACGGAAGCCTTGCCAGGTGCTGTACTACTCACGTAATCAGCACGTCATCGCCAGCCTTGCACGAATCGACCAGATCATCCTCGAGCACGACGCAAAGGCCGCGAGGCACCTTTCCGACGTCTAGCTTCTGAACCTGCTCCTGCAGCCGAATCTCCTGGTAGTCTCGAGCCTGGCCGTCCCGCGGCGCGGCGTCCGGCGCGGCGCTCGGTGAGAAGCCGGCTCCGGCGCGGCACGGCTGGGGGTTGGGACAGCGCACCGGCCGCTCCGTCTGGTAACTCTGCTCGTACTCGGCCTGGTGAGCACAAACAGACACGGTCAGCTTTCAGCAGGCTTACAGATCCATATAATTCATATGCATGAGCGAATCATTATCTGTGTAGGCACCAGCTGTGTAGACTGTAGGCAGGGAGGAATACGATGATATGATGCACACAAGTCAAGCTAGCAGCGATTCATAGGACGCTTCATTACGGCATGTTCCTGCATGTTTTTAGGGAAGGAATGGCGAATGTCACTGCAAGGTTCGCGAAAAAAATCCACTGCGCGAGAACACATTGGAGAGCACACTGCACACTGGAGAGGGAGACTGTTCACGTGCACCTGCCAGACGCCGGCGGCAGTACGGCTAGGCGGCAGGTGGACCACCTACCCAGACGATGAACTGGTGTTTGCACTTGTTGCAAGTGTAGTGGGCGCGCGAGTCGAGCAGGTGCGGCAGGCCAGCGCGCACCACCGTGCCAGAGACGCACAGCAGGCGGCCCTCGTCTTCGATCCGCGGCACGCAGGTGCGTTGCAGCTCGGCGCACACGGGCAGCTCTGCGGTCCGGCCCGGCACGGTCACAATGCGGCGGAGATCGGCACATACCAGTGACCAACCAGACACAATGAGCCCCGGAATGTGTCCGACAGAGCCGAAACACTGGCAAACGATGCAGCCAGCATATAAGCAGAAGGTAGGTAGCTGACACGCCCGGCACAAAACGAGCGGAGACCTAATAAGAATGAACCGAGGCTGTATGTCGATGCGATTTATTACCGTTTTCGGTAAACACTACGCGGTGCTTACATTCAACTGGTAAGTCCTGATAATGTACATACCTGTATATAAAGGTGTCATCTGTATCGAGGTGTTTCATAAACGTTGAGAGCTATCAGGATTATGTGAAAGGTCACGGAAACGCTACGTCAACCGTTTAGTCTCACAAATCACGCTGTCTGACGATCTAACGTGGAGTTCGTCTATCCGTCACACTATGTTGCCGTTAGCCGGCACCTAACAGCTGTCCGAACGAAAAACACGGCGGCGGCGGCCTCACCGGTCAGCCTCGCGTGCAGCCGCGTCTTGAGCGTGAGTCCGGTGACACCGTCGTCCGTGAGCCGGCCGTACAGGTGGCGGGCGGCGCGGGTCAGCGCCAGGTCGAGCGCTGGCAGCACCTGACTGCCACTGGTGCGCAGCAGTGATGTCAGCACCGCGCAGCTCTCACTCAGGGTCAGAAAACTGCCGGCACAGGAAGCTGCGGTAATGACAAAAAAAAAAATGTGAAGAGGCACCCAAACATGAAAGTTGAACTGGAATGACAGATAAAATGGAAGCCAACAAAAGTTAATTGACTGAAAGATGGGTTTTTATACAGCTTAACTACATAGTTTTGTCCCTGTCTTCATACAATATGCATTCCTGTAATGTTACTATCCCCATACACAACAAGTAGGTAACCTGAATCAAGACATCATATTAACATAAGTAAATGCTCTGCTTCAAGCCAAGAGTGTGCATTCCTACTTGACATAGATGGGGATATGACAGGCTGGATCACCCCTGTCTTCCAGAGCAGCTCTGATGTCCGTCTCATGCTCATTGAGGGCATAATGGTAGAACTGGTCTCGGACTTCTTTCAAATTCACTTTTCGCTCCATTTATAAGTAGATCTGTAAAACAAGAGAAGGGTTCTGATTAGGCTATATTCTGAAGCACCTCGACTATATGCATATTAACCATCGTCAACTATGTATGAGGTTATCCATTCAATTGAACCAACCCCGGACCGAGCGCTCAGCTACGATTCACAAGCCATATGCCTCATAGATAATTGACAAATTTCAACACAATACGGTGTTGTCACTACAAGTGCACATTACCCACACATAAATCAATATGCACGACTGAGCATTTGTACATTTTTCCGTAAAAACGTACTGAAAGTCGTTGAAAGTCTGCGTGTGCGTCACGTACGTCACGTACGCGTGTTGAAAGGGGTGAGACTAAATGCTTACTTCGAAATCTAAGCTGCGTTGCGGCATTGGCGGTTATGTGCGGCGTGTATGCCGCATGATTAGTAAGCGGCGACCACTAAATTAAAAATTCAATAGCTTCGACCTGTTTTCAATGGATAACACTGCATACCAAAAATGTCCATCGCTCTCGTCATAGGATATTTAGATTTAAATAACTAACTTATCTACATCATTGTTTTGAACCAAATTAATACTCAGCCGCGAACGTATAAGGTATAACCCCTTGCCGTTTCGCTCCTGATCAAGCTAGAGCTTCGCGGAAAAAACGAGCGTGTTGCCCGTGACGAGAGAAAGCCGATGATACCCAATTTTAAGGTCCTAGGTTATCGGTTGACCTTCCAGGTCAGGTCAATGACCCAAAAGGCGGGAAAATTGGGACCTGTTAGAACGTCGTAGTGTGGCTGCTATGGGGTTTTTCGGGGTGCTGATCACGAATATCATGCTAGTTTTGATCACAGATGATGTCTTCATTCATTTAGGCCAGGTCGGGTTAGGTCAGGTCAGGTCAACCAGTAGAGGTCCTGCCAGGTATTTGTAGTAGGTGTCAACCGCCTCTGACAGCCTCGTAACATGTTACGAAGGCACCAAAACTACTTTGTAAACGTTCATGTGGTTGCTTAAAGGAAGGGTGCCACCTTCCGAAATTTTTGTTCTATGAATCTATTTTACTTATTTGAATTTTTAGACGTGGTTAGCGCGTCCACAATATACAAAAAACCGAAACATTGCATTTAATACATTGGCCAAAAAAAAAGATCGTTGTTTATATCACCACTACAACTCAAGGTCGTTTGATGTGGCAGCTAGGACGGCTGGCATATCCTGTTGTCATGGCAACATATCATTCTGCCATTTGCATTGATGGCGCAACTGAGACAAAAAGATGAACAAATAAAAAGAAAGAAGATAACATGATTTGAACTAAAGGTTTCATCAAAAGAACATCAGAAAGAACATGAGAAAAGAACATCAAATAAGTCGAGTAAAGGTTTTTCCTTTACAATGCTTAAGAGATCTATGGAACCCTTCACCCTTCATGCAACTTACTAGAAAAACTACCCAATTAAAATTTTAAAACTTAAGTGTATACCATAAAGAAAAAATATACCCTTTCAAAATGATAAAACATGCTTCAAAAGTATGTGCTGAAGATTTTTGCCTGCCCAAATGCTGGCAGCAAAACTGGCAAATGATAACTTCACGTGCGGATTCAATGCTGACCGTCTCGAGCATAGGTAAGTGAAGCCGGTTTTTAGGTTCATGTGAGGCTAATCTTGTAAAAACTGCGTTGTGTCCAAAAGGTGGCACCCTTCCTTTAATTCGAATTCAGCTCGAAAAAACTGACCTAGAAACATGTCAAACTCGAAAAAGTGAACCGAGGTCACCAAAGGTCAATGACCTGACCTGACCTTCACGTGACCTTGACAACCACCCTAATGCATGGGGGCAACATCATATCACATGTTTGAACGCTTGAAACCACGAAAAGACTGCAAACGCGCTGCTAATGCGAGCCGACATACGCTGAATCGCGGTTCCGGCCAAACATGGTCTCGAAAAGTAGGTCACAGGTCAAAGGTCATTTGGGTCAGGGTCATGAAATTTTCAGGATGGGTGTTAAATTGATCAATGCGAGGGTACTGAAAGTTTCGTCGCGATCAGCCGCTTTTTAAGCGAGTTATTCGCGAAAAACCTTAGGGGGGTTGCATCAACCCCCCCCCCTGTGCGGGCGAGGTCATGTTTTGATAGCAAGACTGAAACAGACTTTTTTGGGTAGCCAGGAAATCACATGCCAGAGCCTATTCAAATTCTTTTATCGGCCTTTATATGCACCAGTCGCATACAGGTACGGGATTTAGCATACGATTTCCAGACAATCGAACGACTGTTTGGAGACAACAAAGCAAGGAATGAGTGAGTTAAGTTGAAAGTATTAATTTGGTTCAAAATGATGATGTAGATAACCTAGTTATTTAAAGCTGAATATCTTATGACGAGAGCGGTTGGCATTTTTGGTATGCAGTGTTATTCATTGAGAACCGGTCGGAGCGTTTCAGTCTTTAATTTAGTGGTCGCCTCTTACTAATCATGCGGCATACACGCCGCACATAACCGCCAATGCCGCAACGTAGCTTAGATTTCGAAGTAAGCATTTAGTCCCACCCGTTGAAAGTTGCGCGCTGTGTATAAGGGGCGGTTCATGCGGACAACACTATTCGACCGCCACCCTTGCAGCCATTCTATAACTCAGGAACTACTGCACCGATCGGAACGAACGAAACACCATTCGAATCAAGGGGTACGATTTTATCAGCCGTTTCGAAGCTCGTGACCCCAGGTGACCTCGGTGACCTCAAGAGGTCAACTCGGCATTGACGCCTATTGCAGCCATTCTATAACTCAGGAACTACTGGGCCGATCGCGACGAAAACACCACCAGTCGAATCAGCGTATGCGATTTCATCAGCCGTTTTGAATATGGTGACCTCAGGTGACCTCAGTGACCTTGGGAGGTCACATGACCGTTATGGCCTATGGCAGCCATTCTATAACTCAGGAACTACTGGGCCGATCGCGACGAAAATACCACCAGTCGAATCAGCGTATTCGATTTCATCAGCCGTTTTGAATATGGTGACCTCAGGTGACCTCGGTGACCTCAAAAGGTCAACTTAACGTTTTCGCCTATTGCAGCCATTCTATAACTCAGGAACTACTGGGCCGATCGTGACGAAAACACCACCAGTCGATTCAGCGTATGTGATTTCATCAGCCGTTTCGAATATGGTGACCTTAGGTGACCTCGGTGACCTTGGGAGGTCACATGACCATTGTGGCCTATGGCAGCCATTCTATAACTCAGGAACTACTGGGCCGATCGTGACGAAAACACCACCAGTCGATTCAGCGTATACGATTTCATCAGCCGTTTTGAATATGGTGACCTCAGGTGACCTCGGTGACCTTGGGAGGTCACATGACCAATGTGGCCTATTGCAGCCATTCTATAACTCAGGAACTACTGGGCCGATCGTGACGAAAACACCACCAGTCGAATCAGCGTATGCGATTTCATGTGCCGTTTTGAATATGGTGACCTCAGGTGACCTCGGTGACCTTGGGAGGTCACATGACCAATGTGGCCTATGGCAGCCATTCTACAACTCAGGAACTACTGGGCCGATCGTGACGAAAACACCACCAGTCGATTCAGCGTATGCGATTTCATCAGCCATTTCGAATATGGTGACCTCAGGTGACCTCAGTGACCTTGGGAGGTCACATGACCGATGTGGCCTATGGCAGCCATTCTATAACTCAGGAACTACTGGGCCCATCGCGACGAAAACACCACCAGTCGATTCAGCGTATGCGATTTCATCAGCCGTTTTGAATATGGTGACCTCAGGTGACATCGGTGACCTTGGGAGGTCACATGACCGTTGTGGCCTAAGGCAGCCATTCTATAACTCAGGAACTACTGGGCCGATCGTGACGAAAACACCACCAATCGAATCAGCGTATGCGATTTCATCAGCCGTTTCGAATATGGTGACCTCAGGTGACCTTGGTGACCTCAAAAGGTCAACTTAACGTTTTCGCCTATTGCAGCCATTCTATAACTCAGGAACTACTTGGCCGATCGTGACGAAAACACCACCAGTCGATTCAGCGTATGCGATTACATCAGCCGTTTCGAATATGGTGACCTCAGGTGACCTCAGTGACCTTGGGAGGTCACATGACCGTTGTGGCCTATGGCAGCCATTCTATAACTCAGGAACTACTTGGCCGATCGCGACGAAAACACCACCAGTCGAATCAGCGTATGCGATTTCATCAGCTGTTTCGAATATGGTGACCTCAGGTGACCTCGGTGACCTCAAAAGGTCAACTTAACGTTTTTGCCTATTGCAGCCATTCTATAACTCAGGAACTACTGCGCCGATCGTGACGAAAACACCACCAGTCGATTCAGCGTATGCGATTTCATCAGCCGTTTCGAATATGGTGACCTCAGGTGACCTCAGTGACCTAGGGAGGTCACATGACCGTTGTGGCCTATGGCAGCCATTCTATAACTCAGGAACTACTGGGACGATCGCGACGAAAACACCACCAGTCGAATCAGCGTATGCGATTTCATCAGCCGTTTTGAATATGGTGACCTCAGGTGACCTCAGTGACCTTGGGAGGTCACATGACCGTTATGGCCTATGGCAGCCATTCTATAACTCAGGAACTACTGGGCCGATCGCGACGAAAACACCACCAGTCGAATCAGCGTATGCGATTTCATCAGCCGTTTTGAATATGGTGACGTCAGGTGACCTCGGTGACCTCAAAAGGTCAACTTAACGTTTTCGCCTATGGCAGCCATTCTATAACTCAGGAACTACTGGGCCGATCGTGACGAAAACACCACCAGTCGATTCAGCGTATGTGATTTCATCAGCCGTTTCGAATATGGTGATCTTAGGTGACCTGGGTGACCTTGGGAGGTCACATGACCAATGTGGCCTATGGCAGCCATTCTATAACTCAGGAACTACTGGGCCGATCGTGACGAAAACACCACCAGTCGATTCAGCGTATGCGATGTCATCAGCCGTTTTGAATATGGTGACCTCAGGTGACCTCGGTGACCTTGGGAGGTCACATTACCAATGTGGCCTATTGCAGCCATTCTATAACTCAGGAACTACTGGGCCGATCGTGACGAAAACACCACCAATCGAATCAGCGTATGCGATTTCATCAGCTGTTTCGAATATGGTGACCTCAGGTGACCTCGTTGTTCTTGGGAGGTCACATGACCAATGTGGCCTATTGCAGCCATTCTATAACTCAGGAACTGCTGGGCCGATCGTGACGAAAACACCACCAGTCGATTCAGCGTATGCGATTTCATCAGCCGTTTTGAATATGGTGACCTCAGGTGACCTCGGTGACCTTGGGAGGTCACATGACCAATGTGGCCCAGTAAACATGACGACGTCGGCCCGACGTCGGGCCGAGGCTCGGCCCGACGTCGGCCCAACGTCGGTTCAACCTCGGCCCGACATCGGCTGGACGTCGGATAGGCCCGCATGTTCCGACGTCCAGCCGAAGTCCAGCCGACGTCGAGCCGACGTCGGACCGAGATCGTTTGCCGAGGTTGACGAGATCGTTTGTCGTTCGACCGACGGGGCCGACGTCGGCATGTTTATTGGGACAACGCGCCAAAAATATCAACCGGCGGCGGGATTCGAGCCCCCCAGTCGCCGACGTCGGCATGTTTACTGGGACAACACGCCAAAAGAATCAGCCGGCGATGGGATTCGAACCCCGTGTCATTTGAACGCGAGTTTAGTGGGCTAGCCACTACACCACGCAGCCAGCTAACGAATCCGGTTTGTTTTGTTGGGTTATGCCCTCTCGGTCTGACAAGACCATTTCAGAGCCGGAAGGATCATAGGATGGAGACATTGGTCTTCTTGGCGAGCACCCTGGGTCCAGTTCATATAGAGTCCCTGGTCCCATTGCGGTTACGTGACACTTATTGGAAAGGGCGACCCCACAATGGATTCATATAGCCACTCTTACACACCTGCACCAACGTTTCCCAAAGTGTCCCTTTGATAAGTGGCACTTCAACTTTGGCAAAGTGACACTTGCCGACTGGCCTTTCTATATGAGCTGGGCCCGGCCCTGGTGAGTTGCCGGGGCTGGAGCCTGACCAAAGGATAGGCCGAGCAGCCCCCAAGCACTCACCGCACCCGGCTACGGGCGAGCTCGGCTTACGGGCAATCCCAATTAAAGTTCCCCGTCCAGTCCGGATCAGGGGGTTGCGGCGTGGAGGAAGATTTGAGTTTCCTGATGATATTTTGAATACAGAAGCTCTTTATGAAACATGAAACATGTATTTTATATTATTTTAACGGTCAAAACAGCGGCCGATGTCGGTCCGACGTCGGCCCGACGTCGGCCCGACGTCGGCTGGACCTCAGCAATTGATCTCGGTCCGACGTCGGTTCGACGTCGGCTGGACCTCGGCTGGACGTCGGAACATGCGGGCATATCCGACATCCAGCCGACGTCGTGCCGAGGTTGGACCGACGTCGGGCCGACGTCAGCATGCCGATGCCGAGTTGCCGACGTCACCCCGACGTCGGCCGACGTCGGGCCGACGTCGGCATGTTTACTGGGGGCCTATTGCAGCCATTCTATAACTCAGGAACTACTGGGCCGATCGTGACGAAAACACCACCTGTCGATTCAGCGTATGCGATTTCATCAGCCGTTTCGAATATGGTGACCTCAGGTGACCTCAGGTCCTGAGTGATAGAATGGCTGCCATAGGCCACAACGGTCATGTGACCTCCCAATGTCACTGAGGTCACCTGAGGTCACCATATTCAAAACGGCTGATGAAATCGCATACGCTGAATCGACTGTTGGTGTTTTCGTCACGATCGGCCCAGTAGTTCCTGAGTTATAGAATGGCTGCCATAGGCCACATTGGTCATGTGACCTCCCAAGGTCACCGAGGTCACCTAAGGTCACCATATTCGAAACGGCTGATGAAATCACATACGCTGAATCGACTGGTGGTGTTTTCGTCACGATCGGCCCAGTAGTTCCTGAGTTATAGAATGGCTGCAATAGGCGAAAACGTTAAGTTGACCTTTTGAGGTCACCGAGGTCACCTGAGGTCACCATATTCAAAACGGCTGATGAAATCGCATACGCTGATTCGACTGGTGGTGTTTTCGTCGCGATCGGCCCAGTAGTTCCTGAGTTATAGAATGGCTGCCATAGGCCATAACGGTCATGTGACCTCCCAAGGTCACTGAGGTCACCTGAGGTCACCATATTCAAAACGGCTGATGAAATCGCATACGCTGATTCGACTGGTGGTGATTCGTCGCGATCGGCCCAGTAGTTCCTGAGTTATAGAATGGCTGCCATAGGCCACAACGGTCATGTGACCTCCCAAGGTCACTGAGGTCACCTGAGGTCACCATATTCAAAACGGCTGATGAAATCGCATACGCTGAATCGACTGGTGGTGTTTTCGTCACGATCGGCCCAGTAGTTCCTGAGTTATAGAATGGCTGCAATAGGCGAAAACGTTAAGTTGACCTTTTGAGGTCACCGAGGTCACCTGAGGTCACCATATTCGAAACAGCTGATGAAATCGCATACGCTGATTCGACTGGTGGTGTTTTGGTCGCGATCGGCCCAGTAGTTCCTGAGTTATAGAATGGCTGCAATAGGCGTCAATGCCGAGTTGACCTCTTGAGGTCACCGCGGTCACCTGGGGTCACGAGCTTCGAAAGGGCTGATAAAATCGTACCTCCTGATTCGAATGGTGTTTCGTTCGTTCCGATCGGTCCAGTAGTTCCTGAGTTATAGAATGGCTGCAAGGGTGGCGGTCGAATAGTGTTGTCCGGTTCATGCGACGTCACGTCTCTTTCAAACTGACGTCACAGTCGTTACAAACTGTACTTATAATATTTTAAAAGTCGAGACAAACTTTCAATTCAGCATGCACTAAGGATTCAAATATATCCTGTAGTCGTTTGGGATAACATTTATTTAAAAAAGAGGCCAGTAATATTGATTAATAATGTTATTTGGCACAATGATTTGGTAGCTAAGGGCTGAAGTATTTGTTGTGTGATTACTGCTTCATTGTAACAAAAATGGCGCTGCTGCGGCATACTGCAGAGGTAAACAAAAGTGGGCGGCAGATGATGCCTGTGGGTTTTATTATTTTTTATCTACACATTTGGATTGTGATCATAATAATTGCGATACTTATGATATTAGAAGGTGGAATTTATTGAATTGCCTTTCAAGCCAACTTGAACTGGCTGCCCATACCGTTTGGCCGTCTGACAGCAAAATCTAGCCAACTCAAACTGGATGAAATGGCGATGTGGCACAAAATTGTGATATTTTTATATTTGCTTTCAATCAGAATGACTGTGATGGCTACTGGCCAAGCTAAGAAGAACATACTCTTCCTCATAGGTGAGTTGAAAGGTGTCTTTCATCTGGATATCATCCATCATCATCACTTATATCTTGATCTTATTTCACCATCATTTCAATTTGCACCATTTTTGATTGCTTTCATTTCATCTCATTGCAGCTGACGATGCAGGCTTTGAGACTCCCGTGTATGGCAACACAGTGTGCCAGACACCAAACCTGGATCGTCTGGCAGCCCAGAGTGTAGTCTTCGACAATGCCTTTACTTCAGTCAGCAGCTGCTCACCAAGGTGAGTCCTGCTGCAAAGGTACCACCCCTTCCTTGGACCCTGATATATGCTCATGCTGGCAGAATGGGCAGTTCTGCTGTACCCATCTAATTTGCTGTTTTTTTTTCTTCCAGTCGTGAAGATGCTTGTGCCAAGACGTGTATGTGTCCTGAATAATAGTTGCTTGCATACCATACCTACCTGCCTGTTTTTAGATGTCAGATAATTTGGTAGGCTGTACTGACTGCTGTGTGCTGGTCAAAGCATTGCCAAGATTTGTATGTAGCAGAGGACCGTCTTTATCTGGTGCGGCAATTCTTAGATTCTTAGAGGTCTGCTCTGTGCTCTGGCAGCCGGGCAGCCCTGCTGACTGGCCTGCCATCCCACCAGAATGGAATGTATGGCCTTCACCACTCAGTACACCACTTCAACTCATTTGACGGTGTGGTCTCTTTGCCGGCCTTGGTCCGGCAGCACGGAGTCCGAACAGGTGGGTAGCCAAGGTGGAAAGATATGGCCAGACCGCAGATATGGATGGACACAGGACACCACAGACAGATATCACAGATGGAAACCACATATGATTGATATGAAGGGATGCCACGGATGGGTGAGTGGATAACACGGACGGATGTCACAAACGGACACCACAGGTGAATATCTGCACAGACGGACAGATAAGACAGACGGATACCGCAGGCGAACGGATACCACACTCCATAGACGGACGTACGGAAACCACAGACGGACGGAAATACCGATATCACAGAAAGACCGATACCATAGACGGACGAACGGATCGATACCACAGACTGACCGATACCACAGACTGAAGGACGGACTGATCACCGATACCGTAGACGGAAGGACAGACCGATACCATAGACGGGCGAACATCACGGACGGACAAACACTACAGACGAATGGTCAGACTACACCAGCCGCACGGTCAAACTACTCTAGTCATATTTGAAAGCTGTAGCTAGCGCAACTGTATAGTTGACTTTGCTCCCATTATGTGTTACATCGTTTCAGAATGTGTCATAAAGATAAAACTTGCTAAAATTATAAATTGTGTAATGTGTTATGTGTATGTAGGTAGTCAACCATTATTACTCCAGTAACCTGCAATATCGGTCACCCAAGCCCCCTCCAGTCCTCACAGATTATCATATCGTGTTCGATCCTTCCCAACAATTCAAGATGTGGCTGACGGTGTCAACTGACAGGTATAATCGGGAAGAAGCACGTCGGCCCGTCCAGCGTGTACCCATTCGACTTCTCCTATACGGAGGAGGACGGCCACTCGATCCTGCAGGTCGGCCGCAACATCACTCACATCAAGGAGCTGGTCGGCCGGTTCCTAGCCACCACGCCGCGCAGGTGGGTGCAGTACTGTGGGCACGGGCGACCAGGGAGTCTGACGAATACCTATCTCCACGGTCTGGGTCGGGATCACGATCTGTTGGTGTGAAGGCACGGCCATTACCAGTGTTGCGGGCTGTCTGAGATGTGGTCGGTACCAGCTCCCTCCCTCATATTTGGCTGTGCGGTCCCGCCGACACGTCGCCCGCTTGACCCACCTGTCCCGCCGTCCGGTCACCCATCTGACCATTCTGACCCGCCTGTTCCGCCGTACGGTCACCCATCTGACCCGCCTGTCCCGCCACCCGCTCACCCATCTGACCCGCCTGTCCCGTCGTCCGGTCACCCATCTGACCCGCCTGTCTCTCTCAGCTGACCCACCCGTCGCCCCGCCCGCAGCCAGCCGTGGTTCCTGTACGTCGGTTTCCACGACCCACACCGGTGCGGCCACACCCACCCCGAGCTGGGCCAGTTCTGTGAGAGGTTCGGCGCTGACGGCGGCATCCCCGACTGGACGCCCGTCTGGTACAGGTTAGTGCTCACGGTGCCCCGCCCGTCTGGTACAGGTTAGTGCACGTCACTGTGTGCTGTGCCTCGCGAGTCTGGTTCAGACCGTTGCTCACACCTGACATCACCGTCGCGGCTGTAATTAATCTACTACTCATAATCTCAGACATATTTTACATCGGGCGAATTTTTCGTCGATGTTCATTATTGGCTTCGATACTGAATGTTTTTTCTTCGTCGTTTCATTGCCATGCAATGCTTTTCGAGCCACTTTCTGTTGGTCACATAGCTGAAAGTTTTTTTTTTTTGCAATAACAAGCTGTATTGAGTGCATACTGAAGGCTGATTGCCAAGTCAGAATGGTCGTTTGTCTGACTTGGGGCTGGCGTTGATTTCAGTCCGGACTCCGTGGAGGTACCGTACAACGTCCAAGACACGCCGGCCGCGCGGGCTGACATAGCCGCTCAGTACACCACTGTGTCGCGGCTGGACCAGGGTACGTACTTCTTCCTACTCGGTACAGTAGAACCGCCCGGTACGTACCACCGTAGCATGGCTGGACAGGGGTACGTATACATGATACGCACTACTCGGTACAGTAGAACCGCCCGGTACGTACCACCACCTTGTTACGGCTGGACCAGTTACATGCTACGAACTGCTCACTGTTCGGTACCGTAGAACCGCCCAGTACGTACACCGCCGTGTCACGACTGCACCTGGGTACGCTCCAACGGATAACGTAGAATCTGCTCATCGCAAAAATGAGTAACGCTTGTGCCACGGTACGCTCTTCCCAATATCTTCCTAACGGATACTGTTGAGGTCGCCCAGTATGGCTGCATATAGCAGCTAGACTTGACAAGGGTACCTTAGAGCCTGCCCGGTACACGGACGTAGAAGACTGGACCAGGATTGTAGAAAACGCAAAGATCATATCAACCCGTCACAGTTTAACTTACTGGGAAGGCCTCAGTGGTCCACAGGCTTCAGTGCAGTGAGATTGAGCCGTTCTTGGTGCTAGCCAGGTCGGCCTGGCGCTGTCTCTGTGTTGACAGGAGTCGGTCTGGCAAAATTGAGCCGTTGACTGTGACTTTGTCGACGGGCGTCGGTCTGCCATTGAGCCGTTGTCTCTGCATTGACGGGCGTCTCACGTCTGTCTGACATTAAGCCATTGTCTATATTGTGTTGATAGGCGTCGGTCTGCCATTGAGCCGTTGTCTCTGCATTGACGGGCGTCTGTCTGACATTAAGCCGTTGTCTAATTGTATGTGTTGATAGGAGTCGGGCTGGTGCTGGCGCAGCTGGAGAGATTTGGTCTGACCGACAGCACCCTGGTGGTATACACGTCTGACAATGGAGCGCCCTTTCCCGGCGGACGTACCAACCTCTACGAGCCAGGTAGCTAACCCCTCCATACGGCCAACTCCTAACACCACGTTTTCCACAGCTTACTCCCCAATTCTGGCAAACCACTCCAGTAGACTTACTGGCTGTGAGAGCTTCATCAAATATGCATGACCCCGATCTGGTCATATATATATATATATATATATATATATATATATATATATATATATATATATATATATATATATATATATATATATATATATATATATATATATATATATATATATATATATATATATATATATATATATATATATAATATATTTGTCGAAATGCCATCATATACCAACAAGGGTTCAATCATGTTGTTTAGTTGCTGAAACACGCGCTGCTCCCAAGTAAACGGAGTGCCGTGTCATGATTCGTGTGCCAATCCTTGATCAGTTTTATGTGGCTGCGTTCTAGGCTCACCCTCGAGTCACGGCACACGCGCCTGTGCTGTCGCTGTGCTTGCTGTAGCTATGTCGTGGCAGATCTGGTCTGGTCTGGTCATGTCCTGTCTAACCCCCGCCCTGCCGCACTGTCCCAGGCGTGGCCGAGCCGCTGCTGCTGTCCGTGCCGGGCGTGGGCGGCCGTCGCCAGGCCTCGCCCGTCTCCCTGCTGGACCTGGTGCCCACGGCGCTCGACTGGCTCGGCATCTCCTACCCGCACTACCACCTCAACAACAGGACGGCGGCCGTCACACTGACCGGACGCAGTCTGCTCTCGCTGGCGCAAAAAGGTACGGAACTGCTCTGCTGGGGCCAAAAGGTACGGAGCTGGCGTCTCAATGGCGCAAAAAAGGTGCAGAAATGGTGCGCTGCTGTTCAGGTGCGGAGATGGTGCTTCACTGACCCAAGGAGGCACGTAGCTGCCCCATGACGCAAACCAAAATGCTTAGTCAACAAAAATTTTCCTCCACCGATGGTGTAGAGGGGTAAGGAGACGAGATCCTCCCTCACTGATCTAGGAAGGTGCGGAGTCCTGTCACTAGCGCCAAAAGTCTGTCACATATTCTCACTGGTGGAGAAAGATCCGCAGTCTCCATATCAACAGAAACTGCAAACAACAGACATGGTAAACAACAGAAAGCAGTGGTATAGAGCTTTGTTAACAACAACATGTGAACATGTATGTGAACAATGAACATGTGAGGTCCATCGGGTAAAGCCTGGGCGGAACCTCAGATCAGACGCATCGGCCTTGAAAGAGCAGCTGAGGAATGCTATGTGACATGTCATCTTTGACGGGGAACTATTTTGCATACCTACGCCTCTACGGATTTCCGGACGGGACACTGCTTTCCACATTTGTTATATTTGAAATATTTCACTTCACCATTTCCATGGACCATGTGTCCACAATCTACGTATCAACAATCTACAATCTACAATACAATATACAGACAATCGACAATCTACGTAATTATAATCGTTATGAACGGTTAAAATGCACTGCACTGTGCAGTATGTTTTACAACGAATGCGAAAATATCACTCTAGTTTCATTTTGCCTACGTTGCTGCGTTTACATTATTTTGCGTTTCGTATGTCCGAGGGTTCGATAAATTGATCGATCAAACTATCACAGTGATGAATAGCAAATTGATTGAGTTATACTATGGTGGATAAACATGCCAGTGTCAACCGCTTGAAAAATAACTCCTCAGTGGCTTGCAGTAGACTTAACGCACCTCGGTGGGTAGTGTGATCTGACAGAGGAAATGGTACGGGCCGCCGTCACAGATGACGTCGTGCCACTGCCCCAGTCTGGCGTCGTGGCGGCTCCGGGGGCCCTGCAGCTCCAGGCACAGCTCGTTGCCCGCGGTCGACTGTCCGGCGGCCCAGTTGGTGAAGTCGAACGGCGTGCCATCCTGCCAACCCCAGTCCCGGCCTCCCTTCCGCAGCCTCATCCCGCCCACCCACACGAAGGTGGCGTCGCTGGTGGCCACCAGCTCCTCGACAAACTGGTGGTTGTCGTTGTGCACCGAGGCGAGCCGGGCCCGGCGGTCCATGGCCGGACACAGCGCGCTGGCGCCGAACCAGGTGGCCGTCACGGCCGGCATCAGGTAGCAGCTGTGCCGGTGGCGGCTCCAGCCGGCCGGACACTGGCCGCCGCTCGACTGGGCGGCCGTCAGCTGCTGCTGCAGAGCCTCCACGGCCCGGCCGAGCTCGGCGCAGGGCGCGCTGTCGGCCGGCGCGGTCAGGTTGCGGACGATGTCGCCGAGCGTCACGTCTGGGCGGCCGAGTGCTGTCGGAGCGGCGGCCAGCAGCAGCAGGGCGCCGCACAGGGAGACGGCGTGCAGCGGCATGGTGGACGGGGCGCCGGCCGACCGCGGGCGCTGTGTAGGTACTCGGGGTGGAGCGGCGCCCTTAAATACCCGGCCCACCGCAGAGCTACTGGCGGACATCCCACCCAGGCCAGTCCAGTGTCAGGCAGAGAAAGGTAAACGCGACACCGCTGGCCACATTTTCGGACAACAGGCGAAACAAGAAGCCCGAGATTCGTGGATTTCAGACTGACCATCCCGAACGCTAACTGGAAGCCTGGATTTTCCAGCTTCCAATATTGATGACGTGGCGCAATCGGAAGCGTTTACGAGGCGTCGTTGCCTGGGAATTTTACAGCATGTGTTGACATTAGCTGGGTGTATGTATTTGAGCGGATAATTCGTCCCAGCTCGGGCGTCCGAGCTCCGATCTTCTGACGAGTTCCGATGGAGGCAGAACTTATCGAGGATGAAATATGATTTTAAAAAAGCTTTGAGAGCGAAAATTTTCTAACGAATTTACGGGCTTTTAGCTTTGCAATGGATCTTAATAGTTCCTGATATTGATTGGTTCCCCCTCCCCCAAAAAGCAAAGAAAAGGAAGCTATCATAAATCAATGTGAAGCTGGCAAATCAAGTTATTAGATTTTGAGAATAAAATGGGACTTATATCACATTTTAACAATCACGATGATTGAAATACAGTCCATAGGACCTCATCAAGTTTATGGACGAGCACATGCAAAAGTTATATGACACCACTGATAGTTGATGGACGCCATGGGATGTGACCGCCAAGGAATGTGACCGGTGTTTATAATATCTGTGCCAGTAGCTCTGCGGCGGGCTGGGTATTTAAGGGCGCCGCTCCGCCCCGAGCACACAGCGCCCGCGGTCGGCCGGCGCCCCGTCACTCCACCATGCCGCTGCGCGCCGTCTCCCTGTGCGGCGCCCTGCTGCTGCTGGCCGCCGCTCCGACAGCACTCGGCCGCCCAGATGTGACGCTCGGCGACATCGTCCGCAACCTGACCGCGCCGGCCGACAGCGTGCCCTGCGCCGAGCTCGGCCGGGCCGTGGAGCAGTTGACGGCCGCCCAGTCGAGCGGCGGCCAGTGTCCGGCCGGCTGGAGCCGCCACCGGCACAGCTGCTACCTGATGCCGGCCGTGACGGCCACCTGGTTCGGCGCCAGCGCGCTGTGTCCGGCCATGGACCGCAGGGCCCGGCTCGCCTCGGTGCACAACGACAACCACCAGTTTGTCGAGGAACTGGTGGCCTCCAGCGACGCCACGTACGCGTGGCTGGGTGGAGCGCGGCTGAAGTCGGGTGGCACCGACTGGGCCTGGCAGGACGGCACTCCGTTCGACTACGTCAACTGGGCCGCCGGACAGCCGAACAACTCGGGAGAGGACTGCACCTGTCTCCAGGGCCCTAAGAGTACCTACGGCGCCGCCCAACCCGGCCAGCTTCACGATGGTCCGTGCAGCATCCCAGATTTTCACGCCCACCTTATTTGTCAAATAACGTTATCTTAATCGCGCCTCCGATATATGTTAACTTATGATAATCATTTGCACTAACACACACTTATAGTCTTATGATATGATGATTGCTGGTTAATCTCTGGGTGACGTTATATACTGATACTGAAATAAACTGATCAAGGCCTCGTAATTTGGATCTACTTTCGACTTGGAAATAAAATCCGCAAACTATCCATTGCAGCCTCAAGCATCGCTGCCTCTCCATCCATACCCAATATAATGAGATGACCGACCGCAAAAATCGGTGAAATTCTCACCCGAGGGTTTGAGAATGTTTCATCGGCTGTTGACGATATCGATTGATATCGTTCGGGTTAGTCAGCGATATCAGCCTGGCCGAGCTAATGTCGCTTATTTTATCGCGTCCATTCGTCTCATTTGATTTAGACTGAAATTAGATCGTACCGATTACGATGCTAGGCGATTGAGCTGAAACCTTGCTCGAACAGCATGGTTCCAGACGTGGGGTGTCGTCACTCATAACTGAATCAGCTGATGGTAAGATTGTCGTTTATCGTGCCCTTAGTCGTCAAATAATAAACGCAGCGTAGCTGCTGGCTGCTGACGGATAAACAGCGAGTGCTGCTGATGTGATCAACTTTGATATCCACGACACTCAGCGTCGGGGTCTCGTGACGTCCAGGGCATATGACGTTTGCCTGCGAGCAGTAGACGAGCGCTGCATTTCTTCTGCTGCATTGCGTTGCTGATTTTGATTTGCTTTTACTTAGCTTCCCCCGAGAACAAGTTACTTTCAAGATATTGTTCGGCGTTGGTAGTGGACAGAAAACTGTACGAGCTAATATCAGGTGATATCTTCAATTCATATATGCTGTTCATGCATACATTATTTATCGATTATGTCGGCTGTGGTGCATCGATTCTCGTGTATGATGCTCGTTAAGTTTTAAAACTTTAACCGCGTTCGCACCAAACCGGCGCCATATTTTAGTGCATCGTGATATACGTCGGTGCTCAGTGCATTTGATGGTGTATTTATGGGGATATATGGGTCGGCTGAGTTCGTTACGCGGCCGTTCGGCGTCCATTGGCCCAGTTATCGAGTCGAGAGACCATTAGATTACAGCGCCGGTGGACGGTATCGGTCGCCGCGCGGCCATTGGACGGTGGGCCGCGCCCGGCGGTCGTCCATCACGCTAATGTGGCCGTCAGCAGCTCCGCGGCCGGCCGACCCGCCACCTCGGTACGGCACCGGAGCGGGCATCTCCCAGTCGGAGCTCCCCCCCCCCCCCCACGGGACTGAAGTCGGGCTGCCGCGACGCCCGCACTAACTTGTGGTGGCAGCCCGCGGTATTGAATCTGGGACGTGTCGGCCCGCTGCCGCCAGAGAATGGCAATCAGTTCAGGCGGCCGCGGCACGCCTCTCTACACAGAGCGCGGAAACTTCCCACCTCAATATCGGCGAGGAAAAATACGGAACTGGCTCAGAGCAGAGTGGAAGTTGGCGTTTCTTCGCAGCAGAAGTCGTGCTTTGCTGTGGTTCCGAGCTGCATAAAATTCATAGGACGGAACTTTGAGCGTAACTATGTTCGTAGGGAGCGCGCTTGCATTGGTATGATTTCCACACACCCAGTTTATATGGCCCGTGTGGAGTGCTCCGCACTTTCGAACGCTAAAACGATCTAGTGTTACTACTACTACAATCTCGTAAACATAAAATAGGTGTTAAAGGAACTCATCCGCCCACAAAGGAGCATGATTCCTCCTCGTTAATATAAATAAATACACAGCGTACCTATAGGCGCCAACCGATATTTGGAAGCGGCTGCGACCACTTTTGTTTAAGCTCTCCTGCAATGTTTTTTTTTTCGTTATGGACGGCCACACGACCACGTGCACCGTTTATAAACTATAATATTTACATCTGGTAATAATCATATTCCTTCCTTGTATTGCATTAAAATTTATAGAAGTAGGTACTTTTTCTAATATTGATTGTCTTGCCGCCGCATGCGGCATTACTCTGTTTTCTGATGTGTTTATTTCTGTTTCATGCTCAGATCACGCAGTGTCTCGGAGCGTGTTCGCCAGCCAGGCGTTCCACGAGGTTACCATGACGTACCCGATGCGGGCCGTTCGCGGCACGCGCTACAAGCTCATCCACAACATCAACTATCGGCTGCCGTTCCCGATCGACCAGGACTTTTACTTGTCGCCCACATTCCAGGCAAGTCGCCCTGGCCGCCCCATTGTTCATTTTTGCTCTCCTTACTTGAATGCAACATAACATCTTCAGGTTAAATGCGTACGGTTTTTTTCCCCTTACTGCGTACTCTCGTCTGGTCCGTCCCGTCTCCCAAATATGTTGCCACAAACTATATATTTGCTGCATTCCATCATCCTGATATGCTGTGCAGTGTGCCGGTCTCTTCTATTTGATGCATTCAATCGTCTCCGTTTGAATAACCCTATCTCAACTTGGATGCGCTCATTTTTGTTTATTGCGTCCAACCTAAGCGACTGCTGCGTTCCATCTGGCACGTTTGATGCGTCTCACATGTCCCGTTTGATGCATCTCATATTCCGTCACATCTCCCCCTCCCCGTGTGCCGCCTGTCTATGGCGTCACAGGACCTGCTGAATCGCACTGTGTCCGGAGAGCCGGTGCCCTGGTACAAAACGCTGCACGGCTACTACCACCGGCCCGAATGGGAGCTGTTCGACCTGAAACGGGACCCGCGCGAGCTACACAACCTGGCCAGCAAGGCCTCCCACCAGGTCAGAGGGGGCCGGGCGGCGACACTGTCCGAATGAAAAACGTCATTTAGCTAGATGTCGTGGCAGTCATAAGTTGATTTAGAAAACGAAACAGATGTAGACACCTATGTTTCATGTCCGTTAGTGTGGCATTTCGCCACTTTAGGCTATGAGAACCTAAAACGGAATAAATTTCAAATTCAATGTGGTATATGGTATTTTAAAAAAATGAAGCAGCGTACTACAGAAGATCAAGTCCAGTATGTAGTTTTGTTTAGTGTTGATGTAAGTACCTCTGCGTTTGTTTTGTATTTTGGTGATGCTGGACACAGTTCTAACGGCGCTGTTTGACTCACAGGAGCGGCTGGCGCGGCTGCGGCGGCGACTGGAGAGCTGGCAGTGGCTCAGTGACGACCCGTGGGTGTGTGCCCCGCACGGTGTGCTGCAGAACGCCGGCGCGCACCGCCACCGGCCGCTCTGCATGCCGCTGCACGACGAGCTGTGAGTGGCCAAAGGAGGTCTGTCGCTGTTGGAAATCTGACTGCGCCGTCGGGAAGCGCATCATGGCACTGTCGGACCGTGCTGTTGGATAGAAGCGGGCTGGGCTGTCGAACCTGGCTGCCTTTTGGCGGCCAACTCACCGTCTAAAAGCGAGACCCACTTTTGGATAGCTAGTCGTTCTAGTGAAGTCAAGTCAGACAGCCCATCCATGCCTATCGGGGACCAAATATCGCACGGATGACACCAATTGCCTCGATTATGTCGATACTCGATGCTCGATGCTTCTGCGATCATTCCATTGATTGGGTTAACGGCTAACGCAATACCGCTGAGATGCATTCATCCCCGGACCCCGCCATCCTGCGGACAAGCACATCCGCATCCCCTCACACTTTCATTTCCTGGCTGGCGGTCACCCCCCACCAGACAACCGGTGGTGAGGACAGGCCCACACCAGGGCACTTCCTCTTCGGGGTGGCGTTTGAGCGGCAGGGCGGGCTGTGTATGAACTATATGCTCTATCATCCCACAGCTCTGCAATGGCTTTTTCAGGCCGAAAGAGCTTGTTTCCAACAAAATAAAAACAAACTAAACCGCTAAGATATTAATGTGATGCGTGGCACAATGCAGATATTGTCACTGATCCTCTGCTATAATTTGAAATGGCATATACTCTGCGATATATTTAGGTATAGCTGTCTGCAATTTTATATGACTTGTATTGTTGTATATACAACCGTAATATGTTAATCAGATTGTAAATTTTTATACTATCAACAATATGTATTTGTACCAATTATTACATAGATGTGTATCCAGTGATATATTTTTATCCATTGTCACATTGAAGTGTATCCAGTGATATGTAGCGGTCGACCATGTGAATTGTGATTGCGGGATTAACCGTATCGGTGCATAGTATCGGTACGCGACTGGAGGCTAGGCCTAAGGTATCGTCATGTGTACCACGTGGAACAGTGTGATTGTTAATGACAACCAATGGAAGGAAATTAAAATAAACGGACATTTTACTTTCTTTATTAATTTTTCTTTAGACTTTTTAGTCATTAAATCAAACATTTTCTCAATTTTCAAAAACTCCTGAATTCATGTTGGAGAGCTATACATGTCCATCATGTGTATCAAGTTTTAGCTTTCTATCATGGCTGTTTGACCCCAAAATGGTAAAACATAGTTCCAGCATTGATATTTTATAGTACCATAGTACAATGACATCAGCTGTATTTTCGTAAGGATAAACATCGGAAGAGTCACAGTTTGGGAGTTATAAGTATGAGCATCGGATCTGGTGTGAAAAATAACCCGTAGGTCATGTCGCATACCCACGTAGCATAAGGTGACCTCCCGTGACCTGACCTGACCTGGCTTGAGTTTAACCTGGAATTAATGATTCTACAATCAAGAGCAGGATGCAGAATAACCACTACTATCAAAATAAGCGCAAAAAATATCCCTTAAGAGGTATCGCAACTCTTGTCGATTGTTGTCTCAAAGTAACCTTGTGTGTCTTGACCGCGACCTTGGCCCGTGCTTAGTATGACAATTATGCCCCCAATGTATCTTCACAAAGCCGTCGAGGTCGCTTTGGGTGAGTACTTTCGTGCATCACACAAGCGGCACTTTGCCTACTGGCGGAATGCCAGCAAATGTCTGTCCCGTAACTCAGGTAGTAGACCATTTGTTGTTTTAATCCCGTTGGTGAGGATTATGCCTTGTGGGAGCAGCTGAAGTGAGTTAGATTCAATGAGTGATGATGGCTACGCCTGGCTTTTCTAACACTTTGGCGTTCAAACTCTCTAGCAAATATGTATTTCTAAACACTATTTAAAACCATTGCGCACGTGTTCATTGTATACCGCGGCTCTTTTCCGTACCGTTTATCGTAGCACAACGCTGGTTTATTGCCTTTACATTGGGCATAGGTCATTACTCACGTTTTGAGCTTTATCACAAAGCAATATTCATCACATGTCTCCCACCAGGCTCCCTCCCGTTTGGAGGGAGCCTTAAGCTAAATTAAGAGTTATAACAGCTAACATGCTGTAACTGAAATATATATTTTACAACTTATCACACAGTGTGTCACCGCTCGGCGCGCCGTTGTCCAACGACAGGCTGTGGCGATGCCGGGCGGGCTGCCCACTCGGCCGGTCCACCTCCGCCTCCTTCTCTGTCGCCACGGGGCCGCTGGGACGCCGCCGATCCGGCCCCTTGAAGTGTTCCGTGATCTCCTCCAGTGTCTTGCCCTTGGTCTCGAGCACGCAGAACAGCGTGAAGAAGACGCCGAGCACGGTGATCGCCGAGTAGAGCCAGAACACGCCGGCCTGCGTGATGGCGCCGGCCAGGCCGGTGAAGCTGACCGTGATCAGCGTCGTGACGAGCGAGGTGAGGGTGGTGCCGACACTGGCGCCCCAGCCGCGCATCTCCGGCGCGAACATCTCGCCTGCAACACGGAGCGCTCGGTGATACGGCATGAAGACGTGGGGGCGTAACAAACTGATACATTATATGTTTGACATGACCTAGAATTAAAGCTTACGAGGATGTACGAAGTGTGCACTGTGCACTGTGCAGACAACGCACTGTGGAATATGAAAAAACTCGAAATACTGTTAAGCACTGATTTCAGTGTTTCAGTAACCTCCGACGATCCAGGAAGTCATACTCATCCGAAGCTTAACAGCGAAATCACCCTAACTCAACCAAAGCCGTCCGTATCATACGTCCACACTCCATGCCCATCACACACCCAGCCGCCGTCAGCGGGGCCGCGGGAGGCTCACCTATGATGATCCAGGGCACCATGCCGAGTCCGACGGCGAACGCAGGGTTGAAGGTGATGAGCGCGGCCAGCGGCAGCCAGCTGTAGCCGCTCACGTCGTGACCGGCGTCGCGCAGGTAGAAGAACGCGCCGAGCGCGGCCGTGCAGGCAGCAGTCAGGCCCGAGGAGACCATCAGTAGCGGCCGCCGGCCGGCCCGGTCGGCCAGCAGCGCCGCCACCAGCGTGGCGGGGATCCACATGGCTGAGGCCAGGATGCTGGCCGTGTGCGGCTCCAGCGCCGAATCGGCCGCATCCAGAATGTCCACCGTGAAATACGTGAGCGCGTCGTTGCCGGATGCGGGTTGGAAAAAGAAGAGCCCGGCCACGATCAGGATGGGCCCGATGTAGGGCGGTCGGAGCGCCTCGCGCGGCCGCACGCGTCGTCGCAGCACGTCTCGCGCAAAGTGCTCCAGCTCGGCCAGCTCGGCCTTGCAGTCATGTTGCGGCGCGCGCAGTCGCTGGAGCGCGTCCAGCGCCGCCCGCGGCCTCCGGCGCATCACCAGCCACAGCGGCGACTCTGTGATGACGGCCAGACAGGGCAGCCAGACGGCCGCCACGGCCGCCGACAGCAGCGCCAGCCACCGCCACGACACGTACTTGCCGACGACGAACTCGAGCAGCGTGCCGCAGCAGAAGCCCAGCTGCATGAAGATGCTGAGGGTGCCGCGCACGTGTGGCTCCGCCACCTCGCCGATGTAGTTTGGCAGCACGATGAAGGAGCCGCCGCAGCCGACGCCCTGGACGGCGCGGCCAGCCATAAGCGTTTCCGCGGAGCCGGCGTAGGTGACCAGCAGCCAGCCGGTGAAGTAGTACACGGCCAAGGCCACGAACACGGCCTTCCTGCCGACCCGGTCTAGCACCAGCGCCGCCAGCGGGCTGCCGAGCGCGCTGCCGAGCGGCATGAGCGCGGTGATGAGCGACTCCTGACTGACGGAGAGCTGCAGCTCGGCGCGCAGCTCTGGCAGCGCCGGGCTGGTGAAGCCGCTCGACATGCCGCACAGCATCTGGGCGCCGCACGCTGGCCGGCACCGACGGGGGTGAGGACGGGTGACACGTCAGGACCAGACACACGCATCCAGGAAACTGAAGGTTCCATGCCTACATTTTATATCCTACAAGAATGTGATGGTCTTTCGAAGTTCGAACTCTTCCCCACCAAGGGATTGGTGAAGCAACGGGGCTTTAAAAAATGGAGGGCAAGAAGGTTGTTTTGGGAAAAAATCCAAGGAAACGTGTCCAGATGACCTCAAAATGCAGTACGGCACGATAGCACCTCGCAATAACGACCACATTTTGGGTTTGAGGACGAGTTTTTCAGGGCCAGTCGAGCGCACTCCATTTCTCAGTTACTGACCTGGTAGCTGCTGGACATCAGCCCACAATGATCCTAATTCCTAGTGGTAATTAAGCGCTTCCGCTTGGCTGTTCCCTTACATGTGATCTGATATGTGATTATGCCAGATGACCTCCAATCAACGATATGTCACGGTTGTCACGGAGATGTTCTGTGACCTCAAGGAACTCACCTGTCACGGCCGATACGACCTGTGGTGTCACCGTCATCTCGTCTGACGTTCAGCCGCTGGTGACAGGTGGCAGACGACTGATGAATGGTGACAGCTGCTCACTCCCGTCACCTCGCCGTTCATCGGCCGCTGTCCGCTGGATGACGGCCGAACGCTTACCGCTGATCACTGACATCGGCTGCCGACCAGCTGTTGATCGTCGGCGACTGATGGCTGATATTCCTCCTGATAAATCCCCAGAGATACCCCACACTTCTGTCGTTTTGGCTCGCTGGCCAGCGACTGTCTCAACTCTGAACTGCAGCTCACCGAGTGGTCAATGGTCATTAGATCTTATAAAAGATAGGTACGACTCTATGCCGACTCCATGTATGACTCTGTCGATAGCCGACCACTAATGACTGATGACCGCTGATCCTGAGGGCTGCTGACCACCGATAAACAGCTGACTGCCGATAAGCGACCAATGCTGACAGCTGACTGCTGACTATGAGACCACCTGCCAGCCACCGATTGTCGGCCACATCTACTGTAAGCTGGCCGTCGATTATCTGACTCCGCGCACTAGCTACTGATTGCGTGCGCCACCCACCGATTGCGTGCGCCAGCGCCGACCTTGGAGGTCGGTCTGGGGTCGGAGCGGCACTCGCAGGACTGAAAACCGTTCATTGTTCTCCGATAAGAGCCCAGTGGGGGGGGGGGGGGGGGTGGCGTGGTCAGTCGTCAGGAGAGCGCGGGTGAGCTGAGTAGCTCTGCTCGAGATCTCATGCCATATCTGACAGAAAGGAACGAGTCACGAGGTCGTTTCGGCACCCGGTACTTCTTAGTCCGGTGATGTGCCATATGAGATGTGCAATGTGCATTGTGCATTTCGGTGCCCATATGCGTTGCTGAAATCTTTTCATGATAAACGTTCAGTTTTGTAGATTTGTTGCATTGTTGGCGTTACGACATTGCGGTCTGCAGTGGCATATCAACTTGTTCGCATTAAAGCAAATGCCTAGAACTTAATCGTATGTCGGGGTCGTAAAAACGTCCCCCAGGCACTTAACCCTCGCCGGCACAGGGCAACCCTTGCATCGACAGCATCAACAGCATCAGGGTTGCATCAACCCTCGCCGGTTGATGCAACCCCCCCCCCCTAAGGTTTTCGCGAATAACTCGCGTAAAAAGCGGCCGATCGCGACGAAACTTTCAGTACCCTCGCATTGATCAATTTTACACCTACCCTGAAAATTTCATGACCCTGACCCCAATGACCTTTGACCTGTGACCTCTTTTTCGAGACCATGTTTGGCCGGAATCGCGATTCGGCGTATGTCGGCTAACATTACCCGCGCGTTTGCAAGCTTTTTGTGGTTTCAAACGTTCAAACATGTGATTTGATGTCGCTCCCATACATTAGGGTGGGTGTCAAGGTCACCTGAAGGTCAGGTCAGGTCAATGACCTTTGGTGACCTCGGGTGACCTCGGTTCACTTTTTCGAGTTTTACATGTTTCTAGGCTAGTTTTTGGAGCTGAATTCGAATATGGCAACCATTTGAACATTTACGAAGTAGTTTTGGTGCCTTCGTAACATGTTACGAAGCTGTCAGAGGCGGTTGACACGTATTACGAATACCCGTCACAACCCCTACCGGTTGACCTGACCTGACCTGACCCGACTTGGTCTAAATGCTTAAAGACATCATCTCTGATCAAAACTAACACGATATTCGTGATCAGCACCCTGGAAAACCACACAGCAGCCACAATTTACGACTTTCTAACAGGTCCCGATTTTCCCGGTTTTCGGGTCATTGACCTGACCTGGAAGGTCACCCGATGACCTAGGACCTTAAAATTGGGTATCATCGGCTTCGTCTCGTGACGGGCAACACGCTCGTTTTTTCCGCGAAGCTCTAGCTCGATCAGGGGCCAAACGCGAGGGGGGGTCGTACCAACCCCCCCTTGTGCCGTCGAAGGACGCAAAATGGCCTGTGCCGGCGAGGGTTAATGCGCAACCCAGCGAAGGGCATAAGTGGATACTTGCAACTTTCGTCTTTCTGGCAATGCTCATCACCGATGCTGTGCACTGGAATTATTATACCTACCCACTTGTCTACAGACTCAGAAAAAACATGCGTCTGATATCTTTATTATGCGTATAGACAACCATTTACTTTGGCACTGACATTTCATTGGGTATCATTGCTTGCTCATAATGTTCCATGTTCTAGCCTGAAGCCGCTTATCTGCTCTAGTGTTTTTCAATACCTACAGATTGTTGGGTCTTCAGCAAAATGTTTCTCTCGTTACACCAATGCCTAACAAACTTTTGGTCCCGTAACCACATCAAGATATAATTAGACATATCAAAATAATAATATTGCATGCGTCTATAAAGCTGCATAGCTCCAGATTAAAAACACCAAGACGTAGAATGTGCGCTTGCTTCGCCTTGTGGTCGGTGGTCCCAGTGGATTCCTGAGCAGGCGAGCTTCTAGCGACAGTTTGTCAGCCAGGTCGACTTTGGTTCATTTAGTTCTTCTTTAATTCGGTGACGAACTTGAGATCGGTGCCCGCAAGTTCCCTTTCTATCCAGGCGTCCATCTCATCCGAGGTCTTCTGACTGAAGTGGTTTCTCCAGTCTCCCGTCTCGCCTTTCCGCATAAACTCCAGTTTTGACGCGGCGTTTTCTGCCGCCAGCTCCTCGGCCGTTAGCGCCGAGTAGGCGTACGTCATGTTCTTGTTCACCCAGGGATTCTTTTTCATACTGCTAAAATGGAGGTGGGACTCGAGCCCGTCCAGCTGCTTTTCCGTCAGGGGTTTCTCCAGAAAGTCCGCCACCCGCTGGATTGCTCCTCTGAGGTCGCGTTTCATATCCTCGAAGAACAGGAACAGCATGTTGGGATTATTTCTCTCCTTCCATGCCTCCAGGACGTGCGGAAAGAAGGGGAGCAGGCTGACCTCTCCGTCCATGAACATCTGGGCGAACTCGTCCATGTTCATGTCGGGTCGGCGCTCCTTGAACATCAGCAGGTGGTTGAAGTAGGAGACACACACGTCCTTCGGGTTCCGTGCCACGTAAATAACCTGAAACGGAGTGTGCTGTTAATAGAAAAGCTGCAATCTTGCGGCACGCATGGGAACAGGCGCCGACAAGGGACGATGGCCAGGGGGCTGATGAATGGGCGAGTAAGCGGGTTCATTCGTGTTTGAAGGAAACATTTAGCACATATGAGCATATTAGCACACACATATGATCGGTTCGGTAGCCTTTTGTAGCCTTGCCTCTCGACAGGAGAAATAAAGTTTATAATATTTTATCTCCCCGTCTACACATAGATATAAAGACTTTATTTCTATAGTCTTTATGGTATTATATATAGATATAAAGTCTTTATTTCTATGCGTCTACAGTCTACAGATCACCCTGTGACCGTCTGTAACTCCTCCCCAACGCCCTCTATTGCACTGCAGCTTCTCCCAATGCCCCCTGCAATTTCTCTAATGGCCGGGATGCTGCTCGGTATCGGCTGCTCCATAATGCACGAGGGCATCTATTGGACGACGTCGCCACTGTCACTGACGAAAACAGAAGACCTGCGGCGCTGCCGTATAGGCACCGACTTTGCCTCCTCCCGGCCCTTCCGGTCCATGACACTGACTGTCTGACATACGGACCGCAGTCGCAGCCCGGCATAATCACGGAGCCGCTAAACGATGCACCAGAGGCCAGTTTTACCAACAGAAAAATAGCCGCCTGCCGGAACATTTGCCTAAAGACCGCTTCACATACGGAGCGTTTACGCAATGGGCACATAAGCGGATGGGGCTTTACCGCTTACGCTTCGTATGTGAAGCGGTCTTTAGGCAAAAATTCCGGCAGGGGGCTATTTTTCTGTTGGTAAAACTGGCCTCTGTTGTCCACGGCTTCTCACCTGCTCTATCTTTTCACATTTTAAGACAAACAAAAACACTTATCGCTAAGCAGGGGACAGGCGCACAATTTTTGGCATCTACTACATATTCGGATCTCAGGATATGAACAAAGCTATTGTGAGCCGACTACCACGATCGTCAGCGGCTGTCAGTACCCACCTTTCCCCGTTCCAGCAGTGCCGGCGGACAGTAGTGAAGCGGCAGGTGAGTTTTGACGAACCAGGGCTTCGGTCGCTCCTCGATCGGCGAGAACATGAGTCGTTTGCTGACCGGATTTTTACCCTGACGTATCTCGTCCCGCACATGCGGCGCCATGAGAGCCGGGATCTCCAGGAAGTGGTACCGGTCGGGGCACAGCAGACACTGCGCCCCCTCGTAGTCGCAGTCGTTCTGGATCAGCCACACCATCTCCTGCGTCCATGTCGTGCCTGCAGACGAAGCACACTATTATCGGCATGCACGTAACTCGAAGTCATGTCTCAACATAAGAATGAGCGCCATCGCTACATATGGGTGGCATTTGACATTTCATTTTATCAGTACCGTCCTAAAAACCGGTATTTCTGGTTAGCGACTGGAACTCCCAGCAACAGGTGGGCGGTGATCAGCCGACGGCGGACGTGCCGACGGGGATCGTGCCGACGGGCCGACGAGGATCGTGCCGACGGGCCGACGAGGCTAACTGTACCATCGATCGGCCGCCGGCCCGTCACAGCCCGGGCCGTGATTGAGCACGGGGGCTGCCGGGGACGGCCTGGAGCGCTATCTTGGGCACGACTTGCCAGCGCCGGAGCCTGGGACACCGTTACCCTTAACCCTCGCCCTGGCAGGGCATTTTTCATAACACGGCCTGGCAGGGGGGGGGGGGGGTCGATGCGACCCCCCTCGCGATTGGCTCCTATGGCACCTAGAAACACCAAATTTGGTAGGTAGGTGGTAGAGATGTCAATCGGATACCAACTTTTTGGTATACCGATACCAAACCGATACCAACTCGGTATTTGGTATTTCAATCCTAATGTGTTTGGTATTTTGTTGGTATCATGAGCCCTCGCTAATGTTTAAGAGGCTAAGAAATCGGTAAAAGGTCGGTATTTTCCTCATGTTCCCAAGTTGGTTTGGTTTCGGTATTTCTCCACGGTTTTGGTTGGAATTTGGTTTGGTATCGGTATTCCGATTTTCCGTAATTGACATCACTAGTAGGTGGGCCCCCTGGAGTTCTCGCCCCTGTGCAAATTTGGTTGCTCTAGGTCAATATTTAGGGGGGTTTTGGGGGTATAAATATAAAAATTCCGCTAAAAACAGGTCAAACGTTTTTCGCTTATAACTTTTGATCTAATTAAGATAGAGCAAAAAGGAAAGCACCAGTGAACTCAGCACGTCAAGGCGCGTCGAATGATATACTCTTTAGCTTGCTTAAGTGTACTTAAAGTTTTTCTTAAATTTTAAGTAAACTTAAATTAATAAATTAAGTTCAAGTTAACCAGATTGCATCATATCGCATATCATTCGATTCGGCTGATCGCCAGGAACACAATGATACCATTTTTTAAGCTCTAGCGTCATTATGTGCCAAGTTATTGGCAAAAACGTCATTTGACCTCAGTTGACCTCATTTGACCTGACCCATGGATGAGTACACCAAACAAAGAAGCATCAAGTGACCTGCTGTCAAGTACTGTGGTTTCAAAGCACAAAAGTGATAGAAGAAAGCGGATATCTCCAGTATTTTCCGAATTTAGTATTTTCCCATAGGCTTACCATTACGACGTAATGACCTCTAACTGACCTCAGGTCAGTGACCTAAAAAAAAACCGAACTATATGTTATACAACTCGGTGAACTTAGCACATCCTGAAAGTTTGAAGGAAATCAGTCAAAAACTGTGAGTTGGACAGGTGCAAAAAGAAAATTGAAATTTGACCATGACCTTGTACCGGTTTTTCTGACCTGGTGACCTGACCCAAGGTCACCCGGACCTGAAATTTTTCAGGTCATATGTAAAAAGGTTGCCCCATAAGCTGTGCCAAATTTGGCGGCGCTGCGCGCCGCCGTTTTTACGCTATTTTCGAAAAACCTTAGGGGGGGGTCGCATCGACCCCCCCCCCCCCCTGCCAGGGCGAGGGTTAAACATTATATGTATACCTACGGCCTACGGGAACGGCCTTACAAGTGGATCACCATTACCCAGGGGCACTGTCAGTGTCCAGTGTCCACTGGGATGGCTTTTTTATATTTCTTTTCTTTGTTAAGCGCCGTTAGCACTGTTCCCCTGGGACGAAGGACAAATAGATAAGTTGTATTTCATTCATTATGATCAGACCGGTTTCGGTGTATTAACACCATCATCAGTGAGTAAAAATACAAAAAACATACAAATACATCGCAATCATTCAGTCGTTCGTAATATATGCATTCGAGACACTAATGCAAGAAACAAGTACACTAATTCGTGCTACACAATGCGTATTGTGTAGCACGAATTAGTGTACTTGTTTCTTGTATTAGTGTCTCGAATGCATATATTACGAACGACTGAATGATTGCGATGTATTTGTATGTTTTTTGTATTTTTACTCACTGATGATGGTGTTAATACACCGAAACCGGTCTGATCATAATGAATTCGATAAAGTTGTATTTCATTCGACGCGTGTCGACAAGAGAAGCACGATTCGGTCAATATCAATGAAGTGCAAACTTCGTTTTAAAAGTCATTGCAGAAAAAAAAAATCCGCTAAAACATTTATGGACGGTTTTGCGCTCCGAAGACCAATCAAACCATTGAACTCACGTTAAACCTGAGGGCACACTAGCAAATGATTGTCTAACGTCGTCTTCTGATGTTGTCTTGGTTACGCTTGTCGCTATGTGGCTCAAGGTCCGAGAGCAGGGCTACCTCCCTCTCCGTCTCGGTGTTTTAGGATCGGACCATCCTGCCAGGATGTCCCGCCAGGTCCGGGATATTGTACAAGCGTCAGTGACGACTACCTAATGCGTAATCTCCATTGAAACTTTTAAAGACCGAGGTGCTTATACAGCCACACATTTGAACCAGCTGACGCAAACATGATGTTTCAAAATTAACCGATCAGAATATTAGGTATAAGACGTTCCAACCTACAACCATTACCCACCTTCCATCGGCTCCTACCATAGTCACATCACACATGGTTGTACGTCAAGCGACACTTTCCGGTCTTTCCATCGCTGCGGTTTGGCGATAAGCTGACAGTATGGTGACTGTTGGAAGCCCCACGGCCCGCCGGCACGGCACCGGTGCCGCTGTGGGCGAAGGAGCACTGTTGCAGACCGTCGGCCGCGGGGACGGCAGTCGCGATCAATAGCGAGTCGGTCCGGGCGGCGGGCTGGCTGCTCAGCTCAGCCTGCTGCGGCCAACTGTCGGACCACGGACAGACCGACAGGCTAACAGACAAATAGACTGAAAAGCAAACAGACGGCAGGCGACAGGACAGGCAGAGCGGGCAGGCGGACCGGCAGCTGAAGAGACTGACTGAGTGTTAGTCGTTCTGCCCGTTCGTCTGTACTCTGTATATCTGTCTGTATGTCTGTTTATGCCTCTCTGTTCGTTTATTAGACCGGGCGGACGTAGAGGCCTGCTGAACAGACATACAGACATATAGACCGACGGACGGACAGGGCAACTACCTAATACGGACATTCAGATATTCACTTACAATATGTGCACACCCCTACGTTCAAAACTCAAGCAGTCATGCATGCATGCTTTCAGACCGATAGACCGATATACAGACGGGAGTCAAGTACCGAGTGCGACCGACGAAAAAGCAAAAAAGAACGACTCACCACTGACGGAGAGTTTAGATTTTAGAATAACAAAAGACAAACAAGGGCCGACGAACAGGCCGGAAACGAAACAACAATGCGAATAAAGAGTGCCGGGCAACCGGGATGCAGCCGTGTTTTTTTTTTTAATACCTGTATAACCGGTGAAATTCATACAAACCGGTTCAAGAGATGATTTCGATGTTCAAAACCGCCAGTTCTCGATTACTAAGACCGAAACTAGCTCGCGACAGACATACCTAATAAGCATGCAATCAGGGCGGCGGGGGCGGCGGAGTGCATCCTTCACATGGAATGCGTTGCCTAGGACGTCTGTTTTGGCAGCGCATGATAAGATGTCGCACTGAGACTGAGCTAATGATTAGGTCTCTCAGACTCTCACGCCTCATTACCCAGTGCAATGTGGCATATGAGCCACGACAATTATTTCGTCGTAGGAGCCTAATTAGGTAGGATAACGGCCAACGGGGAATTCGGCTACGGATGTGGAGTGCAGAAACGGTGCGTGCGGGCCAGCAACCGAACACGGGCGGTCGCGGACGTATGCGATCAGCTCACCGCACTTGGGCAGGGTGACGATCCACAGGTCTCCCGGCTCCACGGGCGTGCTGTAGTAGCGCTCCAGAAAGGGGCCGGCGTCGGAGGGCAGCAGCACGCCCGACGGGCCGAACGGCGACAGACCGACCGACGCGTACACGGGGAACGCGTCGGCCAGCCTGCGGCGGGTCTCCTCGTCCACCGACCGCGCACCCAGCGACGCCGGCAGCGGCGGTGCGTCCACGGCGGCAGAGACGCACTTCTCAGCCTCGGCGGACATTGGCGGAGTGACGGCTGACTGGGTATTGGGGAACTGGTGACGAGCCGTCGAATGACCAACAGCAGCCTGTTGAGCAGTCTGACCGATCGCCGGGAGACTGCTGATTGGACGCTGACTGAGATCCGAGACTTCAGACTAACCGAGACCCACAGCAGAGTAGACGGTTTTTTAGTACTAAGAAACCGACGGCAGCGCTTCGGGAGGTGCTGGAACAGTTAGAGCCTGTCCGGCCCCTCCAGCCGACTGAGTGGAGGGAGGCCCGAGGCGCCGGCCCGGTGCCACCGCGGGCCCGGCGGGAGGCCTCAGTGCGCCGGCGCCGCCCGGGCCGGCGGCGGTCGGCGGTCGTCTCGCCGCAGGCTGCAGCTTTCCCCACTGTTCAGTTCCCATAGGGATATGTCGAGACCGTTCGAGGACGGTGAGGATAGAGAGGAGCCATCGGGTAGGGTCTCTCTGAGTGGTAGCGCGTCCAATGTCCATTCTTGTTACCACCCACCAGTCAGCCTCCGGGCCGGCTGCCCCGTCTGGCTCGATGCCAGGAGCATGTGTCGAGCTGTGCGCCTGTACGGCTGCCGCGCGGCGCGCTGATTGTGCCGTACGCTGCTGAACAACCGGGCAAGGTCAGGCGTAAGGGGACTGAGGGGGCGAGGGTGATGGGCGTACCGTCCGCTCCCTACCACGCCACACTGCACAGTGGGGATTTTTCCGATCTAGCGCCTATTAATTAAAAAAATATTTTTTTGGGTTTTTGTTTATTTTATGTGTCAGTGGGGCTCAGAAATGTCTGAATTTTTCATATATGGCATTGTTTTATCTGTATGTCCACAGCAAGACTAGGAAAAATGCGCCCAAAGTTCACACTCATGCGTGATTACTCAATGGGCTCAGTAAGGACCGAAAGTATGGCTCAATTTCATTGTCCTGTCCTGTTGGTTTTATTCTTGCGAGTTCTTAAAGTTGCATATCTTCTGAAAGGCACTTATATTAGGAATGGAATGGCAAACAGAAAGTATGCCACAACCTTACTAAGGTCACAAAAATGCCATTTACAAAAAACCCTTACAGACACCATATTGAAGGAATGGTATTCTAGATAAATGTAGGAAATCAACAATGTTTTCCACACTTTTCCACTCCGAAACATATCCTATCGAATTCGCCACTTTCTCCTGCACAAGACAACGTCTAGTTTGGCTGCCGGAAATTGCCTGAACACGGAATATTCGCATTAGAGTATCTTAATACCCCACTCTAGGAGCGCTAGGGCAAACAGCACGATATAGGTATGTTCCAGACATAGGCGAATAATTTTACTTCCTGACTTATATGATGCATATTTTCTGAGACACATTCATGAGGAATAGGATGACAGGCGTAAATTATACATACCGCAACCTTATTAACCCTAGCACTAGTGGGGAGGGGGAGGGGGAAGGGGTCGGATAAAACCCCATGGTTTTCCGCAAATCACTCGCGCAAAAAGCAGCCGATCGCGACGAAACTTTCGTTGCCCTCGAGATCATCAATTTTACATCTAACCTAAAAATTTCATGACTCTGACCCAACTGACCTTTGACCTGTGGCATATTTCTCGAGACCATGTTTGGCCGGAATCGTGATTCGGCGTATGCCAGCTCACATTATCCGCGGTTTCCAGTCTTTTTGTGGTTTTAAACGTTCAAATATGTGAAATGATGCTGGTGCCATGCATTATGGTGGGTGTCAAGGTCACGTGAAGGTCAGGTCAAGGTCATTGACCTTTGATGACCTTGGTTCACTTTTTCGAGTTTTACTTGCTTCTAGGGTAGTTTTTGGTGTTGATTTCGAATTTAGCAACCATTTGAATATTTAGGAAGTAGTTCTGGTGCCTTCGTACCATGTTACGAAGCTGTCAGTAGTAGGTGACACCTATTATGGATGGCCGGCAGGACGTCTACTGGCTGACCTGACCTGACCCGACCTGGCTTAAATGCATGAAGACATCGTCTGTGATCAAAACTAACATGAAATTCGTGATCAGCACCCCAAAATACCCCGTAACATCCTAACTTTACGAAGTTCCAAGAGGTCTCGATTTTCCATCTTTAGTTGGGTCATTGACTTGACTTGGAAAGTCAACTAATGACCTTGGACTTTGAAATTGGATATATTCGGCCTCATCTCGTCATAGACAGCACGCTTGATTTTTCCGCGAAGCTCTAGCTTGATCAGGGGCCAAACGGCTGAGCCGGGGGTCCAATTGACCCCCCTATACTATGTTGATTATGCACATTTACAGGTAACACTCTCACCAGAACACACCAGCCAACATCTGTGCACAATCTGGCTACAATACTACCTATGGTTTGCCCTCTACGAATAAATACGTGCTAGATCTGAAAAATCCCCACTGTGCACTGGGCCGGGGGTCCGGAAAAGTGCTAGAAATTATTTGTGATTGAGTCGTTGATCTCAGTGACAAGCAAACATGCTAAAAACGAAGTGGGGCTGCTTAACCCTCGCCGGACCTATTGTCGGACCCCCCACCCCCTCGGCCGGCCGAGGGGGGAGGGTTCGTACGACCCCTTTTTGCCGTTTCGCCCCTAATGGAGCTAGAGCCTCGCGGAAAAAACAAGCGTGTGCGCCGTTTCAAGGCGGAACGATTGATACCCGATTTTAAGGTCCCAGGTCAACCGGTAACCTCTGAGGTGAAGTCAAAAAGCCCAAGGTTGGGTTTGGTTTTTGGCAAATAATTTCGCAAAAAATGGCCGCAGAGCAGCGATTTTGGCACCATCGCGTTCGCCTGGCTCAGGCGCGTCGAATGGTATGCTTTTTGTTCGGGTGAGGTCAACTTAAGGTATTGACCTCGAGTCAAGGTCAGTTCAGAGCCCATCAGGCCACGAACTTAATCGAAGGAGGTCGTATCGCATATCATTCGATTCGGGAGGTCTTCCCGAGTCCATTGGTGGCTTTCCCGAGTCGCTGGCTCAATTTGATCGTGAGTTATTGACGAGAAACTCCTATGACCGGTGTGACGTCATAAATGACGTCACGGAAGGTCAACAATGCAAAAGTAAAGCATTGGATCTTGCAAGGAGTGTACGAAATCACGATTCCGTGTGCTTGAGATAGTTTGAAATCACTCCATGCGCAAAAACAACAGTTTCCTTATTTCCCCATTCACTTTTAATGGTGAGGTCACGTGACCTCGAAGAGTAGCAGGCATTAGCAAAAATTGCGAGTAGGGCATGACAGAAAGATGATTGCTGGTTTGTATGGCATGACCATTTTTAGCGGCTCGAAATAACATTTCTCAAAAAGTCTAACTAAAGAGCAAGTTGTTGTTGATTTTCACTGACTTGTGTTTAGGGGTTAATAATGACTGAATTTTTGAGTTTGGCCCAGAAATGTTGACAGCATTGTGTGCGTTGATCAATTCGGAGCTCAGGGACATATATTTTATTTAGATTATAAGCGTTTGTTTTTCACAACTTCCAGCGTTTTAAAGAGCGCCGGGCCTTCAGTAGAGCGGCGAGGTGACAATTGCCCCTACATCATGTGGTTTACTGGCGCATACCTCGAAAAGTAGCAGGGAAAAGCAGCAAAGCACCCATATGGAACAAAAGATGAGTAATCAGAGGCTAGTATAAAATGTTCATTTTTAGCCGCTCGAAATAACGTTTTTATAGAAGTCTAATTAAAAAATTGGATATGATTTTAAATTACGTCTTGCAGCTGCTTGCAAACAGCTAGCTTATTTTGCAGAAAAGCGATGCAATATGTCAGAATGATGTTGGCACAGTGAACAACAGTGCCCTGAACTAGTCTGACAGGAAATTTCGTTCAAAACGACGATTGGTCGACTAATAAATTACCACTAAAGTTCATCATTAAAATCAGTAAATGTGGTGGCCTATAGAGAGCCTAAATTGTCTTGTGTTTGGTGACAACTGACGACCTCAATTTTGACCTTAGGGCAAAACTAGCATCGGAATCGTATTCTTCGATCAATTTGGGATTAAATGATACCTATTTTGTTCATATTGCGGACAGTCAGTTTGGGGGAATTTCTAGCGCTTTTTCAGGCTGCCGGCCTACAGTGCACGCGGCGCCTGTCGGCAGCACAAACGCGCTTTGAGTTACATAAGTGGGCCAGTCCCGCTAGCCGCCTGACTGGGTCGGCCGACACTCGCGGCTAAACTGCCAGTCATCTATTGGCACAGGGCGATAGGACTCGTGTGTTAATACAGAAGCCCCAGGGCGAACTGTGAATGGACAGTGGATTATACAGAGAGGCATTCGATGGCGTTCGTAGCCACATTTTTTTTTTAAAGATTCAGACTAAATTTAGTACCTTCCATTCGGACTGAGTTTTTATAAAACAGAAAGAACAAAGTTCACGAAGTGCACCTACAAATCGAACAAATACACGTGCTGGACAAGACACTACAATGGTAAAACACTCGATAACAGACCTGCCAGCCCGCCCCGTTCTCCCGCCGCCGGGCGGAGACGCGCCTCTGGCCGCCGGGGTCCGCCGAAGGTCACGGCAGGACCCGTCGCGGCGCGGCGGGGGGCGGGCGGCGGGCGGCGGCTGCGGCGCGACAGGACGACCGTGGTCGGGGGCGGCGACGGACGGGTGACGGCGGCTGCACTGAGGAGACACCTGCTGCGCTGAGATCCCCGTCATGGCCGAGGAGCTGTTCAGGAGGTGGCCCGTGTCGGAGGAGAAGCGGCGCCGCATGGACGCCGCCTATCCTGTGTTCGCCGGGGACGGCGGCCAGGCTCCGTTCGGCCCGTCCGGCTACATGCTGCCTGTGGACGCCGAGCCGTTCCTGCGCCAGTACGTGCAGACGCCCGTCGATCCGGGAGACGTGTGGATCGTCACGCTGCCCAAGTGTGGTAAGTGCGCCCGCTGACAATGATCCGCTCACCCCGTCAGCTCAACCCACTCATCGGCATCCTGTTTGTTTCGGATATCAATTACTCAGCGCGTCATTGACCCGTGTGATCCATATATGTGTGGGTAATTTACGTCAAATAGTGGAAAGAGATAAACTAAAAGAAGTAGACGGTCTTTTAAATGCTATTTGGATGAAAGTTTGGGAGCCCTAAAGCAAGCTTCCCCGTTTAGGTACTTATCCCTCTTTGTCCCTCCTGCGATCGCTATATGGTACCTATGCCTCGCACCTATCGTATTGCTTCTCCATGCGACAGCAAAATGACACAGGACAATGGAAATCGTTTCATTTAATTTATTCATTGGGACACTCGACGACTAGTCACACAAGTGCCTCCCCGTGCAATCGCATAAACTCGCGGCGCTGAAATTTATGTTAAATATTGCCTAACTATTGAATCAGAATAATGAATGCCGTTTCTGATTTTTGCTTCGTTTCGACCCATACCTTGATAATGATCGGCAAGACGTAATTGTTCAGCATTTCCAAACAAGTGTTTAATGCTATGCGCTTGAGTTGTTGCCTCCGAATCAAAATTAGCCCATTTCAGATTTCATTCATCATTGCGTATTGCGTAAAGCGCGAAATGAAAGCAAAATAATAGTCGCGATTAAATAGAAATCTGGCGCTAGCCGGTAAGTTTCATGCTCACAGTTGACAACAAACTCCTAATGTCTAGGTGTAGGTATATAGAACGTAGGTAGGTACGTAATTTTTCGCTGATAATAGCTGTTTTCACGACGGGCTATCCGGCGAGTGCACCTATACCTATGACCAAATCTGCACCTAATCTCTTTTACAGCAAATATCTTTATTTTATGAATTTATTTCAGTGTAGGTATGTATTAATCGATGATACCTACTCTGATGATATGACAAAGCAGGCATATGAGCAATTAGTGCAACCCTAGCTGATAGCTACTAAAAGACACACTGAACCTAATTTGACCAAATCTGCACCTAATCTGCACCAGCTGTGCACCAAATGTGTACCAGATGGCCGTCGTGAAAACGGCTATTATAAAACGACGTTCGTTGTAGGCGAAGGGCTACCTACAGCTACTGAACCCGGTTTGATATTGTAAGTAGCCCGTAGGCACTATAGGCACGGCATGGCTGACGCTTACTGATGCATTTATCTTCAAATTAATTTATTCGGAATACCCTTTTAGTGACACCTTCTGATGCTTGTCGGGGGGGGGGGGGGGAGACCTTTAAGAAATACCGTTTATATCAATTACTGATGTGAGCTGAAAATTTTACTAGCACAATTTCAAATGCCTCTGATTTTCGGCACCATTCGACATCTTTGTTATACCTATAGGTAAACTGGCCTACATATTCGCTATTACCTACCTACTATCAGTCAAAGTTATCTTCACTCTAAAAATCGTGCCTTGCTCCGTAATGTAGTCTGTCTTTAAAAGTACCGCGCAAATTGACGGTGGATCCATTAAGCCTGACCGAGGAAGGGTCTGCTATGAATTGAAAGTCACCGAACCAATTGACCTGGGGAATGGACGAGGATGTAATTACTTCGGTGACTCAAATTTAGCAGGCCCTTCCTCGGTCAGGCTTGATGGATCCACCGTTACTTTGCGCGGCACTTTTAAGACAGACTTTACTTGCAGGTACTTCGGTTAACAGATCAGTCACGCAGGTTGATAGTATGGCTGCAAGTCGACATTACAGCATGCGTGTTATCTGGCTTCTATTGCTATTTGCAGGCACGACATGGACACAGGAGATGGTGTGGCTGATCCAGAACGACTGCGACTACAAGGGGGCGCAGTGCCTGCTGTGTCCCGACCGGTACCAGTTTCTTGAGATCGCCTGCATCTCAGCTCCACATCAGCGAGAAGAGGTTCGCCAGGGCAACAACCCGATCAGCAAACGAAACATGTTCTCGCGGGTCGAGGAGCGACCCAAGCCCTGGTTCGTCAAGACCCACCTGCCTCTTCACTACTGTCCGCCGGCACTGCTGGAACGGGGAAAGGTACAGCCGTACAGTTGGAATTAGCTGTAGGACTAGGATCTCATCGCTGGGGATCAATAAAATAAAGAAATCACTTCCCCGTACCCACACTCGATACCCAAAGGCCACCATTGACCCCAGGCAGCTGAACCGCTCGTTTAACGTTCGTTTGTCTGAGCGCGTTATGTCAGGCATACCCATTTCTTTATGCTCTGGTTCTCAGCTTTCTGTCTTATCTTTTCCAGGTGATATATGTGGCAAGAAACCCCAAAGACATGTGCATTTCATACTTCAACCACCTGAAGGTATTCGAAGAGAGGGATCCTGACCTGCCCCTAGATGAGTTTGCCGACCTATTCATGGCAGGCGAAGTGAACCAGCTGCCGTACTTCCCTCATGTTCTAGAAGCATGGAAGCAGCGGCATAATCCCAACCTGCTCTTCCTCTTCTTCGAAGACATGAAGCGCGATCTGAGAGGCACTATCCAGAAGGTGGCTGACTTCTTGGGCAAGTCGCTCACGAAGGAGCAACTGGATGGGCTTGAGTTTAACCTCCACTTCGACAGCATGAAGAAGAACCCATGGGTCAACAAGAGCATGGCTTATGCCTACTCCCCACTGACAGCTGAAGAGCTCGAGGCAATGGCGGCCAAAGAGCCGCCACCGCAGTTTATGCGGAAAGGACAAACGGGAGACTGGAGAAATCACATGAGCCAGCAGACATCGGACAAAATGGACGCCTGGATTCAGAGGGAACTCGCCGGCTCCGACCTGAAGTTCATCACCGGCTAACATGCTCATACAAGGGTGATCAGGGAGAGTGTCGAGCTTTTATACACCTACATACCGATTCGTGTTGACGCATTGTAGTCCGAACTTAGAATACACCTGTGCCTGTTCTTAGAATAGGTGCAAATGTACTAGTAGATACTAAGCCTGCCGATGAAGCATGCTTCTAAAGTTAAATGCTGTTTAACTATGGTGCGATACCGTAGGTACATGTTTCTATAAACGCACACATTGAACGATAGGAAACAATATAATGCCTCGATATTCGACGCATGGTCAATTGCCGTAGCACTCAGTAATGGGTAGTTAAGTGGTGTTTCCTAGCCGTCGCGGGTGATGTTTATGGCGATTTAAAAATGCAGAATATGTAAGCTACTTGTGCGCTGACAAATGCAGAATAATTGTTGGGTTTCGGAAAGAGACACATACCCTCGTCTTCTTGTTTAATTAAGATTGTAAACTTGTTGAACTTAAAGTGAGAGTTTGCTAACTGATTGTTAAGTCGGTCGATATAGATCATGATATGTTATAGGTGCTTCACCTGTTGAATAAATAATATATGCGTAATCATTAGCTTAATTCTTTTTCTGTATGTTGCGATGCATTTTACGCTTTTTTTTTGCACAATCAGTACACGACCGAACAGATAAATAGGTCTGCCATATTCAGTCGTTTCGGTGGGAAATTCTTTAGTTAGTTAGTGCGCAGTATCAGACAGGCAGTGTATGCGGATAAATAAATTGTCAATCTTCTCGATATTTTCTGGTCATGCCATGTTGATGCTCTTGCTCTTGACCGCTAAATTTCCAAATTTTAAGGTCAAGTTCGTTCGATGCGTATAAACGAAAGGAATACCATGCCGGTAAAATCCATGTCTTGCAAGTTTTGAGTCAAAAGAGAATATTTTATGAAAACGTCCATTTTTAGAGTTTTTCCATATGCACTGCACTTACCTTCACCGTTCCCTTGACCGTTACCTACACTCAGGTCAAATCTGAGTACGTTGCTTAGAAAGGACAGAATGTTAGCGGTTTATATTGTTTTTCCTACAATGTAGACTTTATGACTTAATGCCCAGACTTACTTTTGGAGATTTAAATATTCGAATGCCTACATATTGCTTTGATCGGCGAATCATGAAGTAACTATATAGGTATCGTTTTTAGATCGATGGTATTGGCTTGCTGTATCAGTAGGATAGGTATCGTTTTAAGATCAATGCTATTTGCCTCTTGCTCTTGCTCTGCACTGCAGGCACGACATGGACGCAGGAGATGGTGTGGCTGATCCAGAACGACTGCGACTACGAGGGGGCGCGGTGTCTGCTGTGCCCCGACCGGTACCATTTCCTGGAGGCCGCTGGTATGACCACCAGTATGAAACGGGAGAAAATTCGCCTCGGTCGAAACCCAGTTAGCAAGAAGCTTTTCTTTGGGTCCATTCAGGAGCGGACCAGGCCGCGGTTTGTCAAGACTCACCTTCCGCTGCACTTCTGTCCTCCGGCACTCATCGATACTGCCAAGGTTGGTAAATTATAGGTAACTTGCTAAAGGGCCTTAAAGGGACCCTCCCACCTTAACATTAGTTTTGAGTTGAGATAGCCAAGTTTGCGGCCAGGCTCAGAAACCACCATTTATCCTGGTCGCAACCCCCGCAGCTTTATGGTGTTCAAGAAATTTCTTCCCTTTACTTGCAGGGTGGGACCAGCGTGGTCCCTATCTCTTAACCATTACGGGAATCTGATGACGTCATCAGGCTTTCGAACGTCCGTTAAATGTTTGACTAAAACGTTTCGTAGCACGCGGTGGTATATGCTGCTTTGCGCGCAACAAATGCCGCACTTTCAAATAAAGTCGCTAGGAACAGCGGAGATCCCAAAAAGTAAACAAAAGTAAAAGTCTAATATCTTGAAAACCGGTGAATATTTTTCGATGAAATTTGGTAGATATTCGTTTTTGCTCTTTCTGAACCGAGCGACATCACTTTCATGCTAATTCATTAACTTTTTTGAAGGTGGGAGGGTCCCTTTAATCCTAAGTAACTATATCAGACAAAAATACGTCATCCTAAGTTTTCCGTGTCGTAGGGGAGAACGGGGTCAATTGTAACATTTTTTGCATTTTATCATCTGGTGCAAACACGTTTGCAGTTATAAAGCTCTTTCTTTTATTTTCAGAAACTATGATGTTTTGTCTTTAAAATGCAGTTAAAACATTTCCGAAATAGCTTCTTTTTCGGGTCAAAATGGTTGTTCGAAAAAGTCAATTCAGCTGTTACAATTCGCCCCAGATACGGGGTCAAAAGTAACACCATCCGGGGACAATTGTAACATGTTCATTTACAGGCTACAGCAACACAATTTTTTCCAAAACTTTGATTTAACAAAAGTATTGAACACTTGTTTATCTTCCCAGACTTGGTAGGGACGGTTCTTCTCAGGAAGAAGGCAATAAAACCTCGCACTTATACAGGGGTTGGATGGACCTCCTCTCCCTTGGTTTTTCGTAAATAAATCGCGTAAAAAGCTGCCGATTGCGACAAAACTCACAGTTCTCTTAATTCTAGCAATGTTTCATCTCCCTTGAAAATTTGACGACTTTGACATAATGGCCACTGACCTATAACCTGTTACATTTGACCCCTGCAAAAATGTTACAATTGTACCCGTCGCGCCTTGACATATTTTAGACGAAACTGGCGCAAAAAGATGTTGCATGTAGGCAGCATTTAATGCTTTCAATTTATCGACAACAAGCCTGCCAACGCTTACACAAAGTCTGAAGTCGATATCTTTTCAATGGCGGGAATGAGCTCATCAAATATAACGGCATAAAAATCTACAAAATGCTATCAAAAACACATTACTGTGCACAGCCATCGACATACCCGGCACTTTCGCTTCAAACTCCGTTGGGAAAGGCAGTATAGAATTACGCATTTTCGGTCTGAACATCAGCTCATTCTATTGGTAAGTTTATGAATTATTAACACTGTTACAATTGCCCCGTGTTACATTTGACCCCGCTCTCCCCTACGATAGGAAAACATGTCACTTACCTACATACAATTTACAATATGTGTCTGCACATAGGTAGGGTGAATAGGTCAAAAACGCCCCCCCCCCCTTAAGCGCGAAACCTGACACTCAACCCAACACAGATTACTCAAACCTTTGGGCACCATCATGTAGCTCATTCTTTTTACTACGCTTTGAGACCAAGAAAAGACGCCTGCGTGTGGTATTTAACCCCCCAAAAAGGTTTTCGCATACCCTTACAAAAGGGCGTTTTGCCCCATACCCTGGGTAATACGCCCACACCCATGTGCAAAGCGCCCCCACCCCATCCATCAACAGAACATGATGAACATGGCAGAACTTGACGTCATTCTGACGTCATTTGTGGTCAACCTATCATAGCCTTTGGAATAAAATTTTGTTACAATGTGTAAAATGGATGCCCGGAGGAGTCCTGAAAGTTTGGTGACGATATCTGCAGTCGTTTAGGATATATCAGCAAAAAAGGACAGGGAGAGGCCTTTTCAGCCCCGACCTACAGGGCGCTACCCTGCACTCTCACCACCGTGCAAAACGCCCCCCTTTCAGAAAACTGGGGGCGTCTTGCCCCATGCATCGAGTAGGCGTCTTTCCCCATCCACTCCATTTCCGGTCAACAAAATATTGACAAAAAACGCGCCACTAACGCCGCAGCATAATAAATTCAACAGAATGACAATAATGTAAATAGAGTGAATAACCTTATGCTCATGTTATATGTTGCAAATTGATATAATTAAAACTAAATTGATATATTTCGATATTGCACCGTCATCAGAATAAGAATAGCAATTAAGCAGCGAAACAAAGCCGATTCAAACGGAATACAAAACGTGCATCTTTTGATATGGTTCTCGTTGGATAAGGTCGATCAGTACGTACAATCATTCAAGTGCGTGTCAACATTTGCACATTATACATGGTAATGCTTTCAAATATACATAATGCCAAAAATACATATACGTTTACAATATACATACTTTACATAATAGTAGGATACATGGATGGATACATACTTTACATAATAGATGGATACATACATATGCACATACAATATACAATATGCATAATAGATACATACATAACATGTATATACAATATACATAATACACCTAATATATAGTTGTCTATTGTTACTCATACATCCACAAACACATGACATATGACAATGTTAAACAATAGGTATTCTACAATATTGTATGCTACACTGGAGCTACCGGAGCCACTGGGGGTGTGTATGACGGGGGATTGAGGAGAGGCCATGATGAGGTTTGTGTGTTGAGGTGGGGTCGCTGGTTTCTGATTTCGATTGATTCGGCTATTTTGAGGTTTGGTACATCTTTACAAACTTTTTCGATCGACACGCTAAACGACTCGGGCCCTACTATGCTGGTTGGGTGTGTCCTAGCTACATGATCTCCGAGTGGAGTGTCCTTAGTTTGGTTTTTTGCGTCCCTCAAATGCTCGTGAAACCGCTCCCGGATGCGTCTTTTAGTTTCTCCTATGTAAATACTAGTTTTGTCTTGGCACATGTTACACACGATTTTGTACACAACGTTTTTGGTGTGGCAGCGACCAGGCAGCCCCGCCTCACAAGTGTGACATTTCCTTGTACCTGCCGGGCAGGGAGGACTTTGCATGGCTGACCTGGTGAGGTGTTGCGCTAGCGCCATTGGCTGTATATCAAGCCAATGGCGGCACCGATCATAGTGCACTACAGCTCAGCTCATCCCATGCAGTGTAAGCGATCCGTCCTGTATTCACAGCTTCTACGCGCTAAACGTCTGGGATCTGACAAGGCGGCACAAAAGCGGGGTATGGCTAAGATCGAAACGCTGTTCCGGCATAACGGGTACCCGAACAAACTCATTCAGAGAACTAAGCATCGGGTTCTATTTAGTAGTGAGCAAAACGGCAGAAACAGAGCAAAAAACAGAACAAAAAACGAACCTACATATATCACACTCCCATACATCGACGAAACCCTAGCACGACGGGTGGATGGAGTCTTCAGGGGCTCGGGTTTGAATGCGCGGGTCGCTTGGACCAGTGGAAAAACACTAGCGCAACACCTCACCAGGTCAGCCATGCAAAGTCCTCCCTGCCCGGCAGGTACAAGGAAATGTCACACTTGTGAGGCGGGGCTGCCTGGTCGCTGCCACACCAAAAACGTTGTGTACAAAATCGTGTGTAACATGTGCCAAGACAAAACTAGTATTTACATAGGAGAAACTAAAAGACGCATCCGGGAGCGGTTTCACGAGCATTTGAGGGACGCAAAAAACCAAACTAAGGACACTCCACTCGGAGATCATGTAGCTAGGACACACCCAACCAGCATAGTAGGGCCCGAGTCGTTTAGCGTGTCGATCGAAAAAGTTTGTAAAGATGTACCAAACCTCAAAATAGCCGAATCAATCGAAATCAGAAACCAGCGACCCCACCTCAACACACAAACCTCATCATGGCCTCTCCTCAATCCCCCGTCATACACACCCCCAGTGGCTCCGGTAGCTCCAGTGTAGCATACAATATTGTAGAATACCTATTGTTTAACATTGTCATATGTCATGTGTTTGTGGATGTATGAGTAACAATAGACAACTATATATTAGGTGTATTATGTATATTGTATATACATGTTATGTATGTATCTATTATGCATATTGTATATTGTATGTGCATATGTATGTATCCATCTATTATGTAAAGTATGTATCCATCCATGTATCCTACTATTATGTAAAGTATGTATATTGTAAACGTATATGTATTTTTGGCATTATGTATATTTGAAAGCATTACCATGTATAATGTGCAAATGTTGACACGCACTTGAATGATTGTACGTACTGATCGACCTTATCCAACGAGAACCATATCAAAAGATGCACGTTTTGTATTCCGTTTGAATCGGCTTTGTTTCGCTGCTTAATTGCTATTCTTATTCTGATGACGGTGCAATATCGAAATATATCAATTTAGTTTTAATTATATCAATTTGCAACATATAACATGAGCATAAGGTTATTCACTCTATTTACATTATTAATCATGCTCAGAAATACCATAGCTTACCTCCAAGGAGAATGACAATAAAACGCAGTTTTGAGTGATGTCAGTGGCGGATCCGGGGGGGGGGGGCAAAATGGATGGGCATTTGCCCCCCCCCCAAACGGCATGATTTTAACATTACGCCTATGGACGATGCATGGAAAGAATCGATAAATTTTTATGGTTTGCCCCCCCCCCCAAACTCTGAGCTGGATCCGCCTCTGAGTGATGTGCACAATACCTAACAAGTTTTGTGATATAAAGAGGGCTTCAAAATATTAGGAATCTTCTGTAAAAACAACAAAAACAACACCCAAAACCAACATCAGCACCTACCCACGCTGCTCCTCAAGACACAGAACCGGAAATAGAGACCTACGTAAACAAGCAGCTGACTGTTCTGAAAGACAGGATAAAACACCTATCCGTCGATAAGAAATACGATTTTTTTTAGGGGAGGCTTTCCCCACAGTTAGGTACCCTACCTAGTACCTATAGCCACTGAGAAAAAAAATTGTATTTGGCTGTTTCATTTTTAAACGTTGATTTCATGACCGTGGTTGATTTTACACCCAACATCAAAATCGAAACGTTTCAATTCTTGGCTCGATATTTAGCAGGCTGCTGAGTACCTCCTACCTACAAAAGAAAAAACGGAATATGTACAAGCAGATTCCTCTGCGTTCTTGAAAATGGCTATCGATAATTCTTTGAAAAATGGAGCATTTCATAAATAAGAGGGGTGGGCGTTTGACCGTCCCCGGGCGCTTGGCCCGACTCTACACTACGTGATTTTACTTTGTCTCTCAAATGTTTTTTTTTACGTTTTTTAACTGTTTTATTTTGATCTCATTGCCTTTGTCTTCCTTCATACCAATGGTCACCTTGAATTCATGGGGCCGGGATGCATAGAATTTGAGTTATTGAGAAAAATGTTTTTCGTCAAACGGATCTAATATAAGAGGTCTAAGGGTGATTCGGTTTCGGCGCCTTTCTTGAGTTGTATGATTAGTTTTTATTTGCTCTTTACTGTAAAGAACAATGTAATAGTCAAACTTTAGAACAGGCAAGGTTTCGCAATGTTGGGCTATTTAACGTCATGAGCATGGCAGAATTTAGATTTGGTGCAAGACGGACCACTGTGATCCATCTGTGGTGGTCCATTTTACCCCGCATCCCGCGAGTTGCTTGGGGGGGGCGGCGGGCGCCCCCACTTTTTCGCCGCACTATAGCATAAAAACGGCGCGCCGCAGGCGCGCCAAAATTTGGTTACCTGTAGGGAATTGATTGAAGTTTATTGTGACAAAGTTTTAAAACAAAATCGGTCGGCAATTTTTTAGATATCGAGGCTTTAGTGACGTCATGATTTCTGAAATTTCGACTAAACACGGCATATGTTCAAAAAATCATATAAAATCACAGAATTAAGATACATACATGCCGTAAGCGACAAATAGACTGCCAATACCATAAGCAAACAAATAGCTATCTTCGATTTTTTTATTATCGTTCCGCATTTTCCAAAATCTTGAACTAGGTAATTATTGGCAATTTCTCGTGACTACTTCACGAGCACGACCATTTAAATTGAACTTTTTGAACCAAACACGTACACATATGATAAAATGAATGTCACCATCATCGTGTTCTACGCCCAAAATTACCCATAAACATTTGTCACAGGGTGCGAATATCAGTTTTGATTTTCAGGGATATTAACCTACCTGGTTGACCTGACCTTGACCCTGACCTACGCTTGACTGACCCCTTCATGGATCTGACACCCTTGTAGGCCTTATATGATGGCTTGTGCACCGTTTTGACAAAGTTTATGACGAGAGACGCCCATTGCGAGGTTCTGAACAAGTCCATGCTACTGAAAGCCCGATTTCAGGTGTTTGACCTGATCTTGACCCGACCTGTGACCTCAAATTTCAACTTTAAAGTGCTCATCTGAAGCGTTTCGTCGCTTTCTTTCGTTTGCCGCCTCGTGCGTTTCGCTGCGCCTATTGGTTCTCGAGTTATCGGCTGGGAGCGTTTAACGCCCCCCCCCCCCCCCCCCAGCAAACGGCGGGTGGCGAAATACCTCAGCAGCTGCCGGGTATATGGAAAATGTTGCTAAAACATTGTCAGTGAGTTTTAGTAAGGTATTTTTTTCACGAAGGAATTTTTGTTGCAGGGGAACCATGATGCATGCAAGTGCTCAACTAGCATGCATTCATGCCAAACGACAATAGTTGCACTTGCATCGCATATGAGTATAGAATAAAGACTCATTTCGTTATTTTACCACTCTGGTCATTTCTACTTACAAGAGTACAGAGCAGAAGTGTAACAGACCTGAATGGTAGCAGGCACTGCTGGGTGGTCCGTCTTACCCCGCGTTTTTGCTTGTCGTTGATTTTGGCATGTCTCCCTTTACGAGCAGCCACCATCTATATTTCTTGAATTTGAAATTGAGTCTTCGCACATATCAAAAGAGTAAGGATTTAACATTCAGAAGATCATAAACAGTATGAGTTACGAGAGCAGTGTAGCGAGATATTCGGTCTTAGACCTTAGCTGGTCCGTCTGACACCCCACCTTCCCCTACGGTCCTGCATACCTATCACAATTGAGTATCGGTACACATTTAGTTTTATGAGTAAAATGACTCATAAAATAGGTGTCGCACCTAGGTGTCCTATTCAATAATTCGTTTTTCGTGATCTGACCTGGACAGTGAACTTGACCTTGAGGCTTGACCTTGACCATTGCATTTTCTTTTATGCAAATCATCTAGTCTTGGTAGCCTAAAAGCGCGTTTTGGGAGTGGGCTATATCAATCTCGAGTCCATCATCCGCCAACTGGGCTCCAAAGGCAGTAAAGTAGAAACTTGCAGTTTTATACTTGACCTGACCTTGGCCTGACCTGTGATGACCCAGTTAGGAAAAATGTTGCGCTCTACAGATACGTCTTGTTGAGAGCTTACCATTGACGTTTTCGCCGTCTTTCTACGACCATCCGTCTGGAAGTAAGACGGGGGGGGGGGGGGCAAAATATCCCACTACCCCCAGCAGGGCGCGTTTGGCTGAATAGCCCAATGGCCAGTGGGGCACGTTTTTTTTTCTTCTCGAAGCATTTAAAAAGCCTACGCAACGAACACGTCTATTAATTATACGTGCTGGCGTGATGAGCTCTTCATCAGAACACAAAATAAAAAAGCTGCTGCGGTTTTGGCACAATTTATGAATAGGCGAATTCAGGTGCTACCGACACTTTTTGTTTCGGATATGTGGGATGCTCGTAACAATTCACAAGCATCATTAATAACTCCATGCATTGTTGTTTCTTTTTTCAGGTTATTTACGTCGCGAGGAACCCGAAGGACATGTGTGTTTCGTACTTCCACCATACTGCCGTATTCAAAGAGAGAAGCTTAGCGCTCACTCTGGATGACTTTGCTGCCTTGTTCATGGATGGAGAAGTAAGCCAGCTGCCATACTTCCCGCATGTTCTAGAAGCGTGGAAGCAGCGGCATAATCCCAACTTGCTCTTCCTCTTCTTCGAAGACATGAAACGCGATCTGAGAGGCACTATCCAGAAGGTGGCTGACTTCTTGGGCAAGTCGCTCACGAAGGAGCAACTGGATGGGCTTGAGTTTAACCTCCACTTCGACAACATGAAGAAGAACCCATGGGTTAACAAGAGCATGGCTTATGCCTACTCCCCGCTGACAGCTGAAGAGCTCGAGGCAATGGCGGCCAAAGAGCCGCCACCGCAGTTTATGCGGAAAGGACAGACGGGAGACTGGAGAAATCACATGAGCCAGCAGACATCGGACAAAATGGACGCCTGGATTCAGAGGGAACTCGCCGGCTCCGACCTGAAGTTCATCACCGGCTAACATACTCATACAAGGGTGATCAGGGAGAGTGTCGAGCTTTTATACACCTATATACCGATTCGTGTTGACGCATTGTAGCCCGAACGAACGGAACATTCGATGTGGAATAGGCACAAATCTGCTGAACCTACCGATTAGGCAGGTAGGTACAGGTCTCGCGAGATTAAGCGGTAGGTTTTGCACTTTTACATTTCCGGTTAGGTATATCTCAGAAACTATACGATCAACGATGAAGTCATTTTACACGATCATGGCCGGCTTGTTACCCAACAAGTCGATCGCATCTTCAACACTTAAAAGCTTAAGACGACGAAGATATAGCCTGAAGTACACTAAATTTTCTAGGTGCAAAACCTACCGCTAAAACCCGCGAGACCTGTCTATATGTTATGTGTCCATTGCTGTAAGAGTGTAGAGTGCATCGATATTCGATGCATGGTTAATTGTCATAGGGGAAGGTGCCCATATTGCGCTACCTTAAAGGTAGTGTGCCACCTTTGAAAGATTTCCCATTTTATTTTTCCTAGGATAAGAAGCTTCTGTTTTTACCTAATATCGCAAAAAAATCAAAAATGGGCCTGGAATAGTGCCTTTTTCGCCTAAAAGTTTTTCGGTTTTTAGATATGTATAACAACTGTAGTGGGCTCACCTGCAAACAGGCGTCGGGCAACAATCGCGAATGCGGCGCACTTGTGACAATAAGCAAAGGTCATTATAGTGTTACGACCATACGACGTACGGGAATGAGTTATCAGCTGTCTAATCGTAGACAACAATGAGCATATCGGTAATAGCGATTTCAGTGTGTGCATTTATTGTTCATAGTGGTGTGAAATGTGGTTGGGGTACGACCGACAACCCGTCGGGGCGAATTTCGCACTGGGGTACTCAAAATTTGAAGAATTTAAGACGTTTCCATGAGTTTTGAAGGTATGGATAAGTTCTAAAAATCCGGTTCTCCTTATCTGGGCCATTAACTCCATACGGTCCAAGAAAGCTGGCACACTACCTTTAATGATGTAATAACACGAAAGGTGGGTTCCTACCATACTACGTCGTTGCTAAACGAGGCTCATGTCTAGGACACGCCTGCAACTCTAATAATAGTGTGTGCCGCACCGTCTGCCACCCAGTGCAGTGCACAACAATCGATCGGTTCTGGTTCCAGTGGGATGCTGCGCCTTTTGAACCACTCGGTGGGTAGCGGTCCCCTCGGGCTGGTGTCAGTTCTCAGGCTCTTTAACAGCTAATTCCGGTTAAGCCAAATATAAACGGTGAACCGTGCGAGATTTAGCGTCTCCGTCAAATACTTCCATACTCCCGGCTCTCCGTATGTAGTACCTAAAAGATGTACAAGATTTAGAAGACGTTATTATTCAAAACAACATAGGGCCAAAACAACAAACAGACTGCAATAGTTAAAGGATAGTCGCGCAACTAAAATTTAGACAAGAATTACCCGATGTGAGGGAATTCAACCCTCAAGCCAAACAACAGGAGCAGTCACCTACCTCGGACGCTGCCAGCCACGAAGCGCCCCGATAGACGGCGAGCGCTACGTTTTAAAGGTAGTGTGCCAGCTTTCTTGGACCGTATGGAGTTAATGGCCCAGATAAGGAGAACCGGATTTTTAGAACTTATCCATACCTTCAAAACTCATGGAAACGTCTTAAATTCTTCAAATTTTGAGTACCCCAGTGCGAAATTCGCCCCGACGGGTTGTCGGTCGTACCCCAACCACATTTCACACCACTATGAACAATAAATGCACACACTGAAATCGCTATTACCGATATGCTCATCCAATCAAGTTTCGATAAACCCGTTCATCATCATCTCCTGCGGTTTCGAACACGCCTGTTAGGTGGCTTCTGATGCTCGTCGAGGTCGGAATTTCCAAATACGCGTGGTGCGTCGGGCCGCGCGCTCTGACTTCGGCCAAGAAAAATGCGTCAGCTGATCATTGTCATTTCTGCCACTTGCGTGTGGTGAAATGGGGTCATAACTTATAAGACGGCTTTTTCATATCAATTATTTTACATAAAATCATATTTCAAACCATAAATAATGTTCGACAGCCAAATAAAAGAAACAATACCAATACGGGCTTACAGTTTAAGGCTCGACATTGTGTTGTCTACGATTAGACAGCTGATAACTCATTCCCGTACGTCGTATGGTCGTAACACTATAATGACCTTTGCTTATTGTCACAAGTGCGCCGCATTCGCGATTGTTGCCCGACGCCTGTTTGCAGGTGAGCCCACTACAGTTGTTATACATATCTAAAAACCGATAAACTTTTAGGCGAAAAAGGCACTATTCCAGGCCCATTTTTGATTTTTTTTTGCGATATTAGGTAAAAACAGAAGCTTCTTATCCTAGGAAAAATAAAATGGGAAATCTTTCAAAGGTGGCACACTACCTTTAAGCGGTCCGAGGCGAAAGCATGTGACGTGGCCGGCCCGGGGTAGCGGCCGGCTCCGTCCCATGACGGCGGCTGCACCTGAGTCCTACCCAGGCGTCGCTGACATTACACCTTGTGGTACACTCATATGCCACCAGTGTTCATTCACCGCGGATTTGCTTTGTCTGCACCAAATTGTCCACAGAGAAAAATCGTGCTGAGCTTCTGACATTGAGTTTGGGGTAAGACGAGCAACTTTGAATCCAATGGGTCTGTAATGGTGAAAATATTTTTGTTGCTGTAGGAAAAAAAGAAGCATTTCTAATAAGAATATGTTCGATTCCGATACTCACAGACATGTTAGCAATACTCCTTCGGCGCAGATTATTCTCGAACAATGAATGTGAAAAACGGTTCGACATGGCTTCTGAACTAGGGCCTATACGAGCATACGCCTTCTGTACGAATCTCGTATACTGCCATTTCCGAAGCACTTGAGACCAACGAGCGACTGTATCAATGCGGCTAATCTCGGGCATTTGTTGCGAACTGTGCTGGTAGGTGAAAGAAGCTGGCCGTCTTGCCCTATACCCATGTGACCGTATTACCCCATGGGGTGGGGTAAGACGGGTTTTTGCAAGGTTTTACAAAAATAGCTGCAGTTTATTTGTTGAATCAGGTCTAAGTCTCATCTTCTGGCAAATGGAAGTAAAATGTCTAAAAAGAGGTTTTCACTCAGTTTCCCGTTTCTATGATGTTTCTAACCGGCCGAAAAGTGGCTCCAAAGTTAAGGTGCCCGTCTTACCCCCACTTTCCCCCACATTGTGACACCTAACCCAGGAGTGGCGCATTTCAAATAAAGAAAGATCGTTGTTGCTGTTTTCTTTTTAACCCTATTCCTGGCGGGGGGGGCCTTTAAGGCCCCCCTTCAGGTTTTTCTTGTGCCATTGCCAAACGCCGCAAGACTGAAAGCTCATGCTCGGTGACTTTTTCTAAACATTCATTGCGCACATTTTGACAAAAAAAAAATTGCCGGGTCAGGTCAGGTCAGGTCAGGTCACAGAGGCGGTTTGGTGACCCTACCTCAGAAAAGTTTGCAATCACGCCAGAGCTAGAGTTTTTGACCGATCAATTTCTTCTCTTCAGGCTTTAGTTAGGGTACCAGTATGTGCAATTTGTATCTATATCTCAGAATTTTCATATCTGTGACCTGAGGTTAGGCCAGACTCGTGACCTTTGCATTGCAAGCCTATGGGAAAATATTGAAACGCCTCCTGCTTCGTGTAAACGAGTCCAAACCACCCAATTCTTTCAGTATTATGGACAATTATCTCATCGGTGATGATCCTGGTGCCGCTAATTGACAGGGGCACCGACAAAGGTCATCTGAGGTCATGTGACGTCATAAATAGTTTTTCTGTCAATAAATCACGACATGATGGTGCTAAAGACTTGTTAGTGGTACCAAACTGCTCGCCTGGTCAAGGCGCGTCGTTTGGTATGCAGCATGACCATACCCCACAACCTCATTGATGAATGACCTGACCTTGACCTCAGGTCAAATTTCAAATTGACCTGTGAAGGTCATCACATACTTATTTCGCATCGCCTCGGCGAGAGCAACAAAAAATGTATTGGTTTATGTCTCTGTGTTTCTTAGTTTAAAAGTTATATAGGTAACTAATTCCAAAACATTTTATCGTTGATGACCTCTGGTGACCTCAATATTGACCTGACCTGAAAATGTTTTATGTAAAAGTTGTAGATCTTTAAACGACCTATCAAACGCCGTTCGCCGTTTGTCGCTGCGATGTGTAGTTTTTGAGATCTGAAGGGGGGGGGGGCCGAATCGGCCCCCCCCCCGCCAGTTTCTTGTCCCGGCGGAGCCCGCCAGGAACAGGGTTAAAAGATAATGAAAAATTTCGAAAAAATGCAATTCTGAGACTTTAAGTCGTCATAGTTATACAAATGAGTATTACAGTGTAGGTACCGTTGTACATTGTATTACATTGTGCATACTAAAATCGTTTCCACTGTATTTAATAAATATACTAAGACGCCTCGAAATTTACGATAAGAAGATCAACTTAATAGTCCAGCAATCTCCAAATTTCGTTGCTTGCTGAGCTCGGGCGGTGTTACCCAACGGTCGGTGTTACTCCGAAAAATGTATAGACATTTACTAAATGTGAAATAATGCAATTATGAACGACACTACATGAAAACAATTGGTTGATATTTGTGTAAAATTGATGCGACAATCCAATGAAACTGAGAGATTGATCATTTGGCCAAAAATTAAGTGACTAGACCCTAAAAGGCTAAGGGGGTCGGTGTTCCCAGGGTATATAGAACAACGGTGTTCCTCCGTGGTCCCCTAACTTGGCCAAAAAAGACGTATCGATCTGAAATTTGATATGTGAATAGAAGTCTGTAGTGGCTATCACAATTATTCTGTTTTTCGAAAATCGATGTTTTTTATTTACTGGCTATTACATAAAAAATGTGACTTTTGGGGGTCAAAGTTAAAAAATATCCAAAATTTCGAGATAGCAGTTTGGCAGCCCTGGTAATTCTACACATGTTATTTCTTGAATATCTTTCTGTATCATCAAAAACTATAGGCCTGGCCCATTAGCGTCGCTACGGGGGGGCAAGCGGGGCAGCTTGCCCCCCCCAACCTCGGACCGGGCACCCCCTGAGATCGATACAGATCCGATGAGATTTTGGAGTCGGGAAAAAATGGGGGTACCTTTTTGAGAATGCCTGTGAGGTCAGACTCGGTTGGAGCG